ACTCACTCAACAGACCAGATCATCAGCAGTTACTTTTGCCGTTTTGGATGCAAGCGTCTGCAGCCGAAGAGGACTGTTTGGGTTACTGCCGTGTGCAAGTGAATTGTGCTTGCATGAACTTTGGCCTGAGCCAGTTTAGCCAATCGAACAATTTACTTCGTTGGGTTCCTTTCTCAGAGTTTCATTGCCGAGTAGTGGGAAGCTGTATTGGTAGCTCAAAGAGCGTTTCAATCGCCTGCTTGCAACTATGCGAGTTTTTGCGTGAGCCCTGACTCCGACGAGCGCAGCTGTTGTTTGGCAGCCTTTGCCCGCTGTTGGATTTATAATCTGTTCGTGTCCTGTTGGCGGCGAGGAGTTTTATTCGGAGGCCCTAGTAAGTAGTCTAATGAGTATGCTTCCGCCTCAATTCTAGGAGATTACTTGTAGCTAGCCATTTTTCGAGGTAAAGGAAGTCTTGTATGTTGTAATGTCGAGATAGTTTGTGTAGAGCTTCCCACAAATTGATGTACGCACGCACGCATTCTGCTGAAGTCCTGATTTTGAGGCACAGAAGCTCCATTGCTCTTCTCCGTGAGCTCAAGGTGATGATGTGCTGTGTTGTTTCGTAGCTGGTACCGCCGCAGCCATGGGAAAGGCGTTGTCGAAGATCTTCGGCAACAAAGAAATGCGCATTTTGATGCTTGGTCTCGATGCTGCTGGAAAGACTAGTATCCTCAACAATTACTCTCTCAATGTAGAAGATAGTGTGTGCTTGCTTTGTTTACTACTTGTTAGTTTAGTATGGCTGTTCAAGGAAGATTCGTGAAAGCTGTGGCGAGTGTAGTTTTCGAATAGTGGTATTTGCTGTTTCGAATGGTTTGCGTTGGTCCTGTCAGGACCATTCGTTAGTGAGTAGCACTGTTATCTGTGTATGTTGGCCTCAATGCTTTCAGTCAGGAAGCTTCGTGAGGAACCGTATCTTTCCTAGACTACGGTTCATGCCGGTCAGTTAGCCTCAAGTCCAAGCATGAATTTCCTGTGATCCGCTTTCTCATTAGCTGCAATAAAAGCAAGGTTGTGCATTGTTCACAGTTGAGTTTGGGTTTTGAATTGAACTGGACCGTACATCTATCTCAGAGCAGTATTCTTTGTTATCAGTCCGAGTTCTTTGCTGGGCTTCGTGTTCGTTGCTATTTCGAAGGCTAACGACAATTGTTCTGCTGCAAGGGCTTCATACCTAGCATTCATCCATGTTTGTAAGTCTAAAAATAATAGTCGTGAACTGACAGTGCATGTTTGGGAGGTGATTGGGTCTGTGCAAAAGATCCACTGACCTGGTCAGTAGTGATTTAAATTGTTGAGTGATGATACATTCATCTGGTGTCCTGAAAGGCGCTGGGGTTTAGACAAGTGATATTAATTTTAATAATTCAACACTATCGAAAGAAAAGTTACCACACACCATTGATGCTAGGCCTGTGGTCTTGACTTGGTGCAAACGAAGTTGTGCTTGTTTTGGATAGCCAGTGTGGTTTTTACTTCTGTCATATTTGCGTGCTTCCATTCCCACTCAATATTATCCTATCTCGTGCGTGCGGTGGTATGAACTCGAATTTGCCTGTAGTATATTCCTTGACTTGGCAATGTTTTCAGCTGTTCTTTACAAACTAAAACTTGGTCAGTCTGTAACGACAATCCCGACAGTCGGATTCAACGTTGAAACGGTTACGTACAAAAACATCAAATTCAATGTTTGGGTAAGTTCTTCTTGATCTCCCTCCCTCTCCCTCTCTCTCTCTCTCACACACACACACACACACTACATGCACACACACACACGTACGCACTCACGCACACACACACACAGTCACTAACTCATGCATATCTGACAGAAAAAGAAATTCTTCGTGTGCCATGCACCTGCGTGATGTGCCTCCTTTCTTGTCCCTGACACCTACCATATGCAAGCCACTGGCTTCCAGCCGAGTTAGTGCAGTATCTACAGTCAACCTCCTGAATAATCACCCTCGATTGGGCATGAGAACTGTGTTGCTATCCATTCGCGAGGTTAAAGTATGCAGTCAAATGGCTACTGGGTCTAAAGACATTGCCGTAGTTCGCGAGTTGTTTACCCGGTTTGTTACTCACGAGGTTGACTACGTCCATATTATAGTGCCCTGGACCACTGGGCTAGCCCTGGTCCACTGCCCTTTATTGATCTCTCTCTCTCTCTCTCTCTCTCTCTCTCTCTCTCTCTCTCTCTCTCTCTCTCTCTCTCTCTCTCTCTCTCTCTCTCTGTGTTGGTCTCTATCTATCTCTTTCTGTATGCTCGTGCGCGTCATGCGCGTGTGTGTGCGTGCGTGTGGCTCTGTTTGTGAAGTTGGGTCTGTCCTTTTTGAGCGAAGGCAGGGGGGGGGGGGGGAGTCGAGACGCAGGGAGAAAGCTGCCAGTGGCTTATCCATTAGAGCTTCTTCATCTGTTGGAGTTCAGCGATAGGTGAATGGGACAAGCTGGCAGATCGGGCAACGACGCAAAGCAGTTTTCATGAGAAGCTTTGCCAATGCATGCTACATAAGGTTGGCAGTCAATGCTGGATGTACTCGGATAAAGCATCACTAGCTGGCTTGCAGAGTGATTGCTGACTTGCATGGTAGTAGTACATGTAGTGCCAAGAGTGCATAGCCCCCAATAGTGTGCAACTCCAGCTATGGTGTCTGCGACCGCAGAACTTTAGGGGTCGCACTTGGTATCATGATCAGCTCTCGACATCGCGGCCATCTTGCTTTTGACTGCATGCGCGACGCGTGCTCTTTTGGATCACGTGTGTGGTTCTCAATGCATTGTTTGCATACAAAACTGTACAAGCGCTACAAAGCTACATGTGATCAAGACCTGCAGGTTTCTGTGAACAGAGTTTCTTCTTCACTGATACCGTTCTTGTTTTGACACGGCGATGTTCTCTTTCCCCGTTCTCCTTTCAAAATAGACTTCCATTTAGTTGTAAGTCACAACAGCAAACTTACTGGTAAGTGGAAGTCTAAGGCTTGCGCGCAAGTATTCCCGCTTTGAATTCGCGTGTCAATACTCAGAACAACGACCGTGGGAATCATGCGAGTGGAGTATTTCTCAGGAGGAAGACGTTCTGTTTGCAAAGTTGCTTCGATCCGCAAGGAGTATTCCAGCAACGAGTACACCTGCTACGGAAAGCGATCCTATCGGGACTTACTGATGGTATGGTTTTCTTGTTTTATGTCACTCGTATCGGTACTTTTCGTACTGCACGGACTGCACTTGTATGATACCTGTGACACAAACATCACAATCGCACGGTGTCGGCTTGGAGTTGGTCTTGGAGTCTTCATGGTCCAGCAACGCAGCATCGCCGAGTTGGAGAAAGAAAGCAATGAATGTACATGAACATTGTTCCAAAACTAAGACACAGGGCAAAGCGTTGCAGCAGGCAGATCATTCTGATCCCGTCCGCGCAGTCGCGCACCAAATAAACTCGAAGGCAGTCCAAGTACATGTACTTTCCAACACTGCGCGATCGCGCGAGCGGCTCGCGCCGGGCCGTCAGTGCAGTCTTCAAAATGTTCCTTGGCAGCCATCTCTTCTCCGATTTCGATGATCGAGGGCTCATTTTCTTTATTAGAATCTCCTCCGTAAATCTACCGAATCATTTTTTTCCTCAACGACATAGATTTACTGTCAGAATACTGGAAAGCAGGGCGACAACGCTCAGAAAAAGCCCTACACACGGATTTCCCTTCTACTTGACCGATTTCAAAATTTCTTTCGATAGATGTCCGCGTACTTGGCCGTAAAAGCAGCCCTGCGATTTTCAACGCCGTAGCTAGATAAACGGCTGCCAAGGAACCCTTTACAAATCGCCCAAATATTGCGATACTTTGAATTTTCCGTAACTCTGATTGGCTGCACGACCCTGACGCGCACGTGCTGCGTGCGTGATGAATCAAAAATGGCTGCGATGTCTAAGTACACAAGTGCGACCCCTGAACTTCACATCACGTGATAAACCGTACACCTTATTTGTACCCTGTGCATGATAGATACAGGGTTGTACGCAACCCTGTTTGGGTTCAACTGTCTCCTGATCACTTCGCACTGTTTGTCAGCATGACCTTTTGAACCATGTCTTGTTATGTGATGTTCTTCCGTCGCAGCACTGGATAGAGGTTGTGCAGGCAGTTGCATACTCTTGGGGGTTGTGCACTCTTGGTAATATTAATGGCGGGGAATGTTTGAGGCACCTCTTAGCAGCATGTCACTGCCTGCCATCAAAGTGCCATGGAGCACTTCGTAGGTGACCAGTTGGCAACTAGGGCATTAGGACCTTCACTCTTTGGCCATTGCAAGCGTAGAGCTATACAACGTCCCCAATCGTGTGTGATAAAGTGTGATTCTTAGGGGTCGTCGCAAAAGTTTTGTTGTCTCTGAAACGAACATTGTTCATTTCGTACTCGGACCCCCTCCCCTCCCTCTGAAACGAACATTTTGCTAAATCTTTCTTTCTATTTTTGCTTTAGGATGTCGGCGGACAAGACAAAATCCGACCCCTGTGGAGACATTACTACACAGGCACGCAAGGTCTGATATTCGTCGTTGACTGCGCGGATCGTGATCGTATTGATGAGGCGAAGCAGGAACTTCACCGGATCATCAACGACAGAGAAATGCGCGACGCAACAATTCTTATATTCGCTAACAAGCAAGATATCCCCGATGGTAAGTGTGTGGTGCTGTCTGCCTGTGTTGCTGTATACGTACCGTGCTGCTCGATGAAATCTCTCCGAGTTTGGTGAATTTGATGCCGGAAGTGCTTTGTTATCTACAAGTAGGGAGGGAGTGTGAAAGGGAGGTTAACACCTGGCTTGTGTACCGTATTTTCCGGAGTATAGTGCGCACTTTAGATGTGCTATTTTAGGCCCTAAATTGCAGGTGCGCACTATGCTCCGAATATGAAATGCATGTACTTCAATGAAGATTGAAGTGTGCACCCCCCCCCCCCACAATGAAGATTGGGGGTGTGCGTTATACAAAGGTGCGCACTATACTCCGAAAAATACGGTAGGTCTTATCAGAGTACGTGCGTGATCACTATGTGTAGAACATGTGCAATCATGGCGCTGAAACTACACCATGTAGTCACATTTGAGCTCTGTGCCTAGCCAAATAACTGAAATAAGGAACATGGATTCAACGAGCTTTTCACTCCAAAGGCAGCTAGCTCACTACGCATGTCGCACATACTGGTAGCACTTGGATCCTTTCCCCTACCCCGGGCGACCAACCATGGTCAGTTTCTGGAATGTTCTGTTGTGGACATGGAAATCCGATCAGAGGTCAAGCGGCCCAGTGCGCTGGCCATGCAGCCGTGAGTACGTGTACGATCAACACGTGCACTGCATGCAACGTTCTGTACACAGTGAGGGCAGCGGTCCTGAGTCATTCGGTCGGATTTCCATGTCCGCGACAGTACTACCAGAGGTGAAAGGAAGAGATTAATTGAAATGGGAATGGGATAAAGTACAAATTTAAAGTATACTGGGAAGCGAACTGCCAGAAAGTCTATAAAAAAAATGCCAACTCCACCAGGACTCTGACCTAGGACCTTGCTTGTCATGAGCAATGCTCTTACCATAACAGCAAGAGTACATAACCCTAAGAGTGTGCTTCTGCAGCTATGGGGTCTGCGACAGCAGAACTTCATATCACGTGACCAACTCGTAAACATTAGTTGCGCCCTGTGTATGAAGATACAGGGTTGCGTGCTTTGGGTTCAACGCTCTTGTGGTCACTTTGCACTGTTTGCCAGCTTAACCTATTGAACCATGTCATGTGATGTAAGTTCTGCCGCCGCAGCACTGGGTTCAGGTTGTAGTGTACAGGCAGTTCACACCCTTGGGGCTTACTAGTAGTACTGTCGCGGACATGGAAATCCAGTGGATTGACCGGGGCCGGCGCCCTCAGTGCATAAAGAACAGTGCACAGGCAGTCATGTTGATCCGAAGCGACCAGCGCGCTGCAGGGCAATGTCATACATGTACTGCTTACCCACGCCTGCATGGCCAGCGCCATGGGGCCGCTAGACGTGCGACCGGATATCCATGTCCACGACAGTATGTACTCTTGATCTGAGCTATGGGACCGGGCCGACCCTAGAAGGCGCAGACAAATTATTTTTCACTCCAAAAAATGTGGGGTTGGCATTTTTCGCTTTTGTGGCAGTTTGCTTCCCCTGGTTGTTTACCTTGAATTTGAACTTTATCCCATTCCCATTTTAACCTCTTTCTGTCACCTCTGGCAGTGCGTTCCAGAAACTAACCGCGGTTGGTCCACCAGGATAGGGAAAAAGACCTAAGTGTCATCAGTATTAATTTTGTGGCACATATGTGAGCTGCCATTGGAATGAAAAACTTGCCGGCGCCTTCTAGGTTTGGCTGATCCCATAGCTCAGATGGTTAAAGAATTGCTCATGACATCAAGGTCCCACGTTCAAGTCCTGGTGGGTTTGGCGTTTTTTCCTCGCTTTTCTGACCTTCTTTCAATTTGAAGTTTATCCCATTCCCATTTCGATTCATTGAGCTTCGTCATCTTTTGTAAAGCTTGAGGTCAGTGGCAGATTTTTTAAATTTGCAACAGAACAAACGTCCACCATTATGGACACCTCCACCTTCAGCTGCCTTTTACGATCAAGTGAAAACGAATTCTGTAATCTGGGCACCTCACAATACAGGATAGACACATCTTGTCTCTAGGGTGTCCATGATTGAGAGGTCCTACTAGCGCCCTCCTGTGAAAAAGTGCCCCACTTCCCACTTATTTGTCGATTTTAGGTGGGGTTTTTTTTAGTGTTGAAACGATCTCACCGGGTACTCGTTAGCTCGCTCGCCAGAAACTCGGCTCGTTTGTGCGGCCAGCTCGTTTGCACTAACGAACACCGTACACCGCACTCCGTACACATGGCAGTACATGTTGACCGGGGATTCGTAGAATATTTTACGATGTATATGCTCGTTTCAACACTATTTTTTTTTCATGCGAAAATGCAGTCGATGTTGGTAACGTAATGCTGGTTCATATGCACACTTGTCGGGGTAAAGTTGGGGGTTCGCCACCTGTACGTTGCTGCATTTTGCATGGCAAGACAATTTTAGAAAATGGGTTACGGGGTAACATTACTGTTTCCCCTCCTATTTTGACCTTGACTAGAAACCTGAATAACCAAGGTGAAAGCGTGTTTTTCTTTACCTACGTTATGCACACGTCGTTCTCCAGTACATCTCATGCTCACGTTACACAGCTCTCACTGTGTTATTACTTGTTACGACTAAACATGTTCACTTTGCACTGCTAATGATTTAATTGCTTGTTTTTCATTGTCTACTAGCAGAGAAGTCGTGCACTTTTGCAGTAATAAATCCTCCACTCACAATAAGTCACTCACGCATTTTTATCTCTTGGGATCGAGTGTGAGACTTATCGAGAGTAGATTGTATCGTACCGGTAAATCCAACCGATGAACATGACAAGAAAATGTTCTTGGACACAAAAATTCTGTTCAGCCCCCAAATTACTTTTACGTAGTAGAGTTGACCTGTAACGTGTTCAACGACAAAGGAACCCTTCCTATGCTGTCCTGTGTCAGCAAGTACTTGGAACGTCTTGTGGCCAGTCCCTGCTTGGACAGGTGTCAAAGCTCGCCTGTGCCCAACATACATACAGGCCAGCCCTCCCGGTTTTCACGGGAAAATCCCGGTAAATCAACATTGCTCCGGGATTCCAAGCAAACTCCCGGAAAAGTCACATTTTTGTCTGATCAAGGTTTTTTCCTAAAAACTCCAGGGACGCCTTCAAAAATGTACGGTACACACTCACACTTCGAACTGTACACAAGACCAGCCTAGCCTGCGTGATCTGCACCGACAGGTGTGCGTGCTGACTGATCAAACTGCACTGCAGGGTCGAACTGTGCTGCACGCAAAGTGCCGTCCAACGTTTTTTGGCGAGGAAAGCGCTTTTTCACGTGTTTTGGTGATTGAGGGATTGAGATTTTTTCTGGTTGGTCAGTATGAATGTGCATTTAAAAGTGTGTATCAAAACTGCACGAGAAACATTGGTGGTATGACATTTTATAGAATTCTGGAAAAATAATTAATGTAGTTATGGCCGGTTCTCCTGGAAATGCACCTCGTATATTACGATGTTCCTGGACAGGACAGGGCACAAAAAAAGGTCTACAGGGATCAATTTAATTTCGTTCTTGTCACTGGGAAGGAAAGGAAGCGTACTTTTTCTTGCTCCTTATGTGCGCGCACACACCTCTCTCCTCTCTCTCTCTCTCTCTGTCCCTCTCTCTCTGTCCCTCTCTCCCTCTCTCTCTCTTGTGGATGATGGTTTCCCCTTGCCATGATGTACATGCATTTCTATACTTATGTTGCCTGTCTGCTTTTTGTTTTGTTTTCACCTCTGTTCTGCATAGCCATGAAGCCACACGAAGTGCAAGAAAAGCTAGGCCTTACAAAACTCCGTGACCGGACGTGGTACGTTCAACCGTCATGTGCAACGACGGGAGATGGTCTATATGAAGGGTTAACCTGGTTGTCTGCAAACCAGAAAGCTAAGTGAGGATTTTTTATTGTACGGTTCGTAGTAGTAGCCACAACGAAAAACGAACCAGCAAGCCCTACCTCTCATTTCCGCCATCATGGACCCACCACATCCATCTCACCCGCCACACGCCCTGGCATGCACACACACACAACCTCATGATAACTGCCTTTTACAACGTGGTACACAATGCTCCAGCGCTACTATTCCCCCGCAGCACGGTGTACTGTACGTTGTTCTTGGCGTCTTTCTCCTCTTATCTCTCTCTATCTTTCCAGTTTACCCACGGTGCATCAAACCTTGCTATCTGCTTATACAATTTGCCTGCTTTTCCACGACCAGCACCTACCAAACTTTACCAGTTGATATGTGCCAGATTTTTGGCTCTGTCCACCTGTACAGTTTTGTTTACCCCTCATTCACTGTGAACATTGCTTTATTGATATGCCAAGCAATACGCTACCCTCAAAGAATAGTAAATGTGTCATACAAGCGAGTGTCTTAATTTGAAACAACGAGCCCAAATATGTACCAACTGTGGTTTCCGTAGGCCAATTCGTCTCTTTCTTCTGTGTTTTGTTTTCCAATTCTCACAAGTCATGTTTTATATTTATGCTTTGCGAGGATCAATCCTGTGTGCGTACAAGTGCGCCCGCTGATTTCCCAAAGCATTCCTCTTCCATTCGTATTTAATCAAATAAATTTGCAGTGGAAGATTAGGATTTCTGGTTTTTGGTTCTTTGAAATGTTGCTGATTTTTTTGTATCTCTGGATGTGTATTTTATCGTTAGAGTTTCTATCTGTCATTGAATTGCAGACCACAATAGCTACCGTGCTTGAACAATACTGTTTTTTGTTTTTGTTTGGTCTTTTGGAGGGACAGGAACAATGTGTATAAATATTGTCCACTTACGTTGCGTTATCCTGGCTGTGCCGTCCCTGTCGTACTGCTTGTGATTACGACGTGCTGGGATGAGCAGACTAAGCCTGAGCCCCTACTGCTGTTTCCGTGCAATTGCTGCTACGCTGCGTTGGGCTTGGAGCTCCTGCTCCGCGGTGGCTAGCTGCTTGCGGAATGTCTCTGTCTGTTCAGCTGAGCTGTTTGCCAGCTGCTGCAGCATTCGTCTGCTGGCCTGAACATACATGTAGTAACAAAGAACAGTAGCTTGATTCCTGTGCGAGACTGGCAACTGGAGTGATTCTGCTAGTCCTATGCTGTCTCGGCAGCTTTCAACTGCGGGATTTGCACAATCTACAGTCCATTCAGAAAAAGATGGACTTCTAGCTTTTGGCCATAAATGGGTCAAACTTTGAGTTTTTTTAGAATTTTTTTCTGCAATCCCCTACGGAATCCTCTTCCAATTATGTTTCTGAAGTTTTTTGTCCAAAAAGCAAGCCATAACAAGAATAGAATTTCGGCCAGGTTTTGCCCCAACAGCACTGAATTGGGAAAAACCATAAAAATCCAGGCCGTTTGACCCCGCCTGCAAACGTGCATTGTGCGGTTCGAACCCCAGTTCAGGTACCCTTTTTGGACCCTTTTTCAAATTTCGCAGCACTGCACTGTGTACGATGAAATCACGAAAAATCGCCAAATACGGGAGCTCTCCAGAGCCAGAGCCCATCTGTTTATGAACGGACTGTAGATCTAAGTAAAGTCTCATGGTAACGTTAACCCTTTGGCTTTGCGGTGTACCAGTCCACATGGACTGATATTTTGTGCACACCGTAAAACTGTCGTTAACTCCATTGTTTATAGCTGTTGCAAAAATCTTCACGTACAGTCGAGTCGCGCACCCAAGAACGTTTCCACGGGGCTAGCCGGGGACGTTCTTATTTTAATGCCATCTGGCTACGTTCTTGCACGTTCTTAGAAACGATTCGCGAGAAAACCAACACCGCCGTTCTTAGCATTTCAGGGTGGACGTTCTTTGGCGCACGACTCTACTGTTATATGTTAGTGCTGCACCTGCCGCTCGTGAATTCCTTGCAGTGAATTCCTTGCAGTAGAGTCGGGCGCTTAAGAACGTGGAGCCCAAAAACGCCCAGCCTGAAATGCTAAGAACACCAGGGCCCAATCTGACTCGCTCGATCGGATTTTATTGACAGATTTTCCACGCTTGGTTTGCGTTAACACCAGTTCAGTGAATGAACGAATAGTTTTCTTTTCTCTCTATAGGCGTATTGCAATTCGGATTTTTCCTTCTTCTAAACGCTGTCCTTACTCTCGAATGTGCCATACTTATAGTTCTCCTTTCCTTTACGCCAATGCGGCTGTTACAGCTAGGATTACCGTCATAGCAGTGTTCCAGAGTTCAAGCACTGATCAATCGAATAAAGAAATACAAAGTCGAAAATTGAGTACGGTAATATCGCGGATAAAAGCCGGGCTTATAAGCACATAAGCCGCTTTCTGCATCAGGCTTCAATGCAAACCATGCTTAGGCCACACTTTGTTTTTTCTATGTTTCTCGTCGGCAAATTTTAACAAAAGGTACGCGGGCGGGCGGAAAAAAACAAAAGCCAAGGAAAAAACAAGAACAATTTCTACTGAAAACTGTATACATTTTACAATGTACATGTACATGTATATGCGTGATTGATACAAGACACTGCGTATACCATGTACACAGTACTACATTGTACAATCATGTACATGTAGTCCCATACATGATTGCACTACATTATCACATCAGCCCACGAATATCAGGCAAACTGCAACAATGTCAATGAGAGCATAAAGTTTGATTACGAGATGGCGAAGAGAACATACATTTATCTGCTATCGCATCAACAAACGTTTCCCACTCGTCATTAATTTTTGGTTTTGTTACTTCAACGTTCTTGTGTCCGCTGATCAAACTCTTGTCTCCATGCTGCTCATCTTTTCCTTGCCATGCGTCTATTGCTTGGATTTTCTGCCTACGACATCGTTCCACAGACGCCAGTTGCCGCGGAACTCGTCCGACTTACTGTTCCTGGGACCCACGAGGCTCAGCTCAGCCAGTGAACGACTGAAAGCTTCGTCATGACAGCCTTCATCGCAGAGAACGGACGAGGAGTGCTCCTTTGCTGCATGCTGTGGTGCTAACGTTTACGATTATTGATTGACGCATCTAGCTGCTGCAGCATGTGCAGCGTACATACATTGTACACATGTACGTAGTATGAACTTTTTTTTCTTCCGAAATTTCTGAAAACCTACGCGGGCGATGACGAGAAACATAGAAAAAACAAAGTGTGGCCTTATATGCACCACTGATATTTTTGCCAGGCTTGTACCGGTATGCACATCGGCCGGTCCGGGCTTGCATAGAAGCCAGGCTTCTACGCGCGACACGCGTAGATCTACCACTGACTACCGGTATGGCGGCAGTTTTACTATGCACTGTACATAGCGCATGCACTCTTGACCTGCCCGATCCGCGCTTGCATAGAAGGCAGGCTTCTAAACGCGACAGGCTTATAATGATGCATTTGACCGGTTTGATTTTCAGGCTTCTATCCGCGATGTGCTTGTGTGCAAACCCGGCTTTTATCCGCGACTTTACGGTATTTGTTACACCCCTATTTAAAATGCACATTTCATCAGCATAATGACTGCATCACTGTCATCAAATCTTTAGCAGCACCCATTTTTCGTCTCTTCCTGAGACATTCTACCGTGTTTTCTGAATTTTGCGGACAATGCAGAACTCTGTGGAAATTCCGCAATCTACGGAGTTGTAGAGATCGCCTCGCCTACCTGTAGCATTTGCTTGGTGCCTGCAAGTTGGCTCTTGGCCTTGTCCAATTTCGCAAGGAGTTGAGGGACGCGTGTTGTGCATGTGCTGCAAGATGCGATGGGTGCTACCTGCCTGAGCAAACACGCACAGTCGAAACATACAGTTTCATTGAAGGAAAAGGGGGACGGTAACTACAATGAAAGACTTTTTGATTCTGCAACAAACCAAGAAGACACTACGATCGGGGACAAACATTACCCTCCCACCGGAAAAAATTCAAAAATTGAAGCCAATTGCAAGCATTTCCAGGCGTTTGGTGCCATCTCAGTGTACGGTAACTACAATGAAAGACTTTTTGATTCTGCAACAAACCACAATCGGGGATAAGGATTTGCCACGTTTGCGCTGAGCTGCGATCATCGCGCTTTGTTGCAGTGTGCTAAAAAAAGCGGCCGAAAAGTGGGGTGGCCTGAGGCCGCGGCTGTGACGGCCTTGACCCTGATGATGGGCTTGGCCCGAAAATTTGGTGTAAGGCGAGACCAAAATAAAATCGAGATTCCCGGGCAGGACCCATCTGAAATTGGTGCGGGCGGGCGAATTTTTATTTTTTATTTTTTTTCCTATGTGTGTATGCATGGCATGCTGAACTTTTTTTTTTTACAGTATTTTCCGGTATTTATTTTTTACAGACGACAGGTATATGGTACGTGGTTTACCGGTACCCGTACAATTTCTTTTGTATTTCGGCCAACGACAGCCCTGAGTCGTACACCAGGGAGTCGTACAAGCCCAGGTTCGTGTGACACCATGTCACAGATCTACTCGCACGATCAGTACTGTACAGAATACGACTGTTCAAAAAAAAAAAAAAAATTGCCTTCGGCTCGATTTTGGTGCGGGAGGGCCCGGGAATCTCTATTTTTTTTGGTCTCGCCTAATGTGTGATGTAAATTTTAATTTGAAATCGCAGTGAAGAGACCGTTTTTTTAGTTTGAAGTGAAGTTTCCTAAAATGTGTAAGTGGCTGCGTTGGAGTTTGAGGACAGTTAGACAATCATGTTTATACATGTCATGTTCTCCCAATACATCAAGTCTGCTTACTAGTAAACCTCATTAGGACCTTCCACAAGTGGAGTGCAAACTCGCGAATTCATGGGTTTTTCCGCCCACTAACGTATACAAAGTTGCTCAACTGTATGTAGCGCGGAACCTCTCTAGTATTGATATTGTCCATGCATAAACAAGATCAAAACTAGGGCTGAAAGGATCATTCAATAACTCCTAACGATCCACTAATATCATTAACGGTCGATATATTGGTTTTATCGATTCTTGTCGGCTCTATCGAACACAAGTTTATGAAGAAAGACTATGATGCCTTTGCTACGTTAAAAATTTGTGGCACCGCACTGTTGACATCTGTAGATATCTGGCTGGTTTTATCAACATGAGCTACTCAAGTAGAGCAATTTCATGTAGTTTCTAGAGTGAAGAATCTTATCATCACCCTCTGGCAACTGCTCTCATCTCCGACTTCTCCCACAAATGAAGCGAAAAGGCAAAGTCTTCTCTCCCGATCTCTTTCAAAGCCACAATTCAATTTTACTGCGCTTGAAAGTACACGATTGCAATCGTATCCACTATCAGATGGAGTGCAAGGGCTAAAAATACTGTCACTGATATGCATCCATAAAAAATCGATAGCACTCGTTTTGAACACTAACGATTATCGATTGCACTCTTAAGGCCGATTCATACTTTATGTCGCGTACGGGAAACGCGTCGCGTCGCGAAAAAGTTGATCTGAGCTCAACTATTTCGCGTACGGGAAACCCATCACGCGACGGTCGCGCGATGGAATTCCCGTACGCGAGATGAAGTATGAATCAGGCTTTAACGATCGATATGCGAGTTATCGGTATAATTGTTTCAGCCCTAATCAAAACCCAGATGATCAAGCTTGAATGGCAGTGAAGAGACCGTTTTTGGAGTTGAGAAGTGAAGTTTGCTTAATATGTAAGTGGCTGCGTTGGAGTTCGCGGACAATTAGAAAAGCAGAAAGACACTACATGTTTACATTAATTTGTAGAAATACCGTATACGATCTTCTGCATGCAAGGAACAGTAAAGTTGGAGATTTTTCAATTATTATTTTTACAACGACTTCAAGTGCTGACAATTTATGTTCGAGTTGGGGGTATCCATATGACAATTGACAGCAAACTATCACCATGACTACACCCACCTGCTTCTCTGTAGTGCCGCATACTGCTGGTGCTGTTGTTGTGCATGCTGCACCAGTTCGTGATGAACCCTGGCCGCATGGCCTATGCTGGATCGAAGACTAGCGACGTTGTTGTCATCTGATGATGCCGTTGCCTACAGGAAACGAAACACACGCACGCGTGTGCAGACCGTGGAAGGAGGAAGTGAAGCCTATGCATGTACATAAGACACTACAATGGAATAGCCACCTGTTCCTTACAGGCAGGGGGGGGGGCCCTTTACAGGAGAGATGCAACTTACAGATTGCATTTGGCAATGTGCACATTCACTGGCTATGGGTGCACGTCTGAATGCAGAGAAAGTCTACATTGATTGTATACTCACATTGGCTTGTAAGTTGAAGAGCTGGCCAAGTTCCTTCGCAGACGCCTACAGAATGATGCATGGAACGCAAGGCCAAGAGACGCTACTGATGATGCCATAGCATTCATTACACACGCATAGATGGTTTACACAAGGAGGGAAAGTCTACTGAAGTCTTAGACTTTGTTGCGCTGGTTTACGAATGGTCCAAACTAATGCGGAAGAGACAAAATAACCCAGTGCGCGTAGGCAGTAACTAGAGTGGTTGCCCGTGAAATGCCACCTCATGAAGAAAGCAACTCACTCTGCCAAGATACCCTGCAGAGACACGCTCACTTCACGGACCGGTGTTCGTAGTGTTAGGCCGGCGAGCAACTGCAGGATCGCGATTGTCCCGGTGTCAGATTCCACCGGCCATGACATGCACGTGTGTGTGTGTGTGTGTGTGTGTGTGTGTGCGCGTGCGTGTGTGTGGCGTTCAGTCACGTATGCCACAGTGGTAACTGGACACACCGTCTCCACATCATACATAGAAACTAAGGAACTCCAGGGGGGGGGGGGGGGGGGCAAACGGGACAAACACACTTATGAATCTCACTTTCAGCTGACTGGAATGTCAAAGTCATGGCGACAAGCAGTGCTAGAAAGCAAGTGGACTGGTGTCTGGTTCCTCACCTGGATGACCGACTCCAATCGAGTGCACATTGTTGATAGCTCGCTAAGCTGCTCTCTCAGTTGTCTGCACACAGGGACATGCACACAACATACAGGCTGACTAAAATCTCGTGCTCTATCTTAGAAAGTCATTAGACAATCATAATAACCACACCGATTCCCTTTTACATTGCTTTAAACTAAGGATCATTTATTTTGTGCAAGAATGGACTCGGATGGAGAGCCAAGGATAAATTTATAGAAAAGAAAAAAAAGGACCAAGGAAATACAAAGTGTTAGTGGACATTATAGCGTAACTTGTACTCCCTTGGTCCTTTCTTTTCTATAAATCATCTATTTTATTTTGATGTACTCCATAAGTTGTTGACCCCTTGTTGCATGAGCGTGGAGGGAGGTGCGCTAATGAAATTTAGTCCTGGTACTGCGTGGATAGAGTATTGGCCTTCCAGACATGAGGCTGTGGGTTCGATTCCCAGTGCGAGTGAAGATTATTTCCACCCATATAGGAGAGCCCGTATGTTTTTAGGACTTTCTTATTACATGACTGTATATTCCTTTTGCCTGTTCTGCAGTTGCAGGCGTGTGTTCACCTCATTGGCCTCGCTCATTCCTCATTTCTTTTGTTCATTTGGCTTATGCGAAGACTAGCCAAGCTTGCTTGGTGATGTCAACACGAACAAGCGTCTAATAATAGGAGACCCATCTGCGCGGATTGGGTATACCCGACTTCGGTTGGGGAGGCAAAGGTGACGAGGGCAAGGAGATGACCATCACCCTCACTATGTTGAGCTCATGGAAACAGGAGCGGTCTCTAACACATCTTGCCGCTACGGTCAGAATTGACTATTGGCTACCTTTATCATTTACTGTCATCCTTGGAGATAAGGAGCTGCATCTGTGCATTGATCCTAGAGGGTGGTGGCGTTCGTTAATTTTTTAGATTAACCACAGCCAGTGCAGTGCAGGTACGAGTACATGCCTATTCCTGTCCAGGCCCGACTCCCACTGCTCGCGCCCGAGTTTCAGGAGGCCATTGGATAGAGCTCACACTTCTTCCCGCATGCACGTACAGTGGAACCTGTCTAAGACGACCGCTCATGGGACCTTCAAAGCAAGGTCTCTGTTGCCAGGTGGTCTCCTTATACAGGGTCAATTGACTAGAAATAGCATCCCTTGGTCCTGGTTTCAGTGTTCTACTAGGGCAGGTGGTTGCCTTATCCGAGTGATCGCCTTGCCAGGCTTTACTGCATCATAATCATATTTCTGACAGAAATCACAGACTGCCAGTGGGCTTACTTTGTATCATCACTGGCCTCTGACAGCTTCTCCAGGGCAGATTCCTTCTCTTTGCTACACTCCTGCAGCTGCAGCTGCGCTGCTTCATCTCGCTCTGAACACGCCTACAAGGTCGCACAGCATATCAAGTATCATGACTATGATGGTGAGGTTAATTTATAGACGAGAGGCCCCTCCTGGAGCAGATCTATTCTTCTGGAAAAAGGCATAGTTTCACATCTCGGTCATGTAGCCATGTCTGTGCAGAAACGGTACAGGTACATGTTATTCGGATGCTGGAGTTAACATAATCCACATGGCCAACACCAAACGTAGAGAAGGAAGCTTTGAGTTTTAAAAATACCCTCCCCCACCACCACCACACACCTTGCAGAGCTCTTCCCTCAGCTCACGGAGCTCTCCCCCCTCATCCTGCGCCCCAACACGCGCACACACCTTGCAGAAAACCAACCTTACGCACGGTCTTGAGTTGCTCTTGCAAGCTTGCGACCTGAGCAGCACGCTGTTTCAGTCGGCTCTCTGCATTAGCTAGTGCCTCGGTGGCATCTTGCAGCCTCTTGCTAGCAGCTTCTGCCTTGTTCTTGGCAGCCTGAAGGCTGTGTCGCAGCTACAGATGCAGAAAAGAACAATAAGCCACGATACATAATGCTATCAAATGTTCATTGTTGGGAGTGATGCGTCCTTTCATTGCCCAACACCTTCATTGTGAAGGAACAAACGGTGGCTGCCGACTACATAACCGAAAACAGCTAATTCTGCCGCTAAACAAAGTTCACTAACATACAGTCTATTATTTTTTATTATTAAAAGCATGTCCGCGTAGGTGGCGGGGGTGCCACTTTCGCTTACGCCATTCAGGATTGATGTCTGAAGAGTAATACGATACAATGAAATGACAGAAGTGACGTCAACAAAAGCCGTTAGCAACGAATATGCATACAACATGTCTGGCGGAATCACGTGGATCCGATGATGAGAATCAGTCCTGTTAGGTGGGGCGGGCTCCACGCCATGCCTGTCGGTCCGCTGCCATTGTGCGGACTGCGTCAGCATCTAGCGGCTGGTGGAGGGTAAGTCCATGCCATGATGATACAGTCTAGTTAAAGGTAATATTTGTTCAGACTTCCACTTGCCTAAGACGAGTACAATCCTCATGTGGAAGAGAAGAGCAGCTCAAACACGGAGCAGCTCAAACACAGAGCAGCTCAAACACGGAGAAGCTCAAACATAGAACAGCTCAAACATAGAACAGCTCAAACATAGAGCAGCTCAAACAAAGAGCGGCTGCTCAAACACTGAGCAGATATCCTGGAACTGTATACCGGGTATACTATACTGGTTGTAGCGTGCACCCACCTGTCGACTGTGCAGCAGGTGCTCGTCTCTGTCTTGGCGTAGCTGAGACTGCTTGCTGGTGAGCGACTCGCGTAGCTCACTGCACTCCACTTCTGATCTTGAGAGTGACGAGGCAACTGATTTCCTGGTAGAGTAGTCAAAGAATAGCGGTTTGGTATAATGATGCATACAAAGTTGGCATACTCAGGTTTTCACTCCCAGAGAAAAAAGGTTTTGTAGAATTAAGGTTAAAGGAGTGTTTTCTTGCTTCGTTGCCTGAACTGTCTGTATACCTCAAACCGCTTGCATTAAGTTTACATACCTCCTGCCTTTCCTGAAACTTGTTCTTTCAAGTACTTTAACCAATGGCTTGTATCTTCGGACATCCAACGAGAGTTCATTCTGATGATGTCAGTCATGGTGGTAGAATTCATTTAAAAAGTATTCCACACCATAGCCTTCATGCAATTGAGCAACAGTATGAACAGAGACACTAACTGCATTTTCTACTAACTTTTCACGATGTACATCATCAAGGGCTGCCCTGCAGTCTTTCAGATCCTTCAAGAGCTTCACATTCTTGTTCTGCACACTTTGCAGTTCTTGTTCATTCTCTTGCAGGCGAGTGGTCAACGCCTTCGCACAACGACAAAAGAAAAGATTGAAAAAAGGATAGCGCCATCAATATATAAAATCAGATAATGTCGTCCTTTTTCTCACCTGAAAACTACTTGTGTCTACTTGTCTCACTTAGGACCAAACAGATTGGCAGAACGTCTGTTGCAGATATGAACCCATGTTATATATATCCATGGCATTCAACTACAGTACAACCTAGCTGTCACTAGCTCTGATAGGACGATCACCTGTCTCAGAGTACCACTACACATATGACGAAGGGACGTTATTTCCAGTCAAATGTGCCCGGGCAAGGAGACCACCTATACACAGTGACCATCATTTTGAAGGTGCCTTGAGCGATCGCCTAAGACAGGTCTCACTCTACTGATATTCATGTCTATTCTTTGGGAGATATTCCTGCACTTAAATAACAGTATACACAGTCCCATAAGGCGAGACCAAAAAAATAGAGATTCCCGGGCCCTCCCGCACCGAAATCGAGCCAAAGCCAATTTTTTTATATTTTTTTAACAGTTCATACATGTACAGTACTGATCGTGTGAGTAGATCTGTGACGTGGAGTCACACGAACCCGAGCTTGTATGACTCCCAGATGTATAGATCAGGGCCATCGTTGGCCGAAATATAGAAAAATTGAACGGGTAAACCGCGTACCTGTTGTCTGTAAAAAAATTGAAAAAAAATTACCGGAAAATGCGGTAAAAAAGTTCAACATGGCATGCACACATTATTTAGTCATGTACATACACGGGAAAAAAATAAATAAAAAAAATTCGCCCGCCCGCACCAATTTCACATGGGTCCTGCCCGGGAATCTAGATTTAATTTTGGTCTCGCCTAATCATGATTCAATCTGGTGAATAACAACCTCGGGGTGTGGAAATATCTTAATAATGACACAATCTTCAGGCCTTGTGACCATGGGACTACTACATGCATGTACTTTCATCCACATGAATACTGGCAACTTGCAAATAAGGACACTTCCCTCATACAAGATCGATGATCGTTATTCGCAAGGTTAGCTGTATACGTGTCCATGGAAACAGTTAGCTTTCTGGAGGTTAGGTGATTCTGACAAAGTGGTCACACTAATCAGCACCAGTACAGCGTGGATGGCAAAACACCACGACAAACAGGGGATCAGTGTGCAAGCGTGCCGAGTCGTAGTGATGACAAGGTAAGGACCGTGGCATTGAACGCACCACACAGCTGTGCGAGTATAGCAACTATGATGTCACCAACAGATATACATCCTGTACGTCCGCCTGCAGCTTTCGTGGACCCGTAGCCATGCATGAAGGGCTCAACACCAGCATAAAGCTAAAGAAAATGTTCCAAAAGTAAACTATTAGCTTTCCAGCAATGGCTGTGTACATGCATGTGTAACGTTCAGACATCCATGGACCCTTCGATCCCAAGCCGCCGGATCAAGGGAGTTCAGCTGTATTTGAAGTTAACACATTAGGATGGAGAACACGAACAATACCTTTTTCTCCTTGCCTTCGCCTTTGAGCTGAGCCTGCACCCGCTGCAAATTGCCCAAGAACTCCTGAAGCTGCTGCTTGCCATGCGTGTGCTCCTGCTCCAAAGCAAGCCTGGCAAACAAACACAAAGAGAGGATGTTCTGCAGATAAATGTTGCCTCACTCATTTGCACATAGCTAGGTGTAAGCCTCAGTGAGGCCCATCTGAGTAAGACCACTCATGTGGATAGATTTCACATGCACCACCATGGCTGCAATGGATACTCGAGGAAGTCAGATAAGTGAGACAGGGCTACAGCACAATCATCCACTTGAAGTTGCATTTTGACACGAGCTGCAGATGAGAATAATGCTGTACCACGGGCTGCAGATATTTGGCCAGGCTACTCAGAGGATCATTTACCATGATCGTCTTGCAAGGAAGACTATGCATCCAACGTTCCCTACTTACCCACTACAGAATTTTAAACGCACTGGCACGGGCCCTTTGCCCAGCACTACTGTACAATACATGTATATGTACGGAGCTCCGCTTTTACACCTGCACTGGGCTGCAAGCCCGAGTAGCATCGGAGATATTTCAGACTTTTACAGTACACCATGCCGTGACCACCCACGTATAACATGCGCAGGAGTCGGCCCCGGCAGTACCCGCATCGTCACTCACTTTGCTTGCCGCAAGCTCTCCGCTTTGGCCTTGCTGTCAGCCCTTGTCGCAGACAGGGCTGATCTCAGGTCACGGTTGGAGGCATTCACCTCCTTTAGCACGGCAGTAGTATGATTGAATTCCATAGTCTTCTCGTCCAGCTGAGACTGAAGCTGGGAAAACTAAAAGACAAACAAGTACCTGTGTCATTGAGTCCGAAATGAATTTTTTTTACTGTGACAGAATCAGCAAAGCAAGGGACACACCTGCAAACTCACAAACTGTCCAAATATTAGGCGAATATACACATTACAAGCCATGGATGTGTACGAGGGGGCGTTTAGAAAGTTTCCGGCCCGAACATGAAAACTGATTTTTTTCATAATTTTTTATTGCTCAGTACTGGTCGGTCTCCTGGGAAACCATGTGCAAATTTCTGCTCAGATCAAAAGTTGTTCAGTTATTTTTTCAGGAAGTTGAAAATTGTCAATTGGACTTCGCGGCCAATTCTAGCTTCTGCAGAAATGGAGATGGACAAAGAAGGGAGCTCAACACAGTGTACTTAGCATTGTTCCAGCAGCTATTTTGCTACACTGAGTACTTTTCTTAGTAATGTTGTGACACTGAAATCCGGTGGAACGACAGGGGCTGGTACCCTTACTGCCTTAGCGCGTACATGCACTGTTGTTCACGTACAAGCTGTAAAAATGGACCAGCAGGTCTTGCGGCTGCAAGGCCAGCGTCCAGTGGCTGCTTGACTTCTCAACGGATTTCAATGTCCACAACAGTAGATGCTAAGACCAGAGCACACACTGCAGGGACACTACTACGTCAAGATAGTACAACGACCACAGGCTATGCAACATAATGGAGCCAATGCAAATACGATTAATTTTGGGTTGGCTGCATGTATCACACGTAAATCAGGGACAACTGTGTCAACCTGACAACCTCATTATACAATTGAGTAAAGCTCCACAACTGACAGAAAGTTCACCACGGGCGCATAGCGTTAGAATCAAACTTACCCTCATTTTCTCACTTTGTTCGTCACATTTAGTTTGTAAGTCCTGTGTAAGTTGCCTAGCATCAAGGCTGACGTCCTCCAACAATTGACTGGCTTCGCATTGCTCCTGGTCATTCACAAAGAGATAGGCCGATATGCATGCGAACGTAATAAGCCGTACTCAGCATATAGCTTAGGTGAGCTCAGTATAGTATTGCACAATGCAGCATACAATACGGTACTGCACAGTTTAACCAACCACAGCCGACGTGGCACAGTTCAGCTCTGCGCAGCACACGCAGCTGTGGCACAACACGGTGGAGTCGGAGTAATCACATGCAGAATGACTTGGCTCTGCTCAGTGCAGTGCGGCAAAGCCTGGCACGGTCAAGAGAAGACTTACATTCAACTTTCCAAACAGGACAGCTGAGAAAAGGCAGCTAATAGTGCAAGTACCATCACAATATGAAGATAATGGCACAGAAGACCAGCATACAAAAGCAATCTAAACACGTCTATAGCATAAGATTGGAAACATGTCTATGATATGGCAACAATATGTACACACTCATAAAATTATACACACTGCTAGTATCGATTCTAGTGAGAAAATACTGCAGCCTTTTCCCAAAGCTCACTTGGGAAAGACAGCTGGAGGAATTAAGGTTCATATCAGCCTTACACAGACAAAAACCTGCAGTGACTTTGAAGTCACAAAAAGAACCTGGTGCAATGCATGCACTGGCTTAAAACAGTGGGAAACTGTACTGAAGCTTTCACACTGTCACACCAAGCAGCATTGTAAGTAGTCACCTGTTAGAAAGGCGATTACTTCACACTGCTTAGTAAATAGACTAGCACATTGTTCTTCAGCTCACCTTTAGCGCCTGATTCTCCACTTGCACTTGCTCCAGTGCTGCTTCAGCGCTAGCAAGCTTCTCCTGCGGCATGTTGAGGTGATACACACAGAAATCAGAACTGAAATGTTTTCACTGCCTGTGTGAACTACCAACAGCATGTTGATTTCGCGACAGACACATTGCCTTAAAAATGCCATTGAGAAACAAGTTCCATGAAACAGTACCGGAAGTGCCAGTTCCGGCCAAAGGTGAAAGAAACAGCAGGCTTTCACTAGACGAGAAATAGGGTGTTGGCGCTTTGATGTGACAAGCTCCCGCGGCCAACACCGATTTCACTTGTGTGGGAAAGGGATTACTTTGTCCAGCAAACTCCTATGGCTAGGTAAACACAACACTGTCTACTGTACAGATTGGGTGATGGCAGCCCATTGCCTTCTGAGTTGATCGTGAAATTTGTTACGCCAAGGGTGGGCAGCTTGGTGAAAGGAACTCTGCATAATTTCCCCATTCAATAACCTAGAGGCCGGATATGCACTACCCTCATTAGGGTAGTCTTTACATTGTACCTTCAACAGGTTAGTCTCATCTTGCCAGCGTTGATGTTCACCAGCCATCTGCTCTACAGTTGTATTCACCTGGGTATAGGGCACAAGGAGAGCACAATACACATAAACACACAATGTCATGTATGAGATCTCACGCACAAACCCAGCTGGGGGGTTTCGACAACAGGAAACGTGGTGCTGTGCTACCGGGATATTGCGAGAACACAATGTATTTCGTAGCGAAGCATTTTCTCCACTGCCAGATCAACTCACTCTTGAATGATTCGGATTTCTTTCCAGGATGAATAAGATGGAGCATGCTAGAGTTGAACCAACACATTGGAGCAAATTCACTCTGAAATGTGCAAAGCGGCATTCTTGGCATGAGATTGAAGGACATGGGACAGGAACATTCAAGAGGTACCAGGGTGTATTATTCTGGAAGGCATTTACAAAGGTATCTCTCAGCACTCCCCTCCCCAACCCACTCCCAATGCCGCCACAAACCAAAAACCTAAAATGTGAAACTCACCTCGTCACACAGTTGTGATTTCTCTTCAGCCAGTTTCTGGTTTTCTGCTTCAAGTGTAGCGACCTGGGTCTGGCTTGTCTGCAAGATAGTTTTCTGTTTCACACACATGCATATGCGCACAACCAGACGGATTTCAGTACATAGACAAGTACATGTATATGTGAACTCATCAGCAGAACTAAATCAGAGCATAATGTGCAGATGAATACAATTTTCATGATAACGGCACGCAGATAATCCTGCGATCTTTCTGGCACAGATCATGATTTGTGGAGCATCATTTGCGATCAGAACTATCACACCTGTCTCTCACGGCAACAGGCCACTTGTTCCAGTGTTCGTGCTAACACAGGTCGTACTGTTTACTACTGCAGCAGATGGCAATACCAATCTGACTTCAGGGTATAGTACGGTATTGCATTCACTTTATCAAGTGAACAGGCACCGCAGTGCTTTCTCCCTAGACTATTGGCGTAGCTCCTACAGAAGATTAAGATTTTTAGAATATAAGCTTAAGTTCGACACAAGCAGAGATGATGAGCGCAACAGCTCAGGGCTGCTGCAGTGTAGCACTATAAACACTGGGCTCTGCAGGGAGCGTTACTCTGCACTGTTCATGAGTTTGGATGTCACATCGCACAACTGGGGTATACTGGACAGTTGTACAGCTCAATGCATTGCAGATGCAGAAGAGTACTAGGTATCCAGACATCAACTAACTGAACAATCATTGAATCAATACTCTACATGATTGTACTGTGCAACCCAACTGGTGCTACATACCAGTTTGGCTATAGCGTCCATGTGCTGCGTGTGCTGGAGGTTATCCTGCTCCAAACTCGCTGCCAGATCTTGTATGTTGTTCTGCATCAGCTGCCTGCAATTAAGTGTACAGATGAGATAACGAGGCAAATTAGATACCACTGAGTTGCCACCTTCAGACTTGCATCTATGCACGGCACAATAATATAGCAGGGCTGCCATTTTTCTATCGAAACAACCTGAAATGGGTCTGTAGGTGTCAAGGGTTCAGGAGGACGCACACCTTTTACATTGTATAAGCTAAAGCACTTATAGGATTTCAAGAGCATGACACAACAGATTACGGCACTTGAACAATCCTAGTGAGAAAGTGAAGATTGTATTCGGTCGGTTTGTCCGAATGACATGGTAAAATCAGAGCTTTTCTGAAAAATCGGAACAAGTGGCAGCCCTGATGTAGCAGCAACAGAGCAGTTCTAATCAACCAAGCGGCACTATTCTGTTAGAAGTTAAATCATTGCTGTCCGCGTACCGCTGCTTTTCACATTCCACGGCACTGCGTGGGCACAGATTGCTGATCTGCTCTTGAAGAGTATCCACCTGTGACCTGGAGCCAGTCATCTCCGTCTCGAGCTGCTGGACTTGCTCCTGGTAACTTGAAAGTGCCTGCTCCAGTTCAACAATCTACTTCCCGAAGCAAAACACACATGTATAGAATGCACAGCCATGACACAACCGAGAACCAGTCTTCAACATGCGCCTGCTTACGGACATTCCCACAGGCTGCAAATAGCGCTGACAACAGCACTGACTGTGCTCTTACACCATTGCCGCACGCTTACACATCATGCAATGACCAAAGCACCATGATAGTAGGCACTAAACAGTGAACATTGGGTGCACTTATCCCCAGGGATTAGGGCTTTAAGTACAGACAAGATCACCTCAAGTAACAACTCTTGTATTTGACAGTATGCTTGATGTGATAGACTCAACAATGCAAAGCCGTTTAACCTCGCAATTTGGAAATGCTTGCCTTTTGGTGCTGATTGACGTCTTCTGCTTGCACTCGATTCTTGAGACCACTTATTACAGCTTGATGCTGGTTTACAAGTGCCTGTTATATCCAAAACGTGCGGAAAGAGTGCAACAGAGAGAGAGGAGATGAAATACATGTAGTAGACGGGAAGAGAGAGAGAAAGAGAGAAAGAGAGAGAGAGAGAGAGAGAGGAAGTTAGTAGTTTGGTTAGATCTCTACTCTGATAGTGGACACAACACTGTACAACACTGTACATGTAGTAAAAATTCACACAGCTCACTATAAGCAGATGAAGCCAAAGTACCCTGCATAACGTACCTCGTTCTGTCGCATATCCCTCGTCATGGACAGGAACTTCTGCTGCCATACATCTGCCTCACTTGCCGAAGCCTTTTGCGCTTTCGCAGCTTTCTAAACACACAAGAAACAGATAACGCTATAAGTCATGACATTCTTCTGCAGCTTTGACAAGGCAAAAAAATCATTCATGGTACACCTACCAGTATCTCATACGGTTGGGGAGGCAAAGTGCGGTGAAGAATGGCAACCTGCATTACCGGTCTACACGGGCTAGCAATGCGAACAAGCTTTATCCTGATGCTCTGTTTCATGAGGTGAGTGCGTCATAATCTTACGAGCATGTCACCAGTGTTATAGTGTTTCATGTCCATTTACTTCTTTGAAGTAGTTTGATCTTCGCTTTAATAGACTATCTGTGAAAAATCCCTTAGGACATACTGCCTGTAAGGGGAAATTGACTTCCAAGGTAAGTTCTTTTCCCAACACCCTGAGCATTCACAGTACAATCATGCACATGTACACTCATTTTCTTCTAATATCTAATAATATGGTTTCCCAGAGGGTAAAACACCCAGAGTGCATAGCTTTGCCTCAAAGGCAGTAGCAATCTAAACATCCTACCTTGAGTTGATGGTGGCAGTTGGCAAGTTCCTGTGCAGTTCGATCTGGGCATGCCGAGATGGAGAAACAAGTAGTCAGAATTGGAGAAGGAGCCATGTGGTAGAACACACACAGAAGAATTTCAGCTGCTGTACAAATACTTGAAACCTACTAAACAAGACGAACCCAAGGTGCTACCTGTGGAGAACAACCAGTGGCTCTGCCACGAGGAGATTCCATTCAAACCACCCAACTTGCTTTGAGTATAAATCAGCTGAGTTCTATGCCTAAGAAAGTATACGAGTTTCTACATTCAAACAGAAACTGCCTCAGTAAATGAACTACACTGCTGCCCAACAAAGTCCGACTACTGCTGCACTTCCAGCGCCCCAAGGGAAGCAGCTCTTGGTGCCCTATGGCTGTCAGGCTCGCTGGAAGCAGTTCTGGATTGGTCCAGTAGTTTCAGTGCCTTTCATACAGTTTGTGTATGATACGGTGGCTGCACATGGCCTCCATAGCAGTAAACATGTGATGATGGCTAAAATGTTGGTACGGTGATAACCTGACCAGCCGGACTGGTTCCAGCCGCCCTGGCTGTACACGTCAGCTCTAGTTCACATGTCCAACATTCAACCAGTAGTGAAGTTCTCGAGTGATGGTTAAGGTGTGGTTCAGATTTCACTGCTCAGCCCTGTACAGTATAGTACTCGGTGGTGTTGTTGTTTACCAGCTGTGCTCTAACCTGAAAGGCATATCTTTTAAAAGTATATTGTGCAGAAGTGAACGTCTGGAAAATAATTAGCCTTGTGGCTAAGATATCCCTGGTGTCATACAAATCATTGGCGTGAGATTGAATGTGTAGTTTCATAATAGTCCCATACAGACGTTTTTATCCATCATTTTCATTTTCAAGTATGCACTGCATCCTTAGCACTAACTCACCGATTACTCTTTGCTGTTGCAGCACTTCATCATCCTTCGCCTGCAAGGATTTCTTCAGCGAGGCATTCTCCTCGTCTGCCATGGCAGATTTCCTCTCCGCGTCGGCGGCGCGCCCACATAGTCCAGCTACATCGGATTGCAGCTCCACAATGGAGCATTGGAGATCAGCCACCATTACGGCCACGTCCACCTCTGTGCTGTCATGCACGGCCTGAAGGTGATCGAATACACATATCATGGTCCGTTGGTGTGTAATGTAGTTAACATGTGCCATACATATACGAGTATAGACAGGGTACCAGGTTCAAGTCATGCTGCTTGGCAGCGGAAGGATTTTTCCAAGCCGTGTTGCGAGCAACAGTCAATTAGGAACTCGTGGCCTGGTATGAGGGAAATATGGATGCAGCGAATGATATTTCAGTCTCTGACAACTTTGGTAGTGAGTTTGATCTGTCCACTGGTCCAGTCCATCCAGCAGGTGGAAACATCACTTTCAAAGAAGAGATATGCAGTTGTGAAATATTTCATTGGATTGGGATTTTTGGATACTTTGTTTGCGATTGTATTTAGTTAGCCTGAGAAACAATAAGTCAAACCTCATCGCCTCCTCCAGTACAGTATCATAAAAGCAGAAATTTTCCGTGGCGTAATTTTTTCGGTCTTCTCCAAAATCGGCGGGTCGGTGGAGGGGAATATTCGGTAAAACCGTTTTCCAGGTAAGTGTACCACAGCCAGACCTCGCTTGTCCGGTCCTCTTTTATCCGGATCCCTCGACATCCAGAAAAAATAGCTAATTACAGATTTACAGCATACGTGATGCATCCAACATAACCGGTGTTCGATTATCCGGTTTACCGAAATATTCGGTGTTTTTTTTATTTGAGGTAAAAATTGCCGGCACCGAAGTAGTTACCGAAAATAAATCACCGCCGAAAATTTCTACTTTTACAGTATGTAGGTGCATAAAATTTTACTCAGGAATTGTATTTTGTTAGCTCAGGATGCATGAGGGCATTAACGAAAATGGAATCCAATCGAATTTATGTGCTATAGTACCTTTACAAGTTCTGCACGTAATTGTTCGCATTCTCCTGATACGCTCCTGAGTTGTGACTCCAGATGTTCATGGCGTTCATGGTACTCCGCTGCGTACTGTGCATTCTCCGCGGCGTGACGGCGCGACTTCTGCAGCTCCTGTCGTATGTGCTGAACCTCTTTGCTGCGCAGTGGAAACTCTCTCAGGAGTCGCAGTACCTCCTTGGTGTCAGAGTGTCGCTCTCTGCGAACTTCTACTGCATGTCTTGAGTGAGTACCCGTAGGTAACGCATGTTGAGTGGATTTGGTACTTGGCTTTCTTTTACGACTATCAGCTGTCCACATTGGAACAGCACCATTTCCAGATGATTCGTGTGTAACAGTCTTCTCAGCAAGCCTGCCCGTGTCTTCTCGTGTGCCACGTTTGACTGTCTCCCCGCTAGCGCTGCCGCCCAATTCCACAGTGGTCTGAGACGACGTAGCGCTCAGTTTTCGCTCTCGTTCCGTTGCCAGCATATCACCAAGCGAGCGTACAAGCGATTCATTCTCCGCCAATCGCCTAACGATCGAATCCAACTGTCCTTGAAGGTAGTTCTTGCCGTTGGCTAGTTCGAAGGGAGAAATAGGCCTGCCGGTGGCCTCACCAGAAGTTCCGGACGTTTCCATTTCGTTCATTGTAAGACAACTAAAGTAAAGTAATGCTGAGATCTGTTTTCATAGCAAATGTTCACTAAAACATACGACAGTTTATAAAAAATATTAATTACAATGACAGCATTCCAAGTCCAATCCATGCACGTGACTCTTTTTCACTGGGGGTGGAGGATCAGGTCATTCAGCATTTTCAGGGAGCAGGTGGATCCGGAGCATCAATCCGGTGCTAAATTGTTTAGTATTGTGACCATACACTTATAATTATACAATCATGTACATACAGGTACAGGTACTCGGTCCCTAGACTGCATACATAATAATCATAATAATAATAATAATAATGCAGAATGCAGGTGTCAGCCATGGCGCCAGCGAGCCAGAAGTACAGCAAGGGAAGGAGTACTACTGCCAGCAACCAAGCTCCAGTAAACACCTACTTTTTAAAATATTTGTATTACCCCCTAGGCCCTGTGCTAACACCCCCTGGCCTGAACCGGTATAGCCATGCCCCATGGTACCGCCTGTGCAGAATAAGGACACCGCCCAAGTCACGGAGATACAGAGTGATGAGTACAAACAAGGCCGGTCCTGGAAGCTCGAGGTAGAGTGCTCAATGTACGAATGTACAGAGCAGTATACACACACAACAGAGGCGAAAGGCTGTGTTAGCTGTAACTTAAAGTTTCACGCATCACAGCGATCGAGTGATGAGTAAATACCACTGTAGTGTGCTCACGATACTAGTTGCTGCAACTAGGGAGGGTGAGAGGTACATGTAGTACATTGAACATAGGGTAAAAAACGGCTATAGGCATGGGTGCACCGTTGCTGTTACTCTGTGTAGCGGTAGAGGAAGGAAAATCATGCTCGCTCGCAATGTTTATCCCATAGTGTCATACACTGCAAGTAGCCAAAGAGTTCAGTACATGGCATCATAACCTGACTGAGCTCAAAATACTTTTCAAAATGCATGGAGAGTTTAGTGCATATCGTCATGATGCTATCTAGAGTAGTATGCTGTGTAGTAGTACTCTGAACTACAGACCGTCTTATCAATTGCCTGTTCTATGGCTAGTAAAGGTTTCCCATTAAATGGCTGTCTATGGCAGCATAGAAGGTAATCCCATAAAGATCGATAGTGCTAATAGTCAACCAAGTTCTCATATACTATAGTCCAAATCAAAGTATCACAAGTGAGGGACATGCACAATGGAAATGGATGACAACTGTGGCTCGACACGGTGCACTACTTTCACAGGTTTCAATCCCAGAAAGCCTCTATCTACAATAGTGTGATTGATGCCACTGTGACTGTCATGTTTCCAACGGCAACCCGAAGCAGAATCATGAGCCGTTAGGCAGGAGCTCATTGCTGCATGTATCTAAGTGTAAATAGTCCAGCAAGTTGGCGCATCGGCTACTAGGGGTGTTGCTCGGGAATCTTGTACCCACGGCAGCCCTTGTTCTCCACAATGGGTCCCTCGGGAAGTTCATGTATCCAGTTTTTCAGTTGAATAGTGAGATTCTGGACCAGCTCTGGGTTTTGGCCGGCGACATTATTCGCCTCAAATGGACTTGTGGTCAAGTTGTAGAGCTCAACGTATGTTGCGTTGGTGTTCATCAGCAGCTTCATGTCACCGGCGCGAATGGCGACGCGCGGTGCCTCGTTCCAGCAGTTGCCTTGCAGTGCGTAGCGCCATTCCCACATCAGCGGGTGAACGCGCTCCTTCAGCGGAACGCCCGACATGATGAGATCCGTGATGTCGACGCCGCGTAGACTTCCCATCCAGTTTGCGGGGATGGTAGTGTTGGTGATGGTGGCTATGGTGGGGAACCAGTCAAGCGAGGAGACCGTGGCGTCGGACACCTTGTTGGCCGGAATCTTACCAGGCCAGTACGTGATGAACGGTACTCGCACACCACCCTCGTAAATACTGCGCTTGCGTCCGCGGAAAGGCCCCGCCGTGCCGACACTATTGAAGTAGATGTGTACATCTTCGGGGCCATTATCAGCACTGAATACGACCAGCTGTGAAGGAGCAGATACAGCAAAGCAAAGACATTACCAGCACTGAATACGACCAGCTGTGAAGGAGCAGATACAGCAAAGCAAAGACTCTGTTTCACTCAATCCAAGGACAGTGCTGTTTCGCTCAGCATAACCCAGGGCTTGACTGCAAAATATCACAGAGGGCAGTATAAGTACACATACAGACTCGATAGTACAAATTTGTGTACTGTGTAGGTCAAGATCACTCTTCCGCCGACCCGTTCTTTCTCAACCATAGTCCTGCTTAACATGGCCAACCCACTGTGCCTTCTTAATTTGCCCAAACAAAGCATAGCCATCAACTCACAGCACTTTGCAGTCACCCGGACTGGGCCACCTGGCACTTGTCCAAACTTGTTGGCCATCAACCCCGGTTTACCAGGTTATGTGTACCCACTATCATACACAAACTGCATGAGAGATAATAGTTATGCTAGGACCAGACCAATCTAAACCTGCTTTGGGCGGTCCTGATAGGCGCAGCATATGCCCGAGAAAACAGAGTACGGTCGACCCCTGTTATAACAAACACCATTGTACAGGAGAATTTTTTAGTTCTTTATAGACGAAGTTCGTTACAATCCGAAATGTACTGAAATTAGACAAGCAGCAAGTCCTGAGTCGGATTGACTGATATGTGGCCCATGACAGCATGCGTGCACTTGGTGTACATACAGCCCGACAATACTTAGTTCGTTATAAACGAAATGTTCGCAATAAAGGGTCAAACAGGCACATGAACAATGCCAGGTTCGCTATATCACAAAATTCGCTGTAAGGGGTAATTATCGAACTTTTTTCACCAAACGAATTATTTTAGTTTAGAACCAACCCCTCCCTCCCCCTCAGAACGTAAAAATTGTGGACATATACATGCATATACAACAAAAGTCGCAAGTGTGTCACTGCTCCTATGGCCATGTACATGTATCGAAGTTTTCTGAAACGAAATTGGTCAACCCCCTCCCACCCCATAACGAAATTATTTCATTTCGTGAAAAAAGTTCGATAATTATGGACGACCCCTAAGCGAGTTCGTTATAAGTGGAGTTGACTGTAAGCACCTTCAGCACTGCGTAGGCATACCGTGTTCTTATCAAGACCCTTGCTCTGCAGGAAGTCCAGCATTCTACCGATATGTACGTCGGCATCGTGCTGCGCGGCACGGAATATCTGCTCCGGACAGCTCGTGAAGTCCTCCAGGTCTGGTGTCATGCCAGACCAGGGACAGAATGTCTGCATGGAGAAGTTCGTCAGCTGCTCTTTCATCAGGTTCAGCGGAGCATGGGATATGTGAAACCAAAGGTTGAGGTAAAACGGCTTCTTGGCAACCGATGCATTGTTGATGAACTCCATTCCCAGGTCCACAATAGCTTTACTGCTGCGACCTGGCCACAGCTGGTCAGAGCAGTTCAACTGTGAGACACACAGGAGCAGCATAAAAGTATTGAATCAATCACAACAGCAAAGAAAGAACCTTTGGCTCTCCCGTCCTTTCAGGCCAGTGGAGTAGCAGGCACTGGGTTGTGACATATTTTGTAAAGTGTCCATGATCAGTATTCGGGGTGCATTAAAACCGGAAAAGTGTAATGAAATAGGCAATTGTAGAATGTGGGGAACATACTGCAGCTGGGCAATGACCATTTTCGGACTTATGTCCCCATATCACTTCAAGCATACGTATCCAGCATTTGTTCCTTTACCGACAACCAGGCACCCAGACTGTTATCATATCCTAGGAACTTGCTGGTACATGTACTAAACGTCCATGCTCCATTCACTCTTTACACTACCGGGTATCTTCAACAATCCTGCAAATGAATACAAGTCTTACCTTGGTGTTTGGGCCAGGGTTAGGGGGTCCAGAGCATCCAGGCAGGCGTGTCGGATCCGTTGATACGTACGTGGCTGAAGAATCTATGCCATACTCAGATGGCGGCGGCGCATCTTCTGTGGCTCCTGTTTCAAAAGCCGAGCACCAAGCAAGAAAGAAAGCTGATGAAGGCATGGCGCTGACCCAGTGTGTGCTCACCATGCAGAGCATATTCTCACTCTCTGTGCTTTGCCCTGGCACATCTCTTGTTATCTTCCTCGGTGGCGTTACCATCAATAAGTACCCCTCCCCCCGACAATGTTGGTTCTTCTGGTTTAGAATAAACATTCACCTAGTTTTAAAATCATGCCGTACACCATTATTACGGCCCAATCATATTATACCGTCCCAGCAGCTTGTGAGTACGGGACTTGGTGAGATTGTTCACGCAGCTTGTGAGTACGGGACTTGGTGAGATTGTTCACAATCTCAACCAAATCCGCATTCACCAGCAGACCAAGATACATGTATGATTGTACTACTGTACTATGGGATTTTTTTTACTAACCTAGATGCCATTTGCCAAAATGTCCTGTAGTGTAGCCAGCACCTTGGAGGAGCAACGTCAGCGTTGGAATGTCATGGGGCAGGTAATCGGCACATCCTCGCGCGGCGTTCTCCGCATGGTTTCCCGTGAGTGCAGTGTGAATCTTCAAAGAGGCCGGGTGCCTTCCAGTCATGAATGCTGTGCGGCTTGGGCTGCACACGGGGTTGGCTACGTGAAAATCGGTGAACACCGTGCCCTTGCGGCCCATTTCGTCCAGGCGAGGTGTTCGACTCCTACGATCGCCGTTGTAAATTCCTACGTCGCCCCATCCCCAGTCGTCAGCAAGAATGAAAACCACATTAGGCCTGGACTCTTCCTGGGCCAGAGCGGTCAGGCTGAGAGCCAAGACCAGAACAACAGCTTGCAGCATTTCTCCTCCTGTCTCCTAGACAAACAAAATAATGGTGTCAATGATCACAAACAACTAGTTTTGAGCCTTCAAATGAGATTAGAACAAAACAGCTAGCTGGTATTTCGACGGGTGACAACGAAGTCATATGCCTCCCAAATATCCGTCTCACATGATCGAATGCTCCGGGGCATGACCTGGCAAAATGCTCCAGCGACCCTTGAAGTAAATAAATTAATTAGTTGAAGTGTAGATCTACATATTTGAAGGTCGTCATCTCAACACAATGCATAGAAGTCAGCAGGGACTGGTGTGCATGCAGGCGATCAAGTCGACTATCATCCACACATAATACTTAATAGTAATACCAGCTAGCACAGTAGTAAACTCCAGACTACAATGATCATGATGATAGTAGTGTAGACTCCCTCCTTTACCGACAAACCCGCAGCACTGAACGAACGACTGCTCAAGTTAGTTCCTGCAAAGAGTTTCCTTACACAACGCAATGATAAAATTATCATTATTATGATCTGTAAAGTGGTTCTGTCTTCGGGGGAAACATAATAAAAATCACGTATATGCAGTACTACGACGATTGTGTCAAGGAGTGGAGTCCAAAATGCATAAACAAGAACACACATGATTGTACAGGTACCGAATACCGGTAAGTGCTGCTTACATTGCTTGCGTACTGATCAAATCAGAAAAGTCCGAGATGCTGCTCATACTGGGGCATTCGGGCTATGAAATAATGAGTTTGACTAAATACAGAATAGGTCTGAATATTGATTATTGATATCGTCGCTACCTATACACTATCTCAATATACAAGTACCTATGCATAAGTAAGGAGACACAAACAATCTGGTGTTTGTTTAGCGGAAAGAGGGTACATCAAACTGTCGATCTTGGAAAGTGAGTTCAAACCTGTCATAACGTTAGTCATGACTATTGCTACTCATGATGGGTATTCACGTTCTCATTAGGTTTGTGGGTCTGGCGGGACATGCTGCCGTTGTCGCACCTCCTGGTCATGCTCCAGGGTGGCGTAGTTCCTGCCGCTGGTGGAGGTTTCGGGCGCGCCGGGGTTCACCTGCCAGTGGATGCTGTCCTCGAACAGGTCCTCATCGCAGTCTTCCGGCGGGAAGCAGAACTGCAGCTTGAGAATGAAGCCGGTGAACACGCCGCCAACTATGGCGATGCCTATAGTGGTGGCCAGTGCGGCCAGCTGAAACAGAGCCTGTTCGCGGCGCGTACGGCCATCACCGGGACTGACGTCAAAGCCCAAGCTCTGTAGCCGCAGCAGTTCGGGATCGCTGGCATTCTTCGGCGCCATGGCCGGGTAGACTTGGTACAGACTGCAGAGTTCAGACAATCAAAACATTGCAGTGTTCAGACGATCTGAACATTACAGATACATTCAACCTTGGGAATAACCATCCTTGATCGAGAAAATTTTCGTTATTCAGGAGCTGCCGGTATTCGTGGGGTTGAAAGTCTGCGGTCAAATGGCCACTAGGTCTCGAGATTGTGTCGTTTTCCTCGAGTTGCTGTTATAGCCCGGGTCGTGATTCACGTGGTTGACTGTATACTACAATAAACACAATCAAACCCTAACTTGCTGGCCCACAGCACACTGAAGGCCAGACCGTGCGTACGCTGGTGGAAAATAGCAGCTCTTTGCTGATTGAACTGGGATGGAAAGCCAAGGATTATTTATAAAAAGTAAAAAGGACCAAGGAACTACAAGTTATACTATATTGTTAGTGGACATTATAGTGTAACTTGTTGTTCTTTGGTCCTTTTTAGTCTTTGCTGATTGTCAGATATGCGCTGTGCCATGTTTAATCCAGAAACATGAGGTGATGTAGCTTTCCCTCTATCACCTGAACTCGATCGATACCGACTTTGGCGGCAGTACATAACAACAATGTCAAGTACACCACAGCCTGCATTGTACACCCACATAACTGTTCCATTACGAGGCTGGTCAGTGCTCTTCAGCAAAAATGAATGAGAAAAGCCATGCGATTGGGCCGAGAAATATACACCTTTTGTACACACACGCACAGCAATGCTTGTCAGCACCCTCTCCTCTACTCACGTGTTGAAGTAGGAGTCACTGCTAATGGTGGTGGTTGCTGCAATGCCCGCAATGGCACCCAGTACGCCAGGCATGCCGTGCAGATTGTGCACACCACACGTATCATGAAGCTTCAAAGTCTGAACAGAAAACCGGCACAAAAGAAACCAATCCACTTGTTTAGGGCCTGGAGTCATCCTTTTGAAGTACAATTCTGGAGAAATGCCCAGGAGAAAGATAGATGTTCATTAGTTTAGGGAGTTGCAAACGGGAAGAATCTGAAGAGAAAATGGACTGTCCCCATCAAGACTCAAACCAGGGAGAAAAGATAGCCTGAAGAGAAGTGGTTGGTGGGTTCCTGGGTGTCCGTGTGAATGCATGATATAAGAATGTGTGTATGTACATTGCCAATTATTTGATGCATTTACACAATGTCTGTACTGTGTACATTCAGGCTTAACGTAATCAAGTGGTGTGCTTCACTGTCCGAAGAGTGCTCAATACCCATGTACATTCAGACTTACCCGTTGCAAGTACGGCTGCAGACTGACATAACCAAACACGCTCACAAGAGCAGCAACAGCTCCAAGAACCTGGGCAGCCCAGGGCTGGATCAGGAAGTTCGCTGATGCACCCACAGCCACACCACCAGCAAGCGTGGCATTCTGAATGAGAACCTGCAATGCAGAGATATCACATGGGGTTTACAAAACAAATTCAAGAATTAGTGAAGTACACATGTGCAGTGGTTAATTTTCTCCCCATCCCAGTCACGAAGAAAAAAAGTGGCTGCACAGACATCTGATGCACTGTAGTAGAACGTACAGAGCGAGATAAAAGATGGGCATGAGCTACAGTAACGTATTACTTCTGTAAACTAAAACTTGGCTCAGTGGTAATGAAAATTGCACAGAAAATGTCACGCGGCCCATGTTTAGTCAGGGGGAACTAGCTTCATGTACATGATCCTGGTCTGAATTTGGCTCACATCGCCCAACCGAAGTTAGAGTCATGTACTATCCAGAAAAAGCTGGTTAGTTCAGTCTGTACCCTCCCCCCCCCAGCACCCTTCCTTGCCTCCCTCGATCTGCAGAAATATGAAGCATTTTCTTGGGCATCTGAAAAGCAAAGCAGCTTACCATATCAAGCCTCTGTTTCTTGTTGAATAGCGTAGCCAACGCAAAGGTCACCACAGTGCAGGCACTGAGTGAATAGTATGTGTTGATCACAGCGCGATGCCTCTGATCACCAACCTTCAGCGAGGCATTGAAACTGGGCCAGTACAGCCAGAGCACAATGGTACCTGCAATGAGCAACACACGGACATCACATTCAGTCAAACACTAGCAATTGCAACATCACTACAGTCCATTCATTGGAAACTGGCACCCTAACTTTTTGGTGTCTCCCACACATAGTTGCAGATATCGTGAAAACAACAGTACATCCTGCGTTGTGTGACCCGTGCAATTACTCCTTGCCGCATTTGAGGGCACAAAAGTCCAAGAACAGGGAAATAGAAATTCAGCCAGATTTTACAAAATTAGGCCAGGTATGGCAAAATGTATGGAGAAGCAGATCCCAAACCCAGATTTGTGAGATTTAAAGTTGGTTTTTGATCCTCAATTCGGCCCAAATCCAACTTTCAAAAGCCAGCGGGACTGTTTCCGATGAATGGACTGTAGTACTAGTATGCACAGTCAGGCTCAAGAGACGAGTCATTTTCGACAGCAAGTCACAATGTATGGTAGTGGAAAGGGAGACGTTTCCAGTTGAAAGTAAATCTCGTTACACATATCCAGGCAACTTGCCTGGATATGTGTAACGAGATTTACTTATTGAATAAGTTAACTCCTCAACTCCATCGCAGCATGTTCTTCATGCTTGAGAATGCCTCCGTCCCAAGCACTCGACCATAGGCTCTACTCCACAGGCTTTCAGCCGTGCCATATACACTTTATTGCCAAGCACCGTCATTGATGCCCCAATGATAACCATCGATTTGGGCTATCATCACGGCATTAAACACGGAACTTAGCTATTAAATATTAATCACTCTACCACACTGCGCTCTCGTTCTCTTTCTTTATCTGACTCTCTCATGTGATCTATGTGTGCAGGGATTGACTGGAGTTGGAGCCAACATGGCCGCCCTGCATGGTCGTGTGATAAGTGTGAAACCCCTCAAAACTATGGTCGAGAGAAACCGTTTCTGTTTCATGCCAGTTTCCAGCCATCTTCTCCGTGTGATCGCAATCGGCAGTATTGCGGGACATGGAAATACATGTAGCTGGGTTATTCGGAAAATGCATGTTGTCACTTGTATCTGGAGTACACGCTCACCGAATATGGAGAACAGATCCGAGTGATACACGGCGCCTTCCTTCTCCGATCCCGGTTTTCGGGCATGCCGTGTGTCCGGCGCAAGTGTCTTGCTCATTGCAATGCCAAAGTACGCCCCAAACGTGTGCACAAATATCGATCCTCCCACGTCCTCGGCCTTCAGGTATTTCACACCCACAGTTTCACTCACAGCGAAGAACATAATTTCAAAAAACGCCATGAACAGCAGCTGAACTACGGACACTTTGCCGAGCACCGCACCGAAGCTGATCATTACGGCGGCGGCGGCAAAGTCGGCCGTTAGTAGGTTGTCGGAGGTCAGGTGTATTTGCTCGTCGTACTCGCCCTTGAAGAAGCCAAGTACCAGCGTAGCCCACTGAAGAACTAGCGCTCCCAGGAAGAAATTCAGCCCGATGCTGCTGTAGCCGTAGCGTTTGAGGAACGCCATCAGAAATCCGAACCCAATGAACATCATGCTGTGAACGTCTTGCCACATCGGGTACAGAGAGTCGATGCCATTCGCTGCAGGCTTAGTGGCGTTCGGGTCGAGCGATGGTCTGGCCTCAGGACGGTCATACTCCGTGAACACACCAAACAAGATCAAGAACACTGCCTGAAAGAACAGCGCAATTATGGTGAAGCGCTTCTCCGACAAACTTGGCAAAGCCATCTTGTTCGCTACCGCTGCACGTCAGGAGCGGTCCCATAAATCACTGGTTGGCAATTCCCTGTGCTGACTTGACTTACTACTACTAGTACCCCAACTCTTACATTCATTGGAAAGACTCTGCAGCAATACGCAGAACTACCTCCACAAAGACAATTATTAATTTTTAGATTTTAGTTGCAGTACATTCCCACAAAAATTTACAAAATCTTGAAACAACCGACTGGCACATGCATGGTACATGGTCAGGTCTCAGGATACTGCCTCTACCCTTCACTTGAACGGAGAGTAGAGCCTATACTACCCTTCAGCTTGGTGGGGTGTAGACTGTAAAACGCAGGCCAGATCGGCAGATGCTGGTTTGACACCAGGGCAGGGAGCCAACCCTACACTGCACTACGCTACACACACATAAGAGACGTGTCATGACGACTCCCTGGTGAGTGCGCGTAGATCTACATGCCATGCATGGTGTGCATATATGTGCAGCCTCCGTGACTCCATTTTTGAAAAGTTCATACATTTTTTACAAAATAAGTAGCGCGCTAGCACGCGCCGGGCGCTACGCGGCCCTGGCACCATACCCCCCCCCCCACACACCCATTCCCTAGCCTAGTATTAATAATGTAAGTAGTATAGGGAACTCACGACGTATACAGCTGGTCATTATGTACATGTACATGACTGTATCCAGGGGCAGTGCCAGGGGGTAAGAAGGAGATAAGTCTCACACAAATGCCAAAGAACCCCATATTTTGGGCCACAATACCCTGACCTGTAGCTGCATCCATGTACCCCTTGTGCCTGGCCACAAATGCACAATCATTCACACACCCACACACACACGCCCCAGTTGACTGTGGGTAGCAGTAAGGCTGGAAATCCCACTCCCGGACAGCGCTTGAACCAGGTGCCCCTCGTATCGCAATCATGGTCTTGGAGTCTTAGACCAACCTACAGACTGTGCTTGCTTGGTCTTGCCTCTTGGTCTGTATTCATGGAGGGTACATGTAATTGTCTGGCCGATGATGACCAGAAGGCAGGCCTGTAATGCATGGCGTACATGCACAATGTAGATGACGTTGTGCAGTTACCCTTACTGACTAGAGTAGGGAATACAAGCCAAACTGTACACCCTCCACATATTAATTGATTTGTACCAACCAACTTTCTGTCTGATACGGGCCACAAATGTCTGCCAATATTGCAGCGCCATCTGCACATCTCCGCTATGTTGAAAGGAGCATCACTGCAGTTACACACAACTTACATGTACATTTAAATAACTGAACCTGACTATCGTGTGCTGAGTGCTTCTGAACACGATACTCAGGGTGGCGGAAAGATTGTTGGTCTGTTTTGTTTTGCCTTTGTGTGGCATTTGACATGTGTCACTGAATCAATGACAGTCTAAGTCTGATCTGTCAGTGTCAGTGACCTGCATTATGTGTTATTAACTTATTATTCACATCATCAATTGTGCGCTTTGGACCTTATCGCAAACATTAACCGACGTCGTCAATGTATGGCACCGGAAGAAACTACGTACCATCATTGGTGTCACGTACCCACAACGAATCTCGAACACAGCGCTGTATGCCAGAACCGAGCAGACCCCACAATCCCAAGTCTGCAGGCAATGGAGACTGCTGTGGTTCGGCCATGTAGTGAGGGAAGGCGAAGAATCGTCCTCTTTCCAAGCCCTCCTAATGTCAATCAACACAACAGACATACGACGACCCCGAGGACGACCACGTCTGAGATGGATCGACGTTGTCAAGAAGTTACAATGCATTAATCTGTCGCTTCTGGATGCTGTGCAATCTGCTTCTGATAGAGCTGCTTGGCTCGAAATTGTTAACAGATGCGTTGACCTCATGCAATGAGTGAAATGCGAACTGTCATTATTATTATTATTATTATTTGGAAAGGATTGGGATTATTATTATTATTATTATTATTATTATTATTCACATCATTGTGCGCAGTATGTGGGGAGTCCATGAATACTAGCACCCACCATGCCCTCACGTGCCTGGCGGCAGTGGCCGGTTATTATCCGTGGGCTCACTTCGGGATCTTCTGCCGCGAAGTTCTGGCCGGCGTAGTGCGGGAGGTACTGTACTGCCCGATATCGAGGGTGAGCCACGCTTGCTCCCACTACATGGTGAGGACATCTCTGCCGTCTCGGCTAGCCATCAGGCAGAAGCACGCCTAGACATGCAGGCTAACTAAGTAAGGGTTTCTGGGCGCGGCAGCAGGACACCCTTTTTTTGATGTAGGGCCAATGGCAATGGTCACAGACCTTAGGCCGTCCTTGCTGTCTCGTCCGACAATCCTTAGCCAACTGGGAACACAAGAGCGAATGAAGAAGGGGACGTATGGTGCCAGAGAAAATAGTGGGAAAGAGCATTATCCATGGCACTGGTGTTTTCGACTTCGGAGTGGTGGGCAAGGAAACAACCACAACTCGTACATTGCACATATACATGTACATTGTATATCTGTTAATATCTGAATTCACTGGTTCCTTTGGTTGTCGAAAAAAGAACTTGGCCTACTCTGCCATGACAGGTAAGCTACGGACCCGGGTTTCGTTTTGCCTACTGCTGTGGGCAGTCACAGGCTTTAGGGGCTGCAGGGCCTGTTACATCCGCCGCAGGGTCGGGAGCTCCTTTTTCAGCGTATTTCCACCGGTCGTGTTGATCGAGCTGGAGGTGTTCGTTCGCCTTTGCATGTCAGCCACTTATTCATACATATCCACCGCCACTTTAAATAGGTAACGGTTTCTTGTCAAGCCTAATGATTCCCCAAAGACTGTCCGTCTGTCGAGAGGTTTTCTGATAATAATTATTATGATCGATCTTACAGAACAGAACAACAAGGACAATCAAGGCTTGTTTGCTGCGACTTGAAGTTTCATGCTCTCGCAATCATCAGGCAACATCAATCTTATTGATCAATCTTACACTTCAATTGAGTGTTCTGATTGTTACCGAATTTGGGTTGCCTTTTTGGTTTGGTTCTTACTTCATGGTTTCACGCAATCGGCTTTCTGAATAAACCCATCCTCCAGTACTACAGTGACCTGTAAACTCTCAGTGAGCTGTATCGCAATCTACTGAGTAGCTCATCTCCAATGGAGTCTTCTCTACTGTCTACTCTGCCCTGCCATGATCTATGTACATGTACATGTACTGTCTGTTGTCGTACCATGGGTAATGCATGACATTGTAGAGTGTTTTGGCTCTACTTTGGCTCTCCATCCCACTCCAAATGGAATGCTGGAAGACATTTTTTTAACCAATGGGACTGCTGATGGATGCCATAATGTAATAATTATATAATGTAATGATTATATAATGTAATGTACATTATTCATGACAGTCATGTATTTCAAAGTAGCACATGCTCACTGTAACGTAAGAGTACTTATTTTTCTATCTTTCCCCTCGGCGAAATTCCCCAACCCTGTACTCGTGCTGGTGTCTGTATTTTTAAGAGAGCAACACCAAGAGCATGTTTCTAAAACTTAGAAGGTGAGGATGCAGCGTGTTGGACCATACCAGCACAATCATGCACTGCACTGCGTGATGGTTTACCGACATACATGTACATCATACTACATGTACATGACCTAACTATTGGGCGCCTGCCGCTGTCGTGTCTGCGATGCTATCACCATGAACTGAGTTTTCGTTGTAGGTCTTCATCGCATTGTAGTCATTCCATGGACCATGCATTGCTAGTCGCAAGGTACTTAGTGTCTCTTCTGTCCGTTACCTACGCGCTTGAGCCTCCAGACCAACAACGGCAGTGCAGCACAGTGCAATGCGTTCCATGGCTCACAAAGGGTACATTCTTGCCTGAGAACCTAGGATTAGTCGTGCATAGCCTTGTCTTCATACGTGTGTTGGCATCCTTCATGAGCTTGGACTGCATACAGTGGACACGCCGATTCCGTGCACAGCAGCCTAAGGTCGGGTTTGGTGAGGAATATCATCACTCCATCGGTTTGATAATTCAGACGTTGAGTTCTTAGTCTTCTGACACATCAGGCTACGTTGAACGAAATCATTATTGGATATGCTCCGATAGTGCTCGGCCCATTGATTTCGAACAGAGCACCTATTGCTGAGGACATTGAAGTTTGCAATGAGCACATTATTCTTCGCACTCTAGATTAGAATCACAGCCATCGCGCACTGGATTAGGTGCAATCATGTCTGATCAAGCTCCACTGGGTGGCTGAAGGCCAGGCCACCGGGGCGCTTTTGTACTCCATTATTCTAGAGCCGCTCGTGCTCAAGAAGCGATGAGGCGTCTAAGTGTGCTACCGACAACCTGGTGTACAAACTGTGTCAGGGCTGAGGCCATTGGGAACGCACTGAGAGGAAGACTCGTACTGCATGTGAGGGACACCGACTCTGACTGACAGTAACCCACGTACTCTTACTAGTCTTAGTGAGGTTAGGGTGTGTTTCTTCTGCCAGTGTCTGGCAAACTCGGCATGCAAACCATTGCATTGCGAAGAACCCCGTGTTACTGGTACATGTACTGGTGAGTGGCATTTAACCTCAGTTGATGTAATTCAGTGTGTGTGAATGCAGCATGATGGTCAGTGCAATACTGAGGAGCACTTAGAAAGCATGGCCCTGCACAGTGTCGGCCGATGAAATACGGAATCGTCCTCGGGTGTCGGATACAGTGGGATATAGAGCCGCAATGTTCCACACAAACACGCGCACAGCAATGTAGGCCACAGTTCGCCGAGAGGGCATGCGAATGATGTCGTCGTGGTGGTGAGTTAGCAGAACAGCTGATGGGCGCATTGCATACAGCGCGAGTCGGCGAATTCGTTTTTGCTCGTGCATCGCTGTGGGACGAGTCCGCGACTTTGCCATAACATCTAAGCTGGTGATGTAATCGCATAACTTCCCAAGGATTGATTCCACAATTCGTATCACTGCCATATTATGGTTGTGCAATGCAAGTAGATCGTGTACGCTAAACTCATGTACAGGTATCGAGGTACCCCAGGGACCGAGTTCCATCTGTCACGCCAACTTGGCTGGCAAAGCGAGCGAAGCGCTCCATGCCAGACGGCACGCATTGGACGTGTCGAGCCGTCCTCCGCCGGCGGTACCACGGCAAATACTGCTAGCATTGGGCAACCAATGCTAGACCCTGTCAGGATGTACATGGATGTCGTTAACTACCTATAAAACCTTCACACATCTCTCATCGCAGAGAGAGAAGCAGATGAACAAGAGGGGAAGTTGACATTCACTTCTTATCACTCGTTGTACTTCCTCGGTATTGTTTGCATAGCTCAGAAAGAAGACTAGTTGTTCACGTCGCAAGAAGGCAAGGAAACGATGACACGATTTTCAGTTTCAACAGTCCAGGCACTGTGCGGTATTGCGTTGTTGCTGATCGTTGCAAATGCTAAGACTAGCAATGCGCTCTCCTGCTTCTGCAACGAGCCTGGAAGGTTCAACTCGGACTGCGATGAGGCGCGCTCAGAGTGCAGCGTATCGGAGCTCGGCTGCTGCTACCAGCACTTGAAGAAGATGCCAGTTCCGAACAGGAATCCCGCGGGAGATCTGCGATCTGATTACTATGGCTGCATCGACGAGCCCATCCAGTGTATGATTGGCAAGAGCGATATGCTGCGAGATGGCCTGTACGCTGTATGCGATGACGGCAACCATTGCAACCAGAAGGATCGCAAGACAATTATCTACCAGGAGAAGCGGCATAGAGACATGACTGAGGAGGATCGCGAGGATGTCGAGAAGACGAACAGTAAGGGAGCACTTCATCTCACATACCAGCACATTGTAGTGAGCATTTTAGATGCATTCATCATGACCCTGGTAATGGAATGTTATAATAGATACGAGTACATGATTGTATTCAAGTCATGTCCATGAGCCCATATTTGACTACTTGTACAACGTACAATTCTTGCACTCGTGCCCTCGCGAAATCCGGCCCCTCAGCTAGCTTTCCGCGTAAGTTCCGATATTACTTGCAGGGCTAGGACTGGCACCCTGAACCGCGTTCAGGCTGCCCTAACGTACGATCCCGGATTTCATTGAGCAGCACACTTGAGCATGTAACTGCTCTAGGCATGTAAACTGGAACTTGTGACGCTGTTGTAGCCATTCAGTATAAATTATTAGCCTACCTTCACTCGTTCATACAAGTACATTAAACATTCTTTTAACCCTTTGGAGTCCATGTACTAGTACTTCAGTAAATGTACTAGTACTGTCCAAGAACCAATGCGTCCCAGAACTACAACGTAGGAGACAATCTGGGTCTCTCTCTCTTACTCACTGACACACCACACATACACGCACATCCATGTTAATTGTTCTCCCTCTTATCTCTCTCTCTCTCTCTCTCTCTCTCTCTCTCTCTCTCTCTCTCTCTCTCTCTCTCTCTCTCTCTCTCTCTCTCTCTCTCTCTCTCTCTCTCTCTCTCTCTCTCTCTCTCTCTCTCTCTCTCTCTCTCTCTCTCTCTCTCTCTCTCTCTCTCTCACTCTCTCTCTCCCTCTTTCCTTCTGTCTTCCTCTCCCATTCGCTCTCGCTCTATGTGTGTGTGTGTGTGTGTGTGTGTGTGTGTGTGTTATCAGATGCTACTTGGCCCCTGCACAATACTATAGATAGTACACACAATCAGTGATTGTGCTAAATGTCCTCTTTGTATGTGTGTGTGTCTGCACGTGTCTGTACATGCTACTGTTGCTTACACAGTGAAATCGTACAAAACGGCAATAGCGGTGGGTGTGATCCTGGGTTGTCTACTCTTGTTGGCATCTGTCATTGCCACCGCTGTAATATGCGTTCGGCAAACATTGCGCTCCAAGCAACGGCAACAACCCGACGACCAACTGGAGCAGCTCGCCTCCTATGGGCGGACACCGTCTTCGGACAGCGGCGAATCACAAAGTACCATCCAACTATCTCCACCGGGATCCACCGGATCATCTCCCGAGTGGACGGGGAAAGCAGTTAGGGAAGAGACGCGATTGTCCGGATCGGCATCTGACGAAGGCACCGAGGTGACTTTCATGGATATTGATGGGCCCAACATGCACGTATCAATGCCAGCACCCGGGGACACCTGTATTCCTTGAGCCTGTTGTAGATCTAACTGACATTGAGCACTCCAGCCGTGACATGCACGCTTTAATACTCGTGGTAACGTTATCATAATTTCTGCACTTACGTGTTGCAACTTGAGTAAATTCCACTGTCAATTCTGAGACCCCTGTTTAAAACGCCATAGTTCGACACCAGGAAATGCCCCATATATTGATATCGATAGCTAGATAGATCTGTCTTGTTGAAGTCCCTGATCAAAAATTATGTATTCTGTGAGAACGACGCCATTTTTAAAAACAAGTAAGTACTCATTGTCACAGCAAGGATAAAACTGTGATTGAGAAGCCTAACCTAGTAATACTGTACTTGCATACTAACTAATACACTGTACATGATTGTACTTCGAACTACCATACACATAGTCTTCATTGCTTGGTACGTTACTGTTATACTCTTAAAGTACTGCTTACGCCGATAATAATGACATTGAGACGACAGCAGATTGTGTAATGTTCGCCTGAACCTTGTGCTTTGTGTTTGACCTTCACAGGCTGCGGTGATAGATCACATATGTATCGCCAATAACTCGTGTGAAATTGAAACATACGCCAGCAGCGCGACGCCATCAGTACCTGGGTTCCGCTGAACGTACCAGGCGCTTCAGAGTGCCGCATTCTGTCTCAAAACCGAGAGACCATGTTGCGAAAACGATTCGAAGGCCCGTCGAAGTGCGAAGTGAATCGTTGTACAGTTACTGGCGAGTTTGGCCAGATTGTCACCGCTGAATATCAATTTTCAGACTTGAGCTTTCCAACATTGCGCTGTGTCAAATTCATAATTCCGCTGTCGGCTGGTACATGCACACGTACATGTACATATTATGTCGAATTCGAGCGCAACATGATCGAGTTTTGTATTGTCCTTGAACTACATTGCACTTTGAATATCAAATTAAAACCATCATTGTTCTGTACTGCGAATACATGTACATGTACATGTACATACCACTCTCTAAAGGGTCCCTGAAGATGGTCCTTGCCCGAAAATTCGGATATTTTATTTTTCAATTCACTGTTCATTGGTGCAGCCCCGAGATCGTTGAGAGCGTTGTGGGGATGTGGGGATATTTAAAAAAAAAAGGAAGAAAGAAGCGAACAGTGCATACCCATCCGACAATGTGTATTGTTGCGGAAAAATGATTCCACCGTTTAGACTCTATAGTGCTGTGCTCGCTGACGTGCCTCGCCGTGACCCCCAGATGGAACAGCACATCGTCAAGCGCTAGACGCATATTCACCAACCCTACATACATGTACAGGTAGAGATCTGCTATAGCGTTGATGTTCGAAGAAGTGTGTTTTGATCACTATTTATAGGTTAGTGCATGGCAGGGAGGGCCTTATGGCTTGTTAGTGCCCGACAGGTTAGCCTGAGGGCCGTAGGCCCGAGGGCTAACCTGAAGGGCACAAACAAGCCATAAGACCCTCCCTGCCATGCACTAACTATTTTAGAACGAGGTTACATGCATTATCTCACTTCCATTATGCTTGTGTACCACTATATTGGGTAGTTTTGTGGTTTGTGTGCAGAGAGACTTGGTGTGGTATGAAAGAATATTTTCTTCTGGTAAGTTATGGTAACTCAGCACCACTTAGGACTACTAAAAGTAGAATGGAAGCAAATGAAATGCTGGGCTCTTATTGCGAGCTTCATTCTTATTCATATACATGTATGTAGTTTGTGGAGCTATTTAGGGGCTTTGAGAGCCCCTTGTCGATAACTCTAATGACTTTGATCCTCGCTTTTTATAGGTTTCCGCAAGCTGTTGACAAAGGAAATTCGTACAGATGAAAGAATACGGGGGGCAAAAACCGTACACACTTCTGAATTGCGTAGCTTTTAGTAGTACACCGTACACGTTATGCAGAGTTCATTATCTGCACCGCACTATTATGCATACAGGGAGTTGTACGCACCAGTTTAGAGTATATTCAGCGGGCTTTAAACTAATCCAAGGCCCTCGACGCGTCATCAAGAGTAGTAAAATAACGATTGAGCGGGCTTTAAACTCTGATAAGGCCCTTGGCGGGAATGTCGCTGATTGGTCGTTTCCTGGACAACGAGACAGACCTCGTTCTAAAGACGATTATCACTACATAATATGTACATGGACCAAAGAGGCCAGCCGATAATCTGATCATAACGCTCCAAGTAATCCCGTCCAGCCAGCTTTGAGCACTGACATAGGATATGGGCAACCGACTCGCCCGCCTTCCCTCACATTCGACACAGGGGCTTCTGCCCTGATGGAAGATTTGGGCCTTGAGCAGATTAGTTGCCAAGGCCTGGTCTTGTGCCGCAATGATCAGGCTCTCTGTGGTCTTCTTGAGACCAGCTTTTGTCAGCCAACTCCAGGTGTTCTCGTTGGTCAGTTGGTCTGTTTGCCGGGCAAACTATCCATACAATAGACCGTAGCCTCCTTGGACAAAAACCATTCGACTCAGTGCCCCAAAACTCTAAGGACCCTGAAATCAAGTTGAACCTTTCACCGGAATTCCCCTTTAAACCGGTTCGGCATCTTTCTGTTCGTTATTCAATAAGTCTTTCTTAAAAATTCATGTCGATCTACATGTAGTCTTGAAGTACAAGTAACCAGATCTTATACAGTCAGCAAGTGCGACAAAATGGCACAAAACTGACAAGGAGTACTGAGACATTCGGCGACCTGACACCTAGCTCCAACACTTCTCCTTGTCAGTTTTGTACCATTTTGTCGCACTCGCTGACTGTATAAGATCTGGTTACGTTGGTGGACAGTTAGTCATATCTCGTAACAATTTGGCCTTCTTCTTTTCACAATAATTTAATTGGCTCACCATCCGAGTTTAATACATTATAAAAGTCCAAATATGTTCGGAAAATGCAACCAAAATGCGAAGAATATGTGCTTCGCTGCCATGGTAATAAACATGTCGCCCAGAACTCGTCTCGTAATGCATGAGTGTTCTGTATTCATGCATGGCATGCAGGGAGCCGTATAAACCTTCTTTATACGACTCCCTGACTGCCATGCTTGTACCCACTGTACAGTACATACAGTACACAGCATTATATGTTCATGCCCGCGTGACTCGAGTATGATGTGCGAAAGCGAGTTGGGCCAGCTCGCTGGGCTGGCTGCTAACTAATTCTTGCACGAGCATGCTAACGCTCATAATAAAAGACTCGCTGCGTTTAGAATCTACAATGGTTTTTGCATATTTAAAGTACATACAGCATCCAATACAGTAAAACCTGTCTAAGACGACCGCTCAAGGGACCTTCAAAACATGGTCTCTGTTAACAGGTGGTCTCCTTATCCAGTGTCATTTGACTGGAAATAGCAACCCTTGGTCCTGGTTGCAGTGGTCTTCTAGGACAGGTGGTCGCCTTATCTAAGTAGTTGCCTTGACAGGTTTTACTGTAATTGTAAATTTCTGCAGCACCAGTGGCAATACAACAGTACGATAGTAGCAGCATCCGCAGCCGGCTAAGCTAGTACAATTTTAAATGGTCTAGTAAGCAAATACATAGCATGGACTCCTCTGTGGAGTAGCATATTTTATCAAGACTCAAGAGTCTCCCAAAAAAACACTTTCAGCATTGAAAAGAAGGCACGGAGAAACAATTGAGAATATGAGGCAAAGTGTTGCCACTTGATGTGCAATACTGAGTGCATTGGACTGGTCAGTGATAACTTGCAACCGTAGATATGGGTAAACAGAGCACAGCCCTTGTTAAGGTATACCGATGAGCCACTCTCATACAGGAAAATTCAAGACGAAATGTGTGATAGTGGTTTGTTACCCTCGTTCCGTTTGCATTTTCCACAGCCAAGTCCAGCCTGGTCTACATGATTATAATACACAGTACACTGAAGTATTCAAGTAGGCCTGGTGATGGGACTGATGATTAGACACAAAACTGAGGAGGACCTAGCATCATGGCAAATCCAAGCACACCACACAGCCAATGGCAAACTCCTCGCCCGTTGGAGGGTGCTTGATTCCAAGCGGACACGGCACTCCTTCCAGCTTCTTACACTCGGGCCCTACGGGGCAGGAGGGAAATTCGGTTTGGGATCTCAGTCTCCCATGCGCGCCATGACATATTGGACAAAAATGAGTCGTTCCAAAGCAGAAGTAGACGGCGAGAGTGCAGCAGTAGCGACATTTGTACCCTATGGTGTCCGTTCCATGCTTCGGACACACCTGGACAAACCCAACCAGCCAGCCAAGACACAAACCACTGGATAGACAGTTCGACGTCTGACCTTCTTTTCTCAGCTCGCACCTCTCAGAGTGGAACCTAGATATGCAAACAACTGGACTCGACTTCTTGCCTCTCCTCTTGGCAGCGATTTGTATACGAGTTGGTCAACGGCTCACCATCATGCACCGAGTTTTCTTTAGATTGACGTAAAGCTCATACGCTCCACTCACATCTTATACACGTAGCAACATTCAAGAATCTGCTCCCTTCTTTGAGATAAACTGTGTCAACTGCAACCTTTTAAAGACTCTTCAAATTTCAGAAATTTCACACGTCGTCACATGCATAGGGATACAGTAGCATTCTTACCGCTACACCTCGGACATTGGAGCAGTGGCCACACATAAGTTCCCGAGGGTCAAACTCTGCTCCGACAACTTGTACTGCACACTGAGCTTCACCGCCAAAGTAAGGCTGTAGATCAACCAGGAACAAATGTTGCAATGCTCTTTGTTAGCCATAGCTTACCCAGGCAGGTTATTGGAAATATACTTCACACTCACATTATCCTAGGAGAAGTTAGTATTAGATGGGACCACATTATCCTCACAATATACAATCTTCACACTGCTCACATGCTACATCTGCCTCGGACGCATTCAGTCTGCGAAAGTAGTCACGTACCTCCAGGTGCTGGAACTTGCGGGTCGAAATTACTCGCGCCATCCATGAATCAATTGCACTGTTACGGATAACGATAATAAATTAATAATGCATGTCTGACCCCAAAACCGTGGCTTGCATGAACATGACTGATTGTGTGCACACGACTGGACACTCTCACTGTGGTGATGTGAGAGAATACTGGCGAGTACATATCTGTTGGGTTGGGCACCTGTCTATCTGTCAGGGAATACTGTTCTCTAACAGTCTACCAGCACATGCAGGGCCGCCGCCACTGGTACGGCTGGTGCGGCCATGGCCGTACCAGTTTTCACCAACTCCAGCGATCATGGACTGCTCCGTGCGCACTTGATTATCTGAAAGTACCAGTAATAAGCCTCATACACTTCTTCCTAGGCTAGAGTCTCTACCTCCTCAACTGTTCTTCCTGTCCAGGGGAGTCTACCGTGCTAGCTGACATATCTGTTGCTAGAGGAAGTGTGCAGCCAAAGCAAACAGACAATGCATAGAGGTAGAGGTGTATCCTCCTAGGATTTGGCATGTAGAAATAGTCGGTCCTGTAGCCGACCTGGGGCCGTACCACCCCCCCAGGAGCTGGCTCCGGGCCTGACATGGCAATTCAGTGCACAACTATTGATCTATCTTGTGTACATACCCTCTCACAGTCATGGCAGAGGTAGTACGCATAGCGCTTCATGGCATACTCAGCCGGCTTCCGGTAGAACTCGCTGCATGGGTTGGTAATGGCCTCGTTTTCCAGCTCCTTGTCAACTTGCAACCGAAACAGTGCCTTCTCCTTCACCCTCTCAAACAATCCGATCATGGGAATAGTGCGCGTAGCCAGTGACGGATGCTCCATGAAGCGATCCTATAGTCCATTTCAAAAAGATTAGCAATCCGGTTTTGGTCTTACAAAGTACAGTAAAACCTAGTTGAAGTGACCACACCATGGTGCAAGCAAAGCGATTTTTAAAGCCAGGTGGTCCTTAGAATCAGGTCCCATACATTCGCCGCATATCGGATCTTGTACATGTACATGCATGTGCGTGATTGTACTTCCATGTACTCATATTGACAGGGGTGTAGCATACACTAATTTCGTGTAGGCAAAGAACACCTCACTCGAGGGCATGCGGCGCATCCTGCATTGTCACTTGTCACTTCTGAAGTTCTGTTGCCTGCATGCACTTGCTTCAGACCGCACTTCCACCATGTTGCAGTCAACCCTGTCCGCCAAGATGGCACTTTGGGCTAGAACTGTCCGTGCATGGAGAAAAAACGGTCGTTAAAAGCAGGTGGTCGCTAAAACCAGAGGTCGCTTACACCAGGTTTTACTATGAATATGAAGATAAAGGCCGATTCGTACTTCACTTCGCGTACTGTGAATATACAAATTTTCGGCAGCTATTTAATTTCGGCTATATTCGGCACCGACCCAAAACGCCTAAATTAAAACGCCGATGAAATTTTTCACAGCATCTGTCGCAATACCATGCCCTCTACCCCACGCCGAAAATAAATCGCCGCCGAAATGTCAAAAATCGTGAAGTGCCGAAATTTTGCAGCGCCGAAATTTTGTATATTTACAGTATGGGAAAGCCATCGCTTGAAAGCCAGCAGACTGCCTAGTGAGATCGTCAGCTATCGGGGAAGTTAATTCAAGAAATACTGCGGAAATACATAAACAAGTGTATCTCAAGACACACAAACATTGAACGCGCCATTCCAGTAAAGCATTTCAAACTAGAAGCATCCCGACCGCTCTGTGATATCGCATCCCTGCTCTGTGATATCAAGCATGGAATATAGGGGACATGTCAACATACCTCGCAGCTGGGACATTTCATGAACTGGAAGCTCATCCTGGGGCCACTCCAACGCTTATCCAGTAGCGTGTCGCAGCAATGCTTGTGAAAGATGTGTCCACAGGAAAGCTGGAGAGTGAAGAATACAGTCACGATACCAAGCATTCTGTACAAACACTTTAAATTCTCGTTGGAAATGGAAACATCCCACAGCAGATCCAATAACACGCACTCAGGCTTGTACCTGTACTGACCTGAATGGCTGGAGCCTCGCCTAGCGCGTCTGTATAGCAAATGGCACATGCATCGCCGGCAGTGTAATGAACTGCCCGTGCCAGTTCAGTCACGCCACCATTAGCACCGCTGTTGTTGCAACCGGTGTTGTCATCGGTACTGCTAACAGTGCTGCTGCTGCAGGCAGTGCCAGTGGTATTGGCGGTGGAAGTGGCGGCAGCGGCGGTGGCTGACGCCTGATTGCTGTCGCAACATGGACTTTGCAGGCATGGCAGGCACTTCTCCTCCCCAGCAATTCCTCCACACCAGTCTCCACAAGGAAGACGCTTAGAGCAAGCAGAGGCATGGCGCTCCTGTTCAGCAACAAAGGAGAAATAGGGTTAATACGCAAGGGCAGAGCATACAAAGAAAAAAACCCCAGCTTGATCGTCATAAAGGACCAACTGGAATCAAATTATTTTCAAACTACTCTTACACTTAGTAGGGGTACATTCTTATTTTCTGCTGGTCGAATATTGGAGGATTTTTCTCTTGGAAGCCGAAGATAGTGAAGAATACGACAGTGTTGGTCAGAGAAACCCAACCTCATGAATATTAGCACCGAGGGCTACGCAGCTCTAGCACCACACATACCACTCTGGGCACTTGAGGCGCGGCACTACTTTTTAATGAGGTTGGATTTCTCTGGTCAGAATCGCATCCGCACAAACGTCAAAACTACTACTTCAAGTAGGAGCGATCGATGTACTGTTCAGAAAAAAAACTTTTAGGATCTTTTCCAGGATTATCGAGCAGAGATACTCCCCAATGTGCAACATGACTGGGCTGACCTCTCGGAAGACTAACAGAAGCAAGTGTCAGCACTCAATTATTTGTCTGTAGTCTCCATTATATCGTTGGGCAGGCTGACCGGCGATGAGTCAGCTGGTTGCATGGCAGATTTCAAATATTTCCTTCAGAATTCCGACATCAAGTCTCCGCTGTGTGAATACCGTGGCAACAGAAATTATGTCATTTTTCCTCGAGGGGCATTGCATATCTACATGAAGTGATGGTGTCCTTCCTCAAAGATGTCCAGGGTGAGACAAACCGGCTGTTGAAGGCTGTGAAAGCTGACTTGTGTGTAACTGAGCCTGCTACTGGGTGCCGGGCTCTTGGGCTCATTTGCAATCTTTTAGTCACGCCACTGTGGGCTGTCATGAAGGACAGGGACAAGACCATATTCGTCATGAGTCTGATCTACACTGATCTACACTGAACTCTTCAAGAAAATGGAAGAGTGGGCACAAAACTTGACAGATGCGCGATCCCAGCAGCGTTCTTCCGTACTGACTGGATCATCGAAATCCAAACGGGTAGTACCGTACCCTTTACTAACGGTACCAGAGCTTAACGGGCGGGTACCCGGAACACCCTTTGAACACTAATAATAATGGTTTTCCTACCATTTTTTTAGATTAACGGGCTTGTACCCGGAACACCCCTTTGACCCCTAATACTAATAGTTTTCATACCATTTTTTGTGCTGTCGAGTATGGCCTAGTATTGCACAGTGCAGTGCATAATATGCACCAGGCTAACAGTCTACCTCTACCTAGACTACCTAGACTACCTAGACTACCTACAGTAAGATCGGGCGCCGAAGAACACCTCACCGAAGAACACCTCACCGAAGAACACCCAGGCTGGAAAACCGGCAAAATTTAAGAACAGTCCAGGCTAGAATTATCAGATTTAAGAACACTTTTAAAATTTGGAATTTCCACATGAGTGCAGTATTTAACTGATCGGCTTTGAGCTCGCCACAAAACCTGTACATAATAATAATAATAATAATAATAATAATAATAATAATAATAATAATAATAGTAATAGCACATGCACAGTATTACAGGAAGCTGCAGGAGTTAAGTTTCATCATGCTACATGTACATGCATGTGTACAATGTACTTGAAGCATATATATGTATATGTATGTAAGAATCTGGACAATAACTTGCTTGAAGTATTTATTATGATTATGTACAAGAACATAGTAAGTAAGTAAAAGTAAATTATCGTATCCGTTCCCGAAGGGAACTCACGACGGCCGCTAACACCCGATAAACCCTAGCGGCAGATGCAGCGCCTAACGGTGGGGGTGAGTGGGTAAGTCTCACAACCACTGGCACAAGTGCCGAAAGCGACCCCATTAGCTGCATCCATGTACCCCTTGTGCCTGGCCACAAGTTCCCAGTTGACTGTGGGTAGCAGCACGGCTGGAAAAACCGCTTCCAGGCAGGACTTGAACCAGGTACCTCTCGTATCTCAATCATGGTCTTTGACCAACCCACTGTGCCTGCCTGGTCACAAGAACATAGAGACAGTATATACATTGCATTTATGACATCTTCCACCCAAAGCAAACTTCACGAGTTGCCGAATCGAAATGGCACTCCCGGATTCCGCTGCGAGGACAACTGGTACTAGTATTTCCGGTATCGGCTCACCGAGCGACTCCGAGGGAAAGACACAGTCATGTAACCAAGAGTCCATGGGACGTTATGGACTCTCGATGTAACCCAACTCTGATTATAGAGGATGGGCACCAAGCGAGAAGGCAAGTGGTAAGACTAGAACGAAGTAGAAGAGAGCGAGGAAGCCACACAGTCAGTGTAAGGCAGAGAGTCGAGTTACGACTACATGTACGATTGTATGTTGTCATACATGTACTTACACGAAGTTGCGAATTTACACGTAGATCTACATTGTACATGTATGGGAGGTGAGTACATGTCATGTACACGTGTAAACAGTAACTGCTACATGTACAGTCATTCCCATTTACGACACCCACTAGTTTAGAAGTACTACATTGCACTACATGTATACATGACATGTGATTGTACATGACAAACGTCCTGACGTCACTCGACTCGCCGCGCGCGTGTGAATAAGAACGGTCTGGCTAGAATCAAAAATAATTTTAACAACTTTCCTAGGCTGCGCTCGAGCCCCTGCGTTCTTCGGCGCCCGATCGTACTGTGTATGGAATCGAGCATGAGTACGAGGACGAAAGTGCGGAATCGGAGCCCGACGCGCGCTAGCGCGGAGGGCTCCGATTCTAGCATTCTGACATGTCACATGACAATCGACATGGCAACAGCGAATCCTAGCGCGACTTGCCGTGCTTTGAATCAGCCACTGAAGACCTGTGAGCGCTTGCAGGTCTCCGATTTTCCAATCGGAGCACGCCCAGGCGTGCTCCGATTGAATCGGAGCACGCCTAGGCGTGCTCCGATTCAGCCATCAGAGGCCGCTTTTTTTTTTTTTACCATAAAGGCTATGATGAAAAGGATCTCCAACAAAGCCAACCTCTCGAGATCCTACACAAATCATTGTGTCCGCGCAACAGCAGTGCAGAAGCTTGTGGATGCGGGCGTGTCGGAGACAGCGATCATGGGGACGACGGGACATCGCCAGGTCCAGTCGTTGACCGCATATGCCAACAGGAATTCAGAACAAAAGAGAAAAGAGATGGCTGCAGTTCTGGATGGAGAGTCTCCAACTGCAACCAATGCTGCTACCCGTGCTCTTACAGCGCCAACAACGAGCGTTCAGCGATCACAGCAGCAGACTGAGTTCCACGATCCCGACATTGATGAGTACATCGCAACTTGTGACCCAACAGTGCAATCCCCAACTCACCAACGGTCTCTGATGCAGAAAGCTACGAAGACCATCAACTTTTCCGGAGCTCAGTTTGGTGCAAACTGCAATGTTCACCTGCACCTGTAGGCTGTAGGCTGTAGTCACTGCGAAGAAGAGAAGCTGAACTGACCTGGTTTTTAGCTGACTAGACCGCCCTTGTTTTATCTCTGTGTTGTGACTGTGTACATTAGTCATTATGTAACATGTCTGAAGTACTAAACTGGCGACTAGTTGTGTTCCTTGTCTGGTCTAGTGTGCGTGCCTTGAGTAGGTACTAGGTATGTGTGAAGTACTACATGTAGTAGTACTAGTACTAGTACGAAGTAGTTCGTGCAATGCATGTCAGAAATGGTATCAAAGCATTCGTACTCGGACTCAAGTGCTAGAATCGGAGCCCTCCGCGCTAGCGCGCGTCGGGCTCCGATTCCGCACTTTCGTCCTCGTACTCATGCTCGATTCCATACCTTGAGTCCGAGTACGAATGCTTTGATACCATTTCTGACATGCATTGCACGAACTACTTCGTACTACTAGTACTACTACATGTAGTACTTCACACATGTCAGCTAAAAACCAGGTCAGTTCAGCTCCTCTTCTTCGCAGTGACTACAGCCTACAGCCTACAGGTGCAGGTGAACATTGCAGTTTGCACCAAACTGAGCTCCGGAAAAGTTGATGGTCTTCGTAGCTTTCTGCATCAGAGACCGTTGGTGAGTTGGGGATTGCACTGTTGGGTCACAAGTTGCGATGTACTCATCAATGTCGGGATCGTGGAACGCAGTCTGCTGCTGTGATCGCTGAACGCTCGTTGTTGGCGCTGTAAGAGCACGGGTAGCAGCATTGGTTGCAGTTGGAGACTCTCCATCCAGAACTGCAGCCATCTCTTTTCTCTTTTGTTCTGAATTCCTGTTGGCATATGCGGTCAACGACTGGACCTGGCGATGTCCCGTCGTCCCCATGATCGCTGTCTCCGACACGCCCGCATCCACAAGCTTCTGCACTGCTGTTGCGCGGACACAATGATTTGTGTAGGATCTCGAGAGGTTGGCTTTGTTGGAGATCCTTTTCATCATAGCCTTTATGGTGTTCTTACCCAGCGGTAAACCATTGAAGGCTTGCGTTCCGGGCTTTACAGAGCGAGATGCCATCTGAAACAGTCTCTCGCTCTTCGGGCTGAGAGACTCCAGCAACAGCTTTACGGCATGGACTTGCTCTGGCTGCTGGATGCGACCGTCGCTTGGTTTATCACGGCTCGCAATCCCGCCTTGATGGTTCTTAGTACAGAAATCCGTTGCCAGTTCCACAAAATCGCGGCCGTCATCATCCTTCTTCAGGATCAGGTCCTTCTTGGTCATCGTTTCCTGGTTCTCACAGCCACGGAGAGCGAAGTGATAATTATGTGATAGCGAACCACACACTCTCAGTAAGTACAACGGCGGATGTTGTGTACTGAGAGAAATATCTCCCCAGTTTTGCCATGTCCGTGTCGGTAATGACCGCTTTGTGCTCCGCTGGCTTACTCTCTCCGCTGCGTTTCATTTGCCTCATGCGACCATCAAGTGCCTGGTTCGCCATGACAAACTCTGCATCAGAGTAGATGTTCATTGTCGGACGGAACGACTGAATGTGGCGATGCAGAGCGGATCTCAACCCTAGCAAACTCGAACGCTGGTAGGCCTGCCCTTCCCTGCCGCGGGCATTCACGTAGAGAAGAGCCAGAGCATCGCTTATAACTCCAGGAGAGTCTGTTTTGAGGTTGACAGCCAACTTCCTCTGCTTACAAAATTCTTCGAACACTTTCACCCAGCCTTTGGTTGTGCGCTTTGTACTTATCGGCACACGACTCTCGATGATATTCGCCACATCCTGAAGGGTACTTTCAGCGAAACGAGCTTTTTTGGCTGGCGGCTCACTGCCCAAAGCAATGTCCGCAACCTCCTCCTCCTCCTCCTCCAGGTCCAACGCGAAATTTTGAATCACTGACATGTCCTGTTATTCTTCACAACCACCACTTATTCACTTTCAACATCAAACTAACAAAGCACTTGTAGCAAGTCCCTGCACATCTGCATTCTTCAACCATAATGCACTATGCACTTAGTCTTTCATACCGGCGCTCCACTCCCGCCTAAAAAACTCCCGCCTAAAAAAAAAAAAAAAAGCGGCCTCTGATGGCTGAATCGGAGCACGCCTGGGCCGGGCGTGCTCCGATTGGAAAATCGGAGACCTGCAAGCGCTCACAGGTCTTCAGTGGCTGATTCAAAGCACGGCAAGTCGCGCTAGGATTCGCTGTTGCCATGTCGATTGTCATGTGACATGTCAGAAAGTACAATCATGTAGTAGTCTGCCGCTAATGAATAATTATTATTATTGACGACATCTGGTTGTGCTAAAAAGATTCACGGTTCGCTTGAAGCTCAGTTAGACTGAGGCTGGCAGGCATAGTGGGATGGTATAAAAAAAAACAGAGGGTAACGTTAATCATCTAGTTTAGGGTCCCAAATTCTTCTACCAGGTAACTGGTTCAAGTCCTGTCTGGAAGCGGAACTAGAACTCGTGGCCTGGCACGAGGGAAACATGGATGCAGCGAATGGGATGTGCTAAACCTCACTTGAAAATACATCACGGTGTACGATTCAGATTGTAGCCTCACCTACCTGAGTACTCATATCTGCACCAGCAGGCAGAGACAATCGAAGTCGGATGCCAGCACTGCTCGTGTCGTGGTAGCGAGGGACAGTAGCTCCTGCCCTGAACGTCTGGTTCTTGGCGAGACAAGAAAAAGTAAAGGTAGTTCCTGGTGAGATGAACAAAGACTAGTTAGTTTTAGTTGGTAACGCTAGCGCTATAGCAGAAACGCTGCTAGACTAGACTATCCGATAGGTCATTTACATAGTGTAGATGCATTTCATCGAAAGTGGTTCGATTCACATGACCATGATGACTGTGTGTAGTCGTGCCGACGCGACTACAGCATGCAGCTTTCGATCCAACGCGGCATCCAAACTACAAAGTACAATGGTAACATGACTGAACTATTTTGTTATCACTTCAGATTTCGATCGAAACTCGGTGACTCATTTCGGTCCTTTTTGTGCACTGTATACAACTTACAAGTCTAAAATACTGTAGTGTAGACCGGTAGACTGTAGAGTGTAGCACTAAAGACAAGTACAGTAGTTTTGAAGATCAAAGAGAAACTAGTACAATCATGTATGTTCAGAAAAATAATAATTATAGGATTCGGAGCCGAAGCGCTAAATCCGGCAGCTAGTAATAGTTGACACATTCGAAAGTCGAGCCATGTTGTGCAGTACCCGGTAGGTGATCAGGGGAATCCCGGGAGAGGTCAGATGATCAATACGTCTGTGTCACTCCGCTAGGGATTTACCCGCCAGTGGTTGGAGTCATAATCATCAGTCTAGATCTGTGCCTGACCCCCATACCAGACGAATGAAGCACCATCCGAGATGATTGTAACATTTTTCATTAATACATTATGATCCAGTGGGGTAAGTAGCAGCATTCGGCCTTGTCCAGATTCTTATCAACCACCACACCACACCGCTCCGCTCTCCGGCCGACCTCAACACGTTGCCACAGCACACCATCAGCAAAACGACACTTCAGTTGGTACTCTGCTCCTTCAGACAGCAGCGCCATTATGTTTCCCCCCTTTTTGCGCCAAAGATGCGCCATTATGTTTCCCCCTTTTTGCTACAAAAGGGTGCAGTTAGTTCACTATCTGTTAGCCATTCTACATTATCAACCTTCACTGACGAGATCCTGATGATCGAAACAGCTGCTGTCTGAAGGAGCAGAGTACCAACTTAAGTGTCGTTTTGCTGATGGTGTGCTGTGGCAACGTGTTGAGGTCGGCCGGAGAGCGCAGCGGTGTGGTGTGGTGGTTGATAAGAAATTTTCATTATGATTGTAACAAATTGGGTAAATTATGCATTCCTCGGGTCTGTCGAGGCCAACCTGACGTTTCGTTTGGGCTGTATGGAGCTATCCCACAGAGGCTTCAGAGGCGAGGCTTCATCTGACAAAATATTAGCGTCATACAAGGTCGGCAAGGCCTGTTGAAGTGTGCCCGTTTCGTAGGAATTGGATGAACTTAGTAAATTATGTGAATGTTGACGTCCCCCAGGTCAGCCATCATGTGTATGCCCCCAAAATCGATAGAGCAATGTTAAAAAGTAGCAAGCTTCGAAGTTCCGAACTCATGGTGGTGATATGTGGTTGGGAAATGTCTTTTGTATTCGATATATCCATTCTTTTATCAGCAGTATTCAACAGCGACTATAGTCGAGGGGCAAGGATGGCCAACAACTCCCATTGTTCTCAATTTTCGTTGCTGTTGGTCACCTTGGCATCCATCCCTGCCACTCCTGTTTCGATAGAACGTCTCACGACGATAGTATTTCCTGTATCAAAGTCGGCGTATCCTTTAAGAGCGAGAGATTATGTGTGTACTTTGAAGTAATTGTGAGGATTTGGCACTTAAGGTGGCAGACTACCCAAAATTCGCTGAAAAATCGAATTTGTAAATAATTTTAATTATTAATATGGAGTGCTACGTCAGTTGCAAGAGCTTGAATAGCTGCAAATTCTCTGAAAATTGTGTCCCGATCTGACCAGCCGTTCAAGAGTTACGGCCTAAAATGTGCCCTTCCAAGGAAAGGCCTTTTTGTTGCACGCTGTCATTTGTTGGCAGCACTGTATTTGAATGTGAGCAGACCGTGCGCAACTTGTCGTATCATAGAAACACGCGAAAGTGTGCAGAATTTTGCTCCAAGTCCAAAAATCACGTTTTTGAGCCGCGTATTGGGCTGCACGGCTTTTGCCAGCACCCTCGTGACGTTGCAGATATGTGGCTTGATTATTGTAGTTGACGTTGAATAGTGACTTTGGCAAGTTTGAGTCGTATCAAGAAGTCAGGTAGGATTCAGTACTAGGCAGTAGTGAAACGTGAGTGGTAGTCTTTGCCGGTTTCTGAGGGTATCCTGGATTTGGTGTGCAGCGCTGTGGAAATGGCCTGCTGTGGACGTCCCAGCACTGGATGTTGTATCAAAGGTACGACCTCGTAGCGGCTGTGAGAGAACGCCCACTCGTTCCGTTGTGACAGATTCCAGGGCCTCGTTGAGGGGCCCTACCCATCACCCATGGCTGCTTCTGGACTTGTTTTAGATTTGGGTCCCGCGCACGGACAGAATGGGCACGAAAATGTGAAAAAATTGTAAATGCATTTGTTTGGCTCCTGGGTGGCTCGCACACCGTGGCACTATGCCGGAAATTTGAGTTTTTCCGGCCTGGAAAGCCTGTCAGCGAGGCGCAAGAACTTGTAAATCATGTCCTGAGGGCCAGCATAGTGGCAGGAGTGTGTGGTCAAAATTTTACTCAAATCTATTGAGAAACACCAAAGTTACGGTCAATTGAATGCCATATGAAATTTATGGGTAGGCTGCCCCCCAGCTATAATAGTATAATACTAGTATTCTATTCAATTTATTGACACCGGCACTGCTGCTGCTGCTGCTGCACACATGTAGCTCTAAGTCCAAAGACTTAGCAACTTCTCAGTACAATTACCTTCCACAATAATGGTCATTGACTGTGCCTCTCGTATTCCTTGCTCAACACCTGCAACAGTAGCTTATTGGTCTCCAGCTGACTATCTTGTCCAGTGCATACACACTTTTTTATCTCTCTGTTTTTCTTCCCTCTTCGCTACCTTGCTTGCTATTGGGAAGAAATTCCCGTTTGGATTTTGCTAAGTAAAACAAAGCAAAAATAAAACTTGTAATGTCTACTCTTTGAGACTTGGAATTGCGCCTTTTGACAATTTCCAATGTTTGCGAGAGGCTTGAGAAATGTGTACAGGCAAGTATGCAAAGAGCAAGCAAGTTAGCATCAAAATACAGGGTTGGATGATCGGCGTGAGGCAATAAACAATGACAAAGCAATCAGTAGCGCGTGACCAATACATAGGGTAAGTCTTCCTGTGGTGACTGTTAACAAAGCAAGTTGTAGTACGTGATTATGGATTATGGTTGGTAGTCCTGTGGATGCTTCGAATAACTTTAAAAAAAACCTTCAGATTCAGACTACTGAAAGCAGAGATTCAGTCGATACAATTACACGTAGGCGACATAGTACTAATGCCCACTGACTACTGGTGATTCATGGCTGGCTTTGGGTACATCGAACATTCAAGCAAGTAAAAGTTAAAATCATTAAACAAGTATAGACATTTTAAGAAACGGAATGTACCTTAGAAATCTCACCAATGCTTGACTACTGTTCGTAAATGCGTGTAGACATAAGCGGCTTCATGAGACAGGTATGAAAATGCAATATGCAGCTTTAATGTATTACTAATACATACATGTACTTAGGATATACATCGTAACATGTACAATGACAAAGACTGACGTCAGAGTGAGGCTGCACATTATTGGAAGCGAGTCAGTTTCATGTGCATTCTACCATGTTCTACAGAAGTAACTTAGTTCAGTGACTTAATGTCTTTGACCTTGTAACTGGTTGCCACGGCCACAAGGAGTGTTACAATACCAGTATGACGTCATATCCTTCCTTCGGCTGCAACATCTCGATATTGGATGAAGTTAGCACTATTGAAGAGCTAAAGATGAAAGTGATTAAACGCGTCAGTTGCGATCAATTTGTGTTAGCAACTCTTGGACAATGCGCTGCATTGAAGGTCTTTCCTGTAGATCTGTCTTGATGCACTGCTCAGCGATGTGACGATACCCATAGGGTATGTTTGGTGGAAAGATGGGCTTGGTGCCACGTGCAATTTCATCCAGGATATCATCAGAGTTGCTGAGGTGTTCATACGGTATCTTTCGAGTTGAGAGCTCCCACATCACCACGCCAAAGCTGAACCGAGTAAAAACAACATGAGGATTTGATAGTTTAGAGCCTACATGTACATGCGCTGCAACACCCAAATGAAACGCACCCTCTAAACACATGTGACAATAAGTCAAAGTTGAGTACACCCCAGTGTGGCAACTAATTACTTCCTCATGTCTAGGTAGGTACATTTGTATTTGAATTCGCAGAACCAAACGGGCGGTGTAACCCAATTACATGGAAGCGAATGGAAACAGAAAAATATTGTAGGAAGTAGCCTAACATGATAGCAGGGTGTAGTACAAAGCAAAGAACGCTCAGTATGTCTAACCCACAAGACAACGTGAATACCGTAGCAGTCACACCGGCCAACTTAAAAATCCGACTCATGGCAGATTCAGTCCGAATGCCATTAAATTTTATGAAACTTCAACTCTTCAGTGTGTAGAAGAGGTTGGTGAGAATTCGGCGATACTTGGGGAATTGTGTGTTTCGCTCCCTACGTGAGAGCTCGTGCTTTTCCTACCGACTTGAATTCTCACTTGACTGACTCACGACTGCCATCCAGAGCACGCAAGAAGTCCATCGAACCTTCCACTCGGCAAAGCTACAAGAACGCACCACTCCCTGCTCAATACACAGTGTTTCGGGGATTTCACCCCTTATCTGTTGGGCTTGAGAAGGTAAGCGCGAGCTCCCACTTAGGGAGCAACACACAATTCTTTAACTATTCAGTAAAGAAAATACTCAGATGAAGCTCATTCTGTTTGCAGCTTGTTTCATCATGCTCACCTGTAGACATCGTGTTTCTCCGTGTACAGATTCTTCTTGATGGATTCAGGTGATCGCCAGCGATCTGTACCAACTCCACACGTCATTCCGATTCGTGATGTCATGCCCTGCGTAGCTCTGTCGTCATCAGTGCGATCCACATCAGAGGTGACACTGGTAGCACCCAATAATGGGGTTATTAGTTGATCAGAGTGGGTTGTATCTGATGCTGCGTGTGTAGAATGATCTCTTGCCTGCTTGCACCCTGTGTCCCTCTCATTTGACTCAATACCGTCGGGATGAAGGATGGCAAGGAATCGTGCTGTTTCCATGTCGGCGATCTTCACCACCCATTTGTTACTAACTAGCATGTTGGCTGACTTGATGTCACGGTGGATCATTGGTGGACCTCTGTTGTGGAGATACTTTACACCTCGTGCAGCATCCAGGGAAAAACGCAGTCGATCTGGGTGTTCAATACTGTTGTATGGATCATGAAGAACATCGCAGAGAGAACCTCGCATCAAGTATTCCATCACAAGAAATGGACACCTGGATTGCGTGTCCTTTCCTGCCCCCAGGAATAGAACTATATTTGGGTGGCTTAATGTTCGTAGAACTTCCGCTTCCTGGATGAAGGAATCGTACGGCGATGCAGTTGATACAAACGGTGGAAGTCGCTTAACAACAACTACCATATCTCCCAACTCAGCAAGTAACACTTTACAAAACCTTCCCCCGGCAAGTTGTCTCTGAATCTTCAGATCAGACCAGGCGATACACGTGCCATGGTTGATTTGACTGAGCTTTCTGTTGGAGCGGTAGAGGTCCCGATTCGTATTGACTAGTTCAATTTCCTTTGCATTCAGAGCCCTTCTCTTTCTCAGGAACTGAATGAGAGCTATGACGAGAGTGGTAAGAGTGGTTGCGAAAACGAGAGAAGCCATTAAGATCAGGTACACTGCTGGTGCATTGCAGTCATCGCTGGGTAAATATCCGAAACGACACACGCAGATGTGTTTGAAGTCTTCCTTGTTGACCAGGCAATCTCCATGGCCATTACAAGTGTTTTCTTTACATGGTACATCAGGAACACAGTGAGATGCGGCTTCACCGACGGTTGTTAAGGACTGGTTGCATTTGATACAGTGCTGTTGAAGAGATGGAGAATACCTTCCATTAGGGCATGGTTGGCATTGGGATTTCTCGTCCCGTTCAAGGCCGACAGGGCACAGATTGGAGGTATTGAGCAGGTGAAAACTGGAGGATCCATACGAATTCTCTTCAATTCCACCAATTATCAAATTGCCAAACACGAAGTGATCCCAGATTCTCATTTTGAAGAACTTATTCGATGTAGCTTGAGAACCATTGTTTTTGATGGTAATTAGTAGTGCCCAGTCATTTGAACGACGTCCTAGGCTCGTACCACTCTGAATGCCTCCAATCAGGATTAGGTCATTATTTACAAATGACAGGCTGTGGCAATAGCGGTTCGGTATCTCAGGGATTATTGGTATATCATAAACGGCTATTTCGACTGTTGAACGGATGTCCACAAGTACTAGTTTGGAATCGGATGGCATCCGGCCTCCAAACAGTAACACACCATGATCAGTTGGTGTTACTGAGTGACCATACTGGATAGGTAGATGTCCTTTCTTGACGTAGCCTGTGAGATCATGCCATCGACCTTTGCACTGGTCTTCGTCCTCCATGACGAAGATCCACATATCTCCAAGGGCATGGCTGAAGTTATGGGCCGTTCCACCATGGATCGCCATTGCGGATCTATTATGCCGGAACGATACATGCTGTCTCCGTGGCGAAGGCACGATCCCAGATGTGATGTTAGCCTCTATCCAAAAGTGTTCGTTTGTATTGAAGCACCAAGGATTTTGGTCAACATCTGCTGTTCTAGTGAGATACCCACCATATAGGATTGCAGTTGTGTTTGTTACCAAGGTAACGGTGTGGTATTGACGGCGTAAAAAAGCTGGCCCAGGTGACCGGTAGAGAAGGGTGTAGTCAAATCGTGTACAAAAGAGGTTCTTTCCTTGTTGACAGCGTAAGATCCACACAGGCATTGTTGACATTGAACTGAGAACGAATTTTCTAGTGTCACTCTCTAGCAACAAACTGCGGCTGACCCCGAATAGTAGTACAGTTTGTACTTTGTGTTTATCCCTGGTTCGGGGTGGAAGGTGGATTCCGGCTGCAAGCTGTCTAGTGTTCGTATAGATACCAGGAAATAATTTGATACTGCTCATCGTTTGTGTGTTCAGGCGATACATCGTTCCCGTTCTTCCATCGCTTCCGTAATATTCAATAGCTCTAATCACAGATTTAGCGGGTGATGTTACAATGAAGAATAAATTCTGTCCAAAAATGATATCCATGAATCTGAAACCGACAGGAAAAACTCCATTTGAAATCGCTGATTTTTCACAGTTGGCGGGGGATTCTCTAACATTGCAAACGATAATCTCCAGGAGAACTCTTCCTCTAGATGGTGTGCTGAATGGATTTACAATCAGGGTCTTCGGAAAGGCTAGATAAGATACATCGAACGATGAATTGAGAAGATCCATGGGGCCTTGAAAGTTGTTTTTAACCTCCATCCATGTCAGTGATAAGGTGTCGAATTTCCAAATATCCAAAGTGACTGCATCCGCGAATCCTTCAAGCACTTTCCACCCACCCACAAACAACAGAATTGCTTCATCATCGGCGAAAAGTCTGGCGAACTGGCGAGGTTGGGGAGTCACCAGATCGCTTGGTTGAATACCCTGCCAATGCCCGACAATATGTTGTTGAACATGGAGACGGAATAGAACATTGCTTGGTGTACGGCAGTATTCTCGTTCAGCGTTCCACCAAACACAACCTCCAAATGAAAAGAGGAAGAAGGGCGGATTTGATGCATTTGCTGCGCACGTACTCAAGGCAGCTTGAATGGCGACTAGAGACGAACCGATTTCACTCACCCGAGGACCCTCTGTTGTTTTTTGTGCTCTGATAACTCTGGTCTGCCTGTTGCCATAAAGCAACACCAAGTTGCCACATTCGCCAGGCCCGAAACCCTGTAGGATTACTTGATTCTTACATGGGGATACAGTCACACTTGGCATTTCTTTAAAACAGCAGCACTCGCCTCCCAGTGCTTCGTTCAAGTCGATCTCACGCTCAAACACCTGCCAGGTTTGACCTCCAATGTAGCTTGTTTCAAACACGGCAACGTTGAAATAGGCAGTTTTATGATCGCGTAGTCTATACATGATCATGAGGTGCGGTGTGAACTTACTTCGATCATTCTCCCTGAACATGACCACCTCCCTGACGAGCACTTCGGACCAGGACTTCAAAGGACCTTCACCAAGTTGAGCCATGCGTAGAGCACTAGGGCGGATAGGATTTGCTTTGATCTTTATCAGCGGTCCGTTGGTGCCTCCATTGACAAACATAACACGATCCAGCAATTGAAACAAACAGAGTCCGCACAAGGTGGATATAAGGATCAGCCAGCACGAAGCCATTGCCGTCGACACAGTCCCGCTTGCAACCAATGTCGGTACGTTTTGTTGGGAGACGTCACGCGTCAAATAGTCACCACGGAATCCACTTATCTCACGCACAACCCTTTAAAAATGTACGAAGAAACCTATAGCATAGCTGTACTTTGTGATCATCCCGGGCTTTCCGACAATGGCAACAAGCACTATACAGTTGTACTCAATCTCCCGACATCTAGCTCTTTCCGCGTGAGATATCATCAACTGAGCTCAGAGTTACAGGTACAACCATTTATACACTCCAGTGTATATGTACGTGTACGTCCAAGCTCTCGCAAAGATCGTACTACACCGTGTATATCGCTGAACTGAAGGAGTCGGGTTTTTATTTTTTTTATTTTTTATGGATTCCCCAAAGGCCGAGGCCTAAGTCAAGGGGGTCTCCGTTCATGGCTTACTGGGAATATATCTGCAACATTGTTAGGTTCGTTGCGTTCACGGTATAATGTATTCCAACACTAGACGAGTGAACAGTTGGGGTTCGTTTGTCAAGATTCAAGACACACAAGATATTCACACCTGCTCACGGAAAACGTGTCATTGCATGTGCATAATATAATTAATTAGGATAGGTTGCATTCGATATCAATACCAATTATACACACGTGTCATACACTTGGTGTGCCAATTGTTAAACACGCAGTAGCCAAACGTTCCGCTTCTGTTCCTTGATCCGAAGAATTGCTGATGAGACAAGTAATAGATGCGTTCCGCGGACAGGATGTGCTTTTAAACATGTGCATGAAACGTGGGAGAACAGTGAGGGATGGGTTCCACCTGCTTCCGGTAGTTTCACAGGAAGCGTGAGTTTCAACATAATAATATTAAGCAGATTATACATACGGGGTCCGATGGGATGACGGCTGCACCACAGGTGAGTGCTAGAGCATCTCAAAGCGAAGATTCCTGGCGCCAGTTCTGGTGGTGTCATTCAATATGCTCTTCAGAATTTTCGCTTTTCAGCTCCATCGATCAAGCTACTGATTTTTTTAAAGAGATTGCCCAACTCTTGCTTGAAATGGTGCATGATGATCGCTTTGCATGAATCTGTTTCTGCCGTCTTCAGAAAATCGAAAATTTCGTTGATACGCAATGTTTAGTTTGACGGATTTGCCAACAGGAACGTAGGAAGAAACAATGACTGTCTCCTCCAGGAGTCGCACCAGAGACCCTCCAGTATGGCCAGCAATGTTCTACCACTAAGCTATGGACTTGGAGTAATACACTCGCTCGAGGATTGCCTCAACACTGAATTGGACAAAAATCTATGGCTGGACTTGGTGGACAACTGTCATCATCATCATCATCATCATCTGCGTTGCCGAAAATATAATAATATTGTAGCAAAATAAAATAATAATAATAAACGGCATTATGCAGCTGTGTAAGCAGTAGATGCACAGTGTGACTGCCAGGCATCTCTGTCAGATGCCAACTGGCAATTCTCATGCAGAGACATACCAGTCCACGAAACGATATTGTCAGCAAAGGAAATCTTCGGACGACCACGCTTTCTCTTACCATCCACGACACAAAACATCACGTCACGTACATATACAAGCTCGCAGCCAGATGGGCGGCATGTGTGCCCGAAATAGGTCAGTTTGCATATCTTGACCCTGGCTAGCAGCTGTCTCTGTACTCCCAACTCCACCAGGATACTTTCATTTGTGCGCTTCTCCATCCAGGATACTCTGAGCAGACGTCGGTAGCACCACATTTCTGCTGCCTGTATTCGTCGTTCATCTGTCTTCCGGAGAGTCCAACTCTCAGCTCCATACAGCAGGACAGACCACACAAGGGCATGCATTATCCGGATTTTCAGCTGCCTAGAGATGTGGTCTTTCCAGATGTCAACTAACTGCAGCATACGCTCTTTCGCCATGGCAATTCTTGATCGAATATCGAGGCTGCAATCACCGTTTGTTGTCTTCCAGGATCCCAGATACTTGAAACTGCTCACCTCTGCAATTCGTTCTCCATCGACCACAAGTGGCGTTGGAGCAGTATCGTTTGCACCAGCAGTACAGGTTCCGATATGCATGATCTTGGTTTTGGACAGATTCAGTGACAGGCCCTTCTCTCGTCCAGCGTCATTAACAGCATTGGTGAGGGTAGACATTTCTGATGGATGTGCACACAAGCCCGCGGCCCGTGTCATCTGCATAATTATCGTAGGTTCGACAGCTGGCGTCCTCCGATTCTTACACCACTGGACATAGATGTAATATACAATACAATATTCAGTACTTGAGGGGATTGAAAAGGGAAAATGGATAATGTCTCCTACTAGTCCTAGTCGATAGCCGAATACTCTCCTCACTATTGTATTCATGGACAATGGTTGTGTACAATACGGTGATGACAAACTGTGTCTGATTTTTTCCTGATGCTAGTAATTAAATTTCTACTACAGGATGTATTTTAAACCTTTCTTCTCCAGTTCTTCCGGAAGTGCGTCACGTGTTTCTCACTCTTCAACGTGATGCCTCACCATTCAGCTCTAGGCGTTCCTCGCGAGTAGCATTGTTGCAAGGGACTGGACTAGCGTTTCCCTGATTCCTGGATGGACGTTTTATTTGTTTGCCGTCCAGTACGATTCTGGACTCTGTGTGATGGCATCTATTATAAGAATTCAAGATGAAAATTGCCTGGAATTGGAGTAGGCAACTCGGCTCCCTGAGAGATTCCTAGTCCGAGTGATCAACGCGCAAGAAGAGAACGTCTATTTCAAAGTTTCTCACTTTTGCAACCCAAGTCTTGGCGTGCAGGCTTTACCGAAAATCTGACAGACAGTGCCGGGCACGGATCACTGTACCTGTATGGGCTGCTGAAACAGCCTGTTACCACACACTCTGGCCTAGCCCAGTGTACATCTGTCAATTCATCTACTGCGAGGCCCAGGACCAGAAGAACACAGAAAATCTGTTGAGCAGGACAGGAGCAACGCCCACGTGCATCCATGAGCCAGGATATTGGGCAAGGGCTTGCGCGCCATCCACTGGCAGCTCCCACAAAGCCAATAGTCGCGACAGTGACTTCAACCTGTCCCTGTGTCCGGAGCCGGACTGGGGCAATGAACCAGACCTAACCGATGCTGCATTTCCACCCCTGTCCACCACTCCACACAAGGCACACAAACGACCCCATGAGGAGGTGCCTCCAAACTCCTCGTCTGAGCCACTCATTAAAACACCTAATGCGGCCAGGCAGGGATCACTCGGTTGCTAACATGCGTCTGCTGGTAACAAACGCATTTGGAATCAGGAACAAGATAGGGGAACTGCAACATGCAATGTCCGCCCATCAAGCTGACATTCCCATAGTAACTGAAACAAAGCTGCCTGCTGACACTCCTACTTCTGATCTTTGCCTTGCTGGATATCATCCACCTTTCGATGAGATCGTAGTTCTACGCGGCATGGTGGCGGATTTGCTGTTTGGGTGAGGTCCCACATCCCTGCTCTGGAACTCAGTATTGCTCACAGTGATCACGAAATTACCTGGGTCTCTCCCCGCACTGCTACCTGTGGCCAGCTGGTCCTTGTAGCTCTCTACAGACCTCGCTCTGCAAGTCCATCTGACATTAGTCTGGTTGAATACGGTGACTCCTTGCTTGAGCTTGATCAACTCTGTGATTCCTCTGTCATCTTGTAGGGCGATTTGATCATAGTGATCAAGAAATTTACAACACTAGCTGAGCCCTTACTACCTTCACCTCTGCACCACTGGGGACTCTAATTATGACATTGTGGACGTGTGCGATCATTAGACAGCTATTAGAGAGGTTAAGATGCACGTTATTTCCTACGCGACTCGCAATTTCACGTCAAATTTGGCGTAAAACTCCAAATTTCGACGTGACCTGGAGGTCACTCGCGTTGTTTTTCGACGCGCGAGCAAAAACGCGAGCTGAACTTTCGCGTCACGTCGGAAATAACGTGCATGTTTGAATTTTGAATTCTTTATTCTCACGATGTTAACCTCTCTATTGTCTGATGATCGCCTAGTGTGTGAAACTCGGAGGAACAACTCATATTAATTTTCTCCTCTTCTTATTGTTTTTATATGTAGGACTCAGTGACCAGTCAAGGCTCCATGACCAATGACTGTCCCCGTGACCAGTCAAACAGTCACAAACCCCCCATGACCTGTCACAAATAATGATTTGTGTCACAAATTAGATTTGTGACTGTTTGAGTGTTCACGGGGATCGTGATCGATGATCGAGACGTGACTGCTCACTGAGTCCTACATAATACTAGTATTGCCAAAGTCGTGGCATCCTATTCTTCATAATGCTAGAACACACAAAAGACACAACGGAGGTTTACAGAATTGTCGCAACTCAGAGTTTCTTGCACAATGCGATCAGCAGCCTAAGTCGCCTGCTAACATTAAGTCGCCTGCTGACAGCAGGCGACTTATGACATGTTCAGTGGGACTTGGCCAATATACATGTACATGTACATGTACAATGTACATGTAAAGCATAGTTTGGGGATAGCTAGTGGGTAATGGGTATTTGATTCAGCACCAGTGCTGAGTCGGGTAGTATACTAGTATTTCTTCGGATATCGGGTTCGGGTAGGTTTCCACGGTTAGCAGGGGTACCCGGTCGGCTAATATTTCCATGGTAACACCACAATGCACCCACTCCTTTACACACTGGGTAGACATGCAGGGTATTATTACATGAATTTGTACACGTGCACTGCACATGATGCAAAATCTGCGACTTCGGGTTTTCGGGTACTGTCCCGACTACCCGCGACAACCCTTATTGAGCACAGAAAATATTGCCATGAATGATGGCCGTGTGGATGGTCGCTTGGGTGAGGGAGCTATTAGCGCCGAAAGTATCAAACTCTGAGTTGCGACAAATCTGTAAACCTTCGTTGTGCCTTTTTGTGTGTAGCAGTGCTCCACATTATTGTGTTGAGCCCTCTCCGCTGGTAGAGAAGGAAGTGTTCCTCCTTTTAATACTAGTACATGTACAGTCGTGGGGAATCTGGAGATGCCAACTAGGGAAGAAGGCAGTTCCAAACAGTACAGTCATTACCGGTGTTTCGTTAGACGTACAAAATAAAACAGCTGCAACTGGGTATCTGGGAAATACTAGCATGAGAATCTCTGCGGGTACTTGATAATGGTATACGGCACATCACGGCAGGAATCCAATGGTAATGTACATGTAGATCAGATACAGTCGTGTCAGGAACTAGATTAGTTGCTAATCCAACCGAAACCCACTTGGCTGATTTTCTCGGAACGTGTTGGGAACGCGTCATGCACATACATGTACATGCTGTACATGTACGCCACACCGTGACAGTCCACAGTACAGAATCGAAAGTTAAAAAGACTCAGATTTTAAGTGCTATCCTACTCGGATCGGGTAGTCGGCCTGCGATAGTGACGTCAGCATTCTAGTATCCGGAGTGTCCCATGCAGTCTCTGTGACCAACCTCACTCCAATTAATCTGCCAGGAAATCACGTGCAGGTCTTGCCTAGCCTGGGGCATTAGGTTAAGTGCTGCACAAGGAGCTACATGTAACTGGCATAACATCATTACCTGGATTACGCGATAAAGCGTTTCCTTAGAACTTATGGACATGACAGAAAAAGAGTGAGCCGTCCCCGACCATTGCATTGTACGTCCCGCTTTTCATTGTACATGTATATGTACTTCGAAGTAATTGCATAATTATTCGACGTTTAAATAGAGGATTGTACAAGTAGGCGGATGGCACCCACAGAATTATTTCCATAGCGTCCCTTCCATGTATTCTAGAAATCTGATGGCCACCGCTGTCCTTTCACAAAATGATGTACTAGCATGGCGTTGATTTAGGAAGTTCATTGTCACATAATCCTATGGAGCCCGAGGAGCACAACAGCACATACCCTATTGTCCCCAATAAAAGTACAGTCATCTTTTAAACGTTTTCACAGGTGGCGAACCCTGTACTATAGTGCTGGCAACTGAAATCCGACCCCCTGAGCGGTGGGTTCACTTTCTAGCGGCCTCTGTTTGGTAGTTTTACCATCCCGTGTTGGGTCTTTGCGATGTGAGCGCACCGCTCAGGGGTCGGATTTCAGTTGCCAGCACTGTACTAAAGGAGCCTATACTAGTATCGGAGACTGTTTTTTTTTATTGTTTCTGGCACGATTGATCGCCTGTCATGACTCATGTGTGTCAAATCAATCATAATAAAATTTAATGATACTTTTCGTGTCTTTTCGGCTGTAGATCATCTTGACCTGGAATAACACACCAGCTAATGTACGATCAAGCATGTAGAAAGGCACAAGGATAGAAGAAAAACGACGTATTGAAAGTACATGTACCCCAGTAATACCCATCACATCACTATGGCATGTACATGTACAGTCAACACACATCACTATGGCATGTACAGTCAACTTCGCTTATAACGACACTCGGCGGGGCATCAGAAAAGTGTCCTCATTCGCGAAGTGTCCTTATACCTGAAGTCTCATTATTATGTATTACAGTTGGATGGGACTTTGCTCTGGGCATGGAAATGCTGTCGTTATTCGCGAATTGTCGTTATATCCGCAGTCGTTATTAGCGAATTGCCGTTATATCCGCAGTCGTTATTAGCCAAGTTGACTGTACTACTATTAGAGACGTGTCCTTTTATATCGATCCACGCGCAACATACATAATACTATTGGGCACGCACAAGTATTGGAGACGTGTACATCTACGTTTATTCGGGAACCACGGTAGTCATTACTCATTAGTACTATAGTGTCTAGCATAATGTACTGTTATAATCATTGTACAAGCACACGAGATGTCTGCGCTCACCGGGAGAGCAACGTACATGTACATGATTGTACATGATTCTACTACTTCCTTCCAGTTGTATGCGTTGCTACAGCAAGCGCACAGCAGGACGCCGAACCAGTTTTGGTCGGTTGACTCGCAGACTTGACTGCTACATTTTGCTCGAGATTACAAGATACGACAATTTCTTTCCACTGGGAGTTCCAGGTTGAATGTTTGACCCGGTAGATCGCTTCTCGTCTAAGAACACCTTCAGAGCAATGATGGCAATAGTCATCCGAAACATTGGCAGTACTTTGTCCTGGCCTGTCTTCAACATTGACGCAAAGCGTTTGTCTTCTACAAGTCATGTAGTTCGTTCCGGAGACTCAAGCTAACCGGTTGCGAGAATCGCCCGCGATGCAAGTAAAGTACGATCAAGAAAATGAACAGTTCCAGCACGCCTCGCATTCGCTTCTCAGTCCTTTCGACCTGTTCGTCAGCTGATGTCTCCTGCGCGTGCGACATGTCAACTAACTTGTTGTAACGACGTAACTACTAGCTTGCAATGAAGGGATGGATGGGGACGTGCCGTCAAGTCTATTTCGAACACAACCCTTCACTTACAAGCAGGGACTTTCCGCGTTTTCCCTATACCGGCGCCAGCTGCGCGCCATAGCCTGCATAGGGCGCGAAAACGTCCTCTTTGTCATCACTCAGGATCAAGAGCACACACTTACTGCCTACTTCAAGACTTGCGGTAATTTCCTGGCTATTTTGACCTAATCACGACCTGTACTAACTCTGCTGTCTGAACCACCTGTCCATTGTGCTGCTCTAGTCCTGAACTACAGTATTCACTGAGTCTTGGGGGTTGGTTAGACATGGGGAAGTTGCCATACTGGGGTGGTGAGTCCGCCTTTCGGCACTGGGATTTCGCTCTACTCTGTCTCTACTCAGTGAAGAAGAATATATAAAAGAAGAATATATAAAATCACCAGGGGCCCAGAAAAATAACGTGACTGCCTGATTGCATCGCACCGCTTCTACGTAGCTGGAGAGTGGAGAGCTGTCAGTGACAGTGTGCCCAACATGTTGACAGCTCGTAAGACAGTAAAGAGAACACTCTTGAATACTCTTTACAATGCAACTGTCGAAAGACCAGACAACGAGGGCAAAGTACTCCAGCACATGAATAGTCTTCAGCAACGGCCCGGGAGTACATGTAGATCAGGGTGTGTACATAATACTCATGTTTCTCTTCTCTCTCTTTAGTTGGTGATGGATTGAGCTGTGAGGAGGGGTTTGGGGGAGCAAAGCAATTGGATGGAATCCTGTCCAGCGAATCCGAGGAAGAGACTCCTTCAGTTCAGGTAAGAACATCATCTACTTGAGTAGCCAAAACATTCACCCAACAGGCTGACTCTAATCCTTCCACTGCTTAGCGAATTGAATGACTTCAGCATGAAACGCACCTGGAATGATCTGACACGGCGCATGGTGCTTCTCGCTTCTCGCAGACCCACTGGAGAGACATTTCTCTGCGCAAATACGTTTGTGGGACTTTGCATGCCATCCATTGCTGTTCGCACGCACAGTCGCTTGACAGTGTCGCCTGTGAAGTGTGACAAGTGTAACAAGCGAAAGTCTTTCGGAGCAGATCTTTCGCCTCTGGTTTCGCTGCCTTAGACGTTAGCGCTGAGCGGGGGTATCCCAGGCGGTCCGTTGTCGATTAGTTAGGTTTCGTTCGGGGCTCTTGCATAATTCCTGCCCATGTCTCTACTTTTCGACAGAGAGAAAAACGGTCCAGTGCTGATTTGTACCAACGGAGAGACACCGAAACACACAAGTGCTGACCGTTGCATGCCTGTGCGCCTTTCGGTGCGACAAGAACCGAAAGGGACGGCGCCTTCATAAGGGAGCGGTAGTCTTCGCCTACCTTCCTGTGCAAGAGGAGAAGAAGAGAAGGTCACTTTCTCCTTCCCGCAAGCAGCCATGGCGACACCAAAGTCCAGGAGACGAGCCAGCACGCTAGCATGGTCACGGCAGGTCTTCTTTATCTTCTTGACCAGCGTCTCGATGAGAGTGCTATGTACACCAGCACCGCAACTTACAGGTGAGTTGGGGTTAGGCAACCCGTGTATACAGAGGCATGATCAGCATCGAAGCCAAGCCCATTGTTCAAGTGTGCTTCTCAACCTCATGCATACTCCCTCTCTGGGTCTATCTGTCTTGTGTCTGTCTCTCTGTGTGTCTATGTGTCTCTGTGTGTCTGTCTCTGACTCTCTCTGTCTGTCTCTCACTTTCTCTGTCTGTCTCTCTCCCCTTCTCTCTCTCTGTCTCTCTGTCTCTGTCTCTCCCTCTCTCTCTCTCTCACTCTCTCTCTCTCTCTCTCTCTCTCTCTCTCTCTCTCTCTCTCTCTCTCTCTCTCTCTCTCTCTCTCCTTTCTCTCTCTCTCTCTCTCTCTCCCTCTCCTTTCTCCTCTCTCTCTCTCTCTCTCTCTCTCTCTCTCTTCCTCTCTCTCTCTCTCCTCTCTCCTTACTCCCTCTCCCTCCCTCTCTCTCCCTCTCCTCCCTCTCTCTCTCTCTCTCTCTCTCTCTCTCTCTCTCTCTCTCTCTCTCTTCTCTCTCTCTCTCTCTCTTCCTTTCTCTCTCTCTCCCTCTCACCTTACTCCCTCTCCCTCCCTCTCTCTCCCTCTCCTCTCTCTCTCTCTCTCTCTCTCTCTCTCTCTCTTCTCTCTCTCTCTCTCTCTCTCTTCTCTCTCTCTCTCTCTTCTTCTCTCTCTCTCTTCTCTTAAATCCAAGAAGCTGTTTAGGGGATAGACAAACCCTCACTGAGCGCCCTCATATTCACTTTCATGATTTGTTGCAAAGGGGCAGACACCAATGTGATATCCAATGATAAGTTGGGACACTGTAGTGAGTGGGTAGTTTAATTGAGGGGGCTCTATATAAAGACGTATCCATTCAATAGCAACTTAGGGTCCATACAAAAGGTACGCGACTGCTTTTAACAGGTTTCTAACAGCCTCAACCCTTTCCTGTCCAGTCAGACTGGCCACAACGATATTCAGATATTTGCCTCTGTCTCTTCTCTAGAGATGGACCGCAGAGTTTCTGTTGCAACTACTCTTCTGGCTTCATGCTCTACCCAATGCTCAGGCTACATTCACTTGGTGACAAATTTGGAAGTCTGGACCACACAGGATAAGCAAGGGCGCAACATGACATGCACATACACGTCACAGATCATAGACAATGGAAGTAAGTATCAAACGGTGGCCGGCATTCATGTACATTATGAGGGGGAGTAACGGTGGGGGTGGGGTGGGGGGAGGACCACGGGTGCTGGTATCGGTAGACTCCATGAGTAGTCTGCGATACTATTAGTCTCTCAATACATGTATGTCAAAGCAAAAAAAAACTGTCTAGGAAGAGAGGAAAGATGTTTACTGGTGGGTCGGGGGACAATTTTGTAGGCTTAACCTAACAAACAAATGGGTTAAACAAAGCATTGAAGTGAGATCACACCAAAATAACAGTGTGGGTGGCAAACACCTTTCCTATCAACTCATCGCCAAGTTCTCTAACCCTATATCACAAATATCCAGTTTCATTTCCTACAAGGTCACTCTTATGTTGAGATGTCTATGGATCGTCAGGAGCTTACTTCAAAGTGCACAAGGTGAACTCTGGGGACCTTTTATGCATCCTGACCCGTCGTGAATATTCATCAGGGAGAAAAATGATCATTTATCTGATCATTAGCTTGGTCTACCTCATCCAGCACTGGTACAGTAATTGCAATAGGAACGTTCGGGGTGCCTTCCATACATGTACATGTCTTATGTATATGCGGAAAGCCAGCAGATGTTTCAACTCACACTGTGGTGGATAAGTTTGTTGGCAGCGGTTTGCTAGTACATGCACATGCACATGCACATCTATCTATGATACCTGTACTGAGCCTACGAGTAGTTTGGAACATGGTCAGGCCGGAGCAATCATGTGTGGGTTTTAACGGATCAGCTATTTACAATACTGCTAATATCAGCACTGATGAGGTTGACTATTCCTGATAACATCCAAAGAGCTGCTCTCCAAGACGATACCAGCAATCCCAAGAACCTGTACAATGTTACTAGTGACACGAAGTACCTTAGTAATGAACTCGGCAGTGCACTAGTGCTAAAGAGATTGAACTCGACATTCTGGACCTTTGCCAAGTGAATCATCTGTATTCTGAGAGACTCTTTAAAAGGGAACCCGCCTGGCACTTAAACGAGTCAGTGAGCCAGCAGTATAGGCTATAGCAACAAGGTTTCCGCGCAAGTACGGACTTATCTCAAGATGGATATTTTCAAGATCATGTCACTAGTTGGGAATGATTAGGGGGAGATAAGGGGTAGCACTGCAAACACTAGGTGGCGCAGCGGGGCGTTATTCACAATGACAACGACATTATTCATTTGCCGCCTTTTTATAACCCGTATAATTTATAGGATACTTGTATCATGTAGCACTGAAACTTACACAGTGTCACATCCACACACATAATTATTATATGAGCACCAGTAGGCTGTACATGTATACATGTATGTACGGTAAAACTCGCCAGATACGGGCAGGTTTGGATTGAGCACTAGCCGCAACTAGGAATTGCCTGTAACTGAGAATTTGCATGCAAGTCAACATCTGTTTATGCCAATCAATCGTTTTTGGTCCCGATTTCCGTTGAAAAGCCATTTTCATGACTCTAGATGGGTCAGAAAGGTGCCCGGTAGACAGACACGCCCGGATTAGGGACGTCCGGATCTAGAGAGTTTTACTGCACACAGATTTCTCAGGCTGCTCAAATAATTTCAACGCAATGTACACTGTGCATGTACATCAGCCAGCCCAACATCCAAAGCGTAGCACTACGCCTAATACCTCAGCAACCCACCCGCTCTTTTCCTGGTAACAATCGTCGCCTAGAAAATCCGGCCAGTTCCGGTACAGTGGTATGGTACGCGTACATGGCGGTACCACATCATGGTAGCATGCATGCTTTTACATGTACCAGTTTTGCCTTAGATCTACCAGCACTGCACTGACTATCACCCACTACAATATTTCATTGCGTGTATTTTGTCCATATAAAAGAGGTTTGTTTTTCCTCTCAAAAAGTCTCAAAAACAAATGCAGCTAGTAGTACATGCACGTACATAACATGTATGTGCAATGGGAGTGCATGTAGCGACTACCATGTACAGGACTTGCTGGATTTTGTCGGTGACGATTGTAGTATACTGCCGTGGTCAAATGCACCCCATGTTGCCTGGTCATTGCACTGAGAGACTTGCCAGAAACTAGCCAAGCTGAGCTCCACTGTTGTACAGTCTTCTGCTTCATGTCGAAGTATAACATGACGTATGTGTGTGGTGTGTATGCATGTATGTGTGTGTGTGTATATGTGTGTGTGTGTGTGTGTGTGTGTGTGTGTGTGTGTGTGTGTGTGTGTGTGTGTGTGTGTGTGTGTGTGTGTGCCACGATGCAGCCGCATACCCGATCAGCATCTCACGTCCCATACAGTGGTATCTGAATGGTTCGATACTGCCGGTGACTGGAGCTGAATACTACATCCCCGGCGACTCTGTGTCTGCTCGAGGAAGGTACACATGTCGTGTGAGCTACTCCTACAGACGAAAAAATGAGCAGTAAGTGTTGTATTTGTACAGTTAGGGCCGGGTTCCAGTGCAGCTCCGCTGCTCCAGCTCATTGTCCATCTCGGACAAGACTCCACCTACCCCTTCCCCATTATCTAATATTTTCTGCTTTTAAGTCCCCTCGGGCTTCTTGGCACCTTCATTTGCTTCCTTATCATTGAGCACCTCTGCTCGTTTGGTCCCTGCGAAATCAAAAAATCCCCGTGCTCTGGCCTGCGCAGCGAATAAAAAAATTGAATTTTAAAATTCTCGCGTATAAAACAATGCAAAGCACAAGAAACAGGTCGAACCGTGACCGCGGCTCGCAGTTTTTGATCAAGAATCGTAGCAAAAGCTCGTGGTGAGCCGTGGCCTCGCTGCTCCAGCTCGAGCTGCGGTCACTATGGTGATGATGACGTTTCATGCCGCGGATGATGTGCAGCGGAGCCGCAGTGGAACCCGGACCCTAACCAATGCCACCACTTGGATACACCACCCAACCCTTACTGACATCTCGAAGACACTTCGCACAATGAAAATCCCTTTCTTTTGAACAAGGTACGATTAGCGAAAGCGGTTTCAGCTTTTCAAGACAACCTCCGAAATCTCGAAGATAACCAGAATTCAAGGCGTTGGTTAGTAGAACGTAATATAAAAAACTGCTATTGCCTGGTACTCTGATGAGATTACTGGCTTGATCTTCTGATTTTGGCTTTCTTAGAGACAGAAAATCGTCGCCTTATAAAAGAACCAAAGTTCCTGTACAATGTGCATGTAATCTCAATTTTCCACCCCGGCCCTCCACCTCCGCGACGGAGCTTATTGGTCCCAGTACCAAGGTGATCCAATGGATGTTGTGTATCCACATACTGGGCAGCCTTGGGCTGGATCTGGGCGGTGGGGGGGGGGGAGTGGCCACATGGTCACGCGTGATCTGTGCAAGTGAGATCATCGGAACCCCTACCTCCTCATGATGCAGAGGTGGTAGGAAATGCGTCAACTGATGTCAGAATGTTTGTGACGTTTTGCACGATCACAAATATAATTTCATGCCGATCATGTTGATCTTCTCCTCCATGTATGCCTTTACAGAGGCCGGCACTCTTTCGTGGAGTTTTCTCGCGACTTGGTCCTTGTCAGCACTCAGTTCGAGTATGATCAGGTGCTACGGCCACGTTTCGTCAACGCCTCGCTTGAACCACCCTACGGCGTGGAGATTGCATCCTCCAAGATTCGTCTGCAGGCTGGCGATTACAAGCTGTTTGACTGTTTGGCCACGGCACGGGCCCTTGATCCATTCGCACCCATTTCCCCACTCTATTACGAGTAAGTCACTACATACACGTGTACAGTGAGACCTGTGTTGAGCGATCATAATTGCGTTTAGAGACCACCTGTTGATGAGACCGGTCATCTTCATCCTAATTACGGGTCTACCCACATTTGAGCGCTTTTGGGCGACCTCCTGTGTACACGTACATGACGTATATCAGGACTGGATACAAAGCTGTTGCACACCTACCCCAGAATCATACAGGGTACAGGCCATGGAATGTTAGTTCCAGAACGACTCGGTCCCTGCATCCATGGTGTCGGCCATGTTGGTGTCCCGCTGCCCACGTGTACATGTATAGTGCACTTTCCACACAATTCAGTCACGTGACAAATATTCATAACTACTCTATAGGGCTTGAAAGTGCTACGTCACAGCATAGCAACAATTTCAAAAATTCAAAAATTGGATCCACTTGGATCCAGTTTTTGTATGGATCCAAGCACATTTCAAGCCGTCTTACTCTCAGCAAGGTGATGTAACCAGTGAAACTGACTGATTTGGCTACTGGGGGCGGGGTTACAACTGGTGGCGAAGTAAAGGTCACCCCGGCATACGACATGAGTGGGTTGCTATGCACCCACATACTGAGGCAATAGCAAAGTCACACCTTAGTGGATCCAAAATAGAAATCTGATGTCAACTTAGTACTCCCTGGCCGTTTTTGACGTCATCACTTTCAAGCCCTATTCCGTGCACCATGGGGCGATTTTTTCCACACAGATTACACTGACAGAAGAAGTATTCAGTGATAGGTAATGTCGCAATCTAATGTACAAGACAAAGCAAGTCCACAAAATCAAAAAGACACTTCCTTTTATCTATCAAACGGTTTCTTTCCCTTCTCTTCAGGACAGTAGAGGGAATTTGAACAACACATAATCATACAGAGTGTGAAAAAATACAGATGTCAGGCAATGGATGCTGCATTGACCAAGCTGACTTGTGAGTTCGCCACTCAATAATTCTTTTCAAAGTCAAATGACCTCCGACTTCTAGTTGAAGATTGCTTGCAAGGCGGAACGGAAGAACATCTAAATCGTCAGAATCCTGTGACATGTACCTCAGAATATGGAGTATGCGTTACCTTGTGTGCGTTGTCGTGCAGTGTATTTCACAATGGAACGCGGCAATATTCCAGTGCAGTGTTCACGGTTGGACCTGTGCAGCCCAATGACGCTGGCCAGTGGCAGTGTGTCGTACGTAATGCCTACGGCACTATCCGGCACAATTTCGTCGCCACTGTGACACCGGGACCACCAGGTACGATGACCAGTGCTGTGTATTATGGTGATACAGTCATGTATGACTGTATACGGCACTCCAATGGGAAGTTGATGCACAACTGGTAGTGATGAATACAAAGAGCCCAATGGGGAAAGATTTGTATGACCATTGTTGCAGGGAAGTAGGGGGAGGGGGGAGGCTAGTACGTTATACTAACGATTCGCGGTGCCACATTGTTCAATATGGTGCTTATGGTGGATAGGGGGAAGTTGTAAGTGAGAAACTTTCACAAGAGATTATACTTCGCTACTTTTGCAACCATTACACATTCGAAAATTTAAATTGACTGCTCTGTGACTTGCTGTAGATCACACATGATCCAAATGAACAGATAATGTCGCGAAAGGTTCTCAACGTGAACCAGTACTATTCTTGCAAATGAAAATTTGCACTCAGTTAATTTCGATTACAATAATGGAAACGTTGCATTCCTGCAATTATTCAGGTTATGATAAAACATTCATATTTTTATGTTGTATATTTTCAGGTTTCATCCCCATGACACCTCCTCGCACCTCAGAGCCTAGAACATCATCGGAAGAAATATCAATCACCTCATCAGTGTCCAGCTCTAGCGTCCCTGTGGCCAGCACCGGAGTACAGTCCAGCACACCCACATCTGCAGTTGAGAACATGCCTCAACCGGAGTCGGAGAACAATGGAGCCACCTACGTAGTGTACGCCCTGGGTACAATGGCTGGCCTGGTGACAATTGTGCTTCTGGTTCTGGTGGTGCAGAAGATTCGTTTCACCATCAATGCGCACAATGCTGGCAAGGTACATGTAGCACCAAATAACAACAACACAAAGACGTGTCTTGTTGACGTGGAGAACGCCATAATACAGGCACACCCGAGCGAACAGCATGATGGCAACGTCGGCGAACTCAGTGAACCTCCACGCATCAGAAAAGCGGATGATACAGCGCACCAGAGAGAAGATGTCTCACCCAGTGCTGCTCAGCAGACTGAACAATTGACATTACTTCCCGACACATCACAGTGCAACGATGCAGCGGAAATCAGCAGTGTTAATGTTGTTGATTTCAAAGACTCAATCCAACCCAACACCGCTCCTGCACCTGATATCAAAGGCACAGACCAAGAACATGGTGACGCAATCGGTACTTCGGAAACGACTTCATGGCGGCAAAAACCAGAATCTCAACAGCATCCCAGATTGCTTAGCACCTCCAGCAGGAACAGCACCGCACCACTGCTAGCGGAGAGACAAATCTCGAGCAGCGGTTCAGACTGTTTGGAAAGTCCAACTATTGGCCCCGACCACCCTTGCCTTGTTGAGAAGGGTGGTGCAAACGCTTCCACCACGGATGCTGTCGACAAAAAAGTTGTTGTCGGGAAGGATACATCAGTTTAGCATGATCAAGTACACGGTCCATGAATGCCAGAAACTAGTGCCTGCATGTCGTTTCACAGTACCTTGCATGGTTTACATTCAAATCGAGCTGCAGCGTAGGGAGCTCAGATAAAGGAGAACGCCAAGAGGAACGCCTCAGATTTAAATACTAGTAATAGAAGGTCGCTAGCCATCTTCTGGTGAACTCACTGAGACTACTAAAGTAGCATAGCACTCTGCTGGCCAGATATAGCTACAGTCATGAGCAGTTCTCATATTCCTTGTCCTCGTCAAAATTGATTTTAGATTTTTCAAAACACGCCTTCGTGTACACCTGGTTATCACCAATATTTAATTCCTAAATTCAATCACCCCACCAAGCCCCATACTTAATTTTGTTGACCAATTTTTGAGAAGAGACACATAGCTACATCTATACATACAGCGTAGTACGTTGTCGAATAATCGAGTAGAACAAGCTATGATTTTGTTAATTTTAAGAATTTGACGGTAAATTCATCTAAAACACAATAGATGAATAATGTTCACACAATACCCATCGCCTTAAGGGATAGAGCTTTTTAAAACACACAGAATGAAGAGCAAGGTTTCATGTGCTACAGTTCTGCTCAATGAAATCCAGTCGCGAGAGTCAAGTTTGCGGCGTGCACCTTTTCACAGCCCAGTGTTCGCAGGTCTAGGGCTGCGCAACGCGTTAACGCCCGGTGTGTACTTGAGAGTGACGCGACTGGATTTCATTGAGCAGACAGTACAGATCTTATGTGCAGTAAATTCTTGTATGAATGAATTTGACCTTGGGTTCTACATCAACTGGTACCTAATGCTAAAGCCGGCTTCTTGCTATCTGCGTATTTTGCGTGCATCCCACTTGCCTCTGTAGCTTCACCGGAAGCGTGTGTTTCGAAGTCTGAAGAAAATCCTGCACGGTCCGAGCTCCCTACAATCATATCATACTACACTTGACACGGGACCTCCACAACCTCGGCTTCAGCAGTTTAGGCTGGCTCGTTCGTAAACCTTTTAGGATACGCTTTATCCTACCTGACGCCTGCTTTGCTTCAGCTGCCAATGTCCAGTTTTCCTAGGCTAGGCTTTTATAGGTGTGTAAATAATTATGTACGTTAAGGTACAGGCTACTATTGCGGGGTCTGTACAAGCTCCAAAGCTTACACCAGAGAAAAAGTTTCTGTTTCCGTAACCAGGCCACAAGTATTACTAGTTACCCAGCGTATTCAGGATCCCCCAGCAATGGTGGTGGACTGAAGAAGATACGGACATGCAGTATGTGTCCCTTGATGACACCGTCATTCGCTACGGATCCTGTTCATTTCCAGCCCAGGGCACCTACATCATCATTGGCCTTCTGCAAACCAGCCTCCATCAGCACACTTGTCAAGCCCGTGATGTAGATCTACATAATTATTATACTAATCATAGTAATGATAAGTTGGAGTCTGGCACAAGGCTGTCATGATCCTCGGACTACACCTGACACGCACTACAGCCAGTACAGTCTGATCTCCAAAGCTAGAAAAGCAAAACGAAAGTTTCAACCAGGAAAGCAGAACAGGAAAACTTTGTTGGCTGGATCACTGCAGTGTCTAAGGTACGAATTGCATTACGACCTATGTTTGTATACTCTGTACTGTTATTAATATGCGGATATCTATCGGTATGGATAAAAGCAGAGCGAATCTGAGTTGACGCCTATTGTCCTTTGAACACTAATGATGCTAGATCACCTTGTGTAGCCTCTTTGAAGGCATCCTAATTTCCCTGCGAAATGGTGGGGGAGGACTGTGACGAGCTGATCAACAGAGACAACGACCCACTACCACTAGGGTCCGGTACCATACAATAGTGGTGATCAGTCGCACCGGCAAATGGACGGAGATCTGTCCCGCTGTTCTCGTTCTTCTCACCAAGATCTTTAACAGCGAGGGTGAAAGTCGCGGCGATCGTCGCCTTTCTCCAAGCCTTATTCCAAACGCCCGGCGCGAACTTGAGAAACTCGTCTGGATTTCATTGAGCAGACAGTACAGTACTTATGTGCAAGTAAATTCTTGTATGAATGAATTTGACCTTGGGTTCTACATCAACTGGTACTTAATGCTAAAGCCGGCTTCTTGCTATCTGCGTATTTTGCGTGCATCCCACTTGTCTCTGTAGCTTCACAGGAAGCGTGTGTTTTGAAGTCTGAAGAAAATCCTGCACGGTCCGGGCTCCCTGCCGAGATGACGATGTGTAGAAGCTAAGTGATAAAGCATCACTTGCCTATTGTCCAGTCCATGGTGGTGACAGCCATTTTTCTACAGACATTTTCCTTTCCGGTGCCCTCAAACCTGAACTGATGGGCATCTTCCACAGATATCGTAGTCAGATAAACGTAGGTGGCGTTGTCCCGCGACCCGGGTTGAAGAAACCGGTAAACATCCACTAGCAAAACACAAGCTAAAAAAAGGTGAAATTCGCACCTTCGCGTCACCACCTGCTATGCTGTGTTGAGAAACATAACCAGCTTGGGCCATGGGGCGAAGTTAGGGCCACCGCCATCGCATGCCTGGTCGCACCAAGGTGGCAGATGCAGCGCTCAGCGGCGAGCGTCAGGCAGTGAGTCTCACAACCAGGGAGTCGTATGTTCAACTCCCCGTTCACAATCAGTTGCCGACAAGGGGCGAGCCTAAGCGGCATCCTCGTCACCCTCACTCCGACCAGTGAGTACCCAAGCTACTAACCAAACATAAGAATTATCATCGATACAATCATATCAAACTACACTTGACACGGGACCTCCACAACCTCGGCTTCAGCAGTTTAGGCTAGCTCGTTCGTAAACCTGTTAGGATAATTTTTATCCTACCTGACGCCTGCTTTGCTTCAGCTGCCAATGTCCAGTTTTCCTAGGCTAGGCTTCTATAGTATAGGTGTGTAAATAATCTATATGATTGTACGTTATAAAAAGGTGCAGGCTACTATTGCGGGGTCTGCACAAGCTCCAAAGCTTACACCAGAGAAAAAGTTTCTGTTTCCGTAACCAGGACACAAGTAGTAACCCAACGTATTCGGGATCCCCCAGCAATGGTGGACTGAAGAAGATACATGCAGTATGTGTCCCTTGCCGACACCGTCATTCGCTACGGATCCTGTTCATTTCCAGCCCAGGGCGCCTACATCATCATTGGCCTTCTGCAAACCAGCCTCCATCAGCACACTTGTCAAGCCCGTGATGTAGATCTACATAATTATTATACTAATCATAGTAATGATGAGTTGGAGTCTGGCACAAGGCTGTCATGATCCTCGGACTACACCTGACAAGCACTACAGCCAGTACAGTCTGATCTCCAAAGCTAGAAAAGCAAAACGAAAGTTTCAACCAGGAAAGCAGAACAGGAAAACTTTGTTGGCTGGATCACTGCAGTGTCTAAGGTACGAATTTCATTGTGCCCTACGTTTGGATACTCTGTACTGCTATTAGTATGCGGATATGTATCGGTATGGATAAAAGCAGAGCGAATCTGAGTTGACGCCTATTGTCCTTTGAACACTAATGATGCTAGATCACCTTGTGCAGCCTCTTTGAAGGCATCCTAATTTCCCTGCGAAATGGTGGTGGAGGACTGTGACGAGCTGATCAACAGAGACAACGACCCACTACCACTAGGGTCCGGTACCATACAATAGTGGTGATCAGTCGCACCGCAAATGGACGGAGATCTGTCCCGCTGTTCTCGTTCCTCTCACCAAGATCTCTAACAGCGAGGGTGAAAGTCGCGGCGATCGTCGCCTTTCTCCAAGCCTTATTCCAAACGCCCGGCGCGAACTTGAGAAACTCGTCTGGATTTCATTGAGCAGACAGTACAGTGCTTATGTGCAAGTAAATCCTTGTATGAATGAATTTGACCTTGGGTTCTACATCAACTGGTACCTACTGCTAAAGCCGGCTTCTTGCTATCTGCGTATTTTGCGTACATCCCACTTGCCTCTGTAGCTTCACAGGAAGCGTGTGTTTTGAAGTCTGAAGAAAGTCCCGCACGGTCCGGGCTCCCTGCTGGGATGACGATGTGTAGAAGCTAAGTGATAAAGCATCACTTGCCTATTGTCTAGTCCAGGTGGTGACAGCCATTTTTCTGCAGACATTTTCCTTTCCGGTACCCTCAAACCTGAACTGATGGGCATCTTCCACAGATATCGTAGTCAGATAAACGTAGAATTTGGTGGCGTTGTCCCGCGGCCCGGGTTGAAGAAACCGGTAAACATCCACTAGCAAAACACAAGCTAAAAAAAAGGTGAAATTCGCACCTTCGCGTCACCACCTGCTATGCTGTGTTGAGAAACATAACCAGCTTGGGGCGAAGTTAGGGCCACCGCCATCGCATGCCTGGTCGCACCAAGGTGGCAGATGCAGCGCTCAGCGGCGAGCGTCAGGCAGTGAGTCTCACAACCAGGGAGTCGTATGTTCAACTCCCCGTTCACAATCAGTTGCCGACAAGGGGCGAGCCTAAGCGGCATCCTCGTTACCCTCACTCCGACCATTGAGTACCCAAGCTACTAACCAAACATAAGAATTATCATCGATACAATCATATCAAACTACACTTGACACGGGACCTCCACAACCTCGGCTTGCCTTCAGCAGTTTAGGCTAGCTCGTTCGTAAACCTTTTAGGATGAGCTTTATCCTACCTGACGCCTGCTTTGCTTCAGCTGCCAATGTCCAGTTTTCCTAGGCTAGGCTTTTATAGGTGTGTAAATAATCTATATGATTGTACGTTATAAAAAGGTACAGGCTACTATTGTGGGGTCTGTACAAGCTCCAAAGCTTACACCAGAGAAAAAGTTTCTGTTTCCGTAACCAGGACACAAGTAGTAACCCAACGTCTTCGGGATCCCCCAGCAATGGTGGACTGAAGAAGATACATGCAGTATGTGTCCCTTGCCGACACCGTCCGTCATTCGCTACTGATCCTGTTCATTTCCAGCCCAGGGCGCCTACATCATCATTGGCCTTCTGCAAACCACCCTCCAACAGCACACTTGTCAAGCCCGTGATGTAGATCTACATAATTAAACTAATCATAGTAATGATGAGTTGGATAGTAACGAAAGTTTCACCAGGAAAGCAATTCAGGAAATCTTTCTTGGCTAGATCACAAAGGTACGAATTTCATTGCGCCCTACGTTTGTATACTCTGTACTGTTATTAATATTCGGATATGTATCGGTATGGATAAAAGCAGAGCGAATCTGAGTTGACACCTATTGTCCTTTGAACACTAATGATGCAAGATTACCTTGTGTAGCCTCTTTGAAGGCATCCTAATTTCCCTGCGAAATGGTGGGGGAGGACAGCGACGAGCTGATCAACAGAGACAGCGACCCTCTACCAATAGGGTCCGGCACCATACACTGGTGGCGATCAGTGGCACCCGCAAATGGACGGAGATCTGTCCCGCTGTTCTCGTTCTTCTCGCCAAGACATCTAACAGCGAGGGTGAAAGTCGCGGCGATCGTCGCCTTTCTCCAAGCCCTGTTGCTCCAAGGGGTGCTTTCCTTGCCCACCACCCCTCCCAAACTGCAAGGTAAGTTACCAAATAGATGCTCGAAACGGAATCTCGGCTAAGCAAAAGTCGTAGATCTTCTCCAGCACGTTGTATTGTGATAACGTAGGTGTTGGTGCGCAACGTTCAACTTTCTAATTGGCAAGGATGTGATGCTGACTAGCCCCTATATCACTGCACAGCCACACAAAGCGTGTGCATGCCCAATGAAGTTAGCGTCATCAACCGTTAGGACACGTATGCGTTACTCTCAAAAGAGGTGGCCGTGGAGGTCGATTCAGTTCATCGCAAATGTTTCCCTATCGGTATTTCCACACAACTACAGGAAACGTTGCTTTAGAAGCCTATTCTCTGGCATAGAACTAGTTATCGTGGTAGTCGTGCATGTACACTGTAGACGTAGGATAGGGTTAAAGGCAGATGTTAAACTGGCGATATATGGGGGAGCTGCAGCCCTGGAGGGCGAAGTATTGTCCTTTTTGGCTCTGAATACTGATTGACGTCCTTAGTATCGTGCTGTGCATGCAGGTTACATCGACCTTGTGCCAGACTCGGAAGTGTGGACCACCCTTGAAAACAAAGGCCGCAACCTGACCTGTTTTCATTCATCTTCGGTTACCCTGAACGGAAGTAAGCAATCCTATCGATGCTATTGGAATTGGTCGCAGACTCAAACGTAGCCGTCTTCACATAACTTATAAGCCATGACGTTATCTCTCTCTCTATTTCTCTCTCTCTCTCCCGAACGGTTCCCTCCCTGCAAACAGCTGACTGAGCATATAACTTGCATATCGATACAAGTCATGTATGCTGAAGGTCTCTGTACTGTCCTACGACTATCTTTCTCCCTACAATGCGCTGTGTTGTCATAGCTTTTAAGCTTTTAGAAGATTGATGTACATGCATGTAATCCTGTACATACATGTACGGCCATGTTCCGCTGAGTACCAGGCAGATCACTAAGCAGGGACACGGAGTACCAAACCCTGCCCATAGCGGAATTGGACCTGTTGCGAATCACGGAGATACATGTATAGCCCATGAGCACAACAAGGCTGCGATTTCTCGGGCGTGGTACCCGACGCTGATAGCGTACTTGATTGGCTAGTTTTGCAATGGCTAAGTCGCTATTATTTTTTTACGAGTTGGGTATGTGTATGTGAACATAGTAAAAATAAAAATAATAAAAATAAATAAACCTGATCGTGAGGTTGTAGTTTAGGATTAATGAGGAGAATTGTCGGCCCTCACTGAGGGTTTCACTTGCTACTTCGAGTAGTCGATTTTTGATGTGTCATGCATTTATAATTCTTTGCCCCCACAGTACATTGCACAATTTCAAAGAGGGTCGAACAGAAAAACGGAGGGAAGACAAAGGAAAGAGAATGTAGAAAAGAAAAAAGGACCAAGGAACTACAAGTTACGCTATTATGTCCACTAACACCACCAGTCACTAAACAATCTTTTCTATAAAGTAATCCTTGGCTCTCCATCCGAAAGAGAATTTAGTAAGATTAGTGAGAGTGTTTTGATACACCTGCGTTTCCTATTTCGTCTTCTCCAGCTCAATATCCGATCGAGATTACGTTGATACGGTGGCATGTCAACGGCACCATTCTGCTGCCAGGAGTTGGACAAGAATACTACGTACACGGCGATAACGTGTCCGACAGCGGACGATACACGTGTACAGTCAGCTACAAGCTGACTATTCAGGATGGATGGTGAGGTCAACAGTATTATTACTATTGACTGTGAGATAGGAAACATGTCTAGACGTCCTTTGTCGCATACTGATCAAGTATAGCTGAATTTGTTATTAGGACATGGGATATTCAAATCCCTGATGATGCCATCCTTGGTGAAAATTTGGAATCAATCGTTGTACATGTACTTGTAGAAAGGAAGAGGTCATATGGATACGAGTTATGAGTAACTCTCCATCACTGTTACCAGATACTATAAATATACATGTACATGTACATGTACGGTCAGAAAGTGCAATAACTAGGCACAAAGCTAGTTAAAAAATTGGTTGTGAGCAACACTGGCTCACACTCAAATCACTGCTTTTCACCAGAAAAATATTTTATTTCTACTTTTCGGTCATGAAATAACCATCATCAGGAATGAAGTGGGCACACCGGTTAGGATGGGTTAATAAATGAGGAGCGCTGCGAACTAATAACAAATCACACCTGCATGCAATATTACGAGAGAGAGAACTTCTTCCACTTCATTCCTGATGATGGTTATTTCATGACCGAAGCGTTGAAATAAAATATTTTTTCTGGTGAAAAGCAGTGATTTGAGCGTGAGCCAGTGTTGCTCACAACCAATTTTTTACTTATGAAGCTGCGTGATGCGCCCTACAAGATTTTAAAGCTAGTTAAGTTACTCTTAACTCGTATCCATATGACCTCTTCCTTTCTACATTTATTATTGGCTCAACATTCGAGTTTTAAACTGTACATGTACTTGATGTTTTGTTCTCTTTTCAGGCTTTTCCCTGAAAAGTGAAAAGAGAACAAAATACTAACCCCACCGGGACTCGAACCTGGGACCTTGGTTGTCATGAGCAACCATTCGAGTAATGGTAAAAAAAGGAGAAGGACAAAATGTTACGAGTTTTGACTAACTGTTCACGAACGTAACCAGATCATAATGCAGTCAGCGAGTGCGACAAAATGGCATGCAACTGACAAGGAGGACTGAGATATTCAGCGACCTGACACTTACATTGTAGCTCCAACACTTTTGTGCCATTTTGTCGCACTCGCTGACTGTAAAGGATCTGGTTACGTTGGTGGAAAGTAAGTCATAACTCGTAACATTGTGTCCTTCTCCCTTTCCACTGTAATTGAATTGGCTCACCGTCCGAGTTCAACTTTGCATATCTTAATTATGGGACAGTTTTTTTTGTTATTGAATTTGAAGATCTCCCAGTACCAGTCTCCCAGATTAATATGACTTTTAACATTTCGTCTTAGAAGAGACATTTACGCATCTTCAGTCATACCTCTCCCCACTGCCAGGATCAACCGATATCAAATCTTTGCTCTACGTGGAGAGTGATCATCACGCACAGCAATACCATACAGAGACAGTTCTGTGTTGGAATGGTGTTTCCTCCTGCAGGGCATTAAGCACATCCGCACATTTCCACGTCGATCTTATCATCGTCAGCTCAGCGTACGAGTACGATCAAGTCCTGCGTCCCATGTTCAGCAATGCCCAGCTCCAGCCTCCATATGGACATCTCATGGCCACGTCTGATGTTCAACTTCTCCAGGCACAGTCCAAGACTTTTGACTGCTCCGCTTCGGCAAGAACCGTGGACCGGAATAAGACCATGTATCGCATATTCTACAAGTAAGCCGATATGACCATAGACCAGAGTGCAGGTAGAGATCGGTTATACTATGATAGCATTGGTGTTTGAGGAAGTGAGATTTGATCACTACAGACGATTATCACTCCAGATGTGGTTGGACAGGGTAGTACTTCAAAGTATGTACATGTAAGTGATAAATTTACAACTTAGTCATGATAGCATACAAAAACAGATGTGCATTATACATGTCCATATAAGTACCAAACCGAGACCAGTAAAGTACAAAAATAACAACAACCTGCATCTACTCTACCTGTATGGCCACACTGCTGGTAAAAAAATAAATAATAAATTATCGTGTCCGTTCCCCGAAGGGAACTCACGACGGCCGCTAAAACCCGATAAACCCTAGCGGCAGATGCAGCGCCTAACGGTGGGGGTGAGTGTGAGTTTTCGGCACTTGTGCCAGTGGTTGTGAGACTTATCCACACTGCTGGTAGTACACAGCATAGCATTGTATATGTTCACAATTTCAGTTTTTCAAAGATTTCTGTAGGCACCACTAGTAACTATAACCGATCCAGAATGTATACAATTGAGTGGTTTTGAAGTGGGGATTTGATCACAATAGGCGATATATTTCTATAGCCGATTATTCTTATAAACGGTTTAGTTTGAGTGGAAAAGATACTTTTGCTTTTGAACTTTGAAGCTGATAACATTATAACATTATAACCGCCACCTTAAACTGGTATATCATTATAACCACCAACCCTATAGGCGATCTCTACGTGTATACAGATTAAAGACGCCACCCCCCCCCCCCCGGCAAAACTTAAATTATGATAGTCTTTAATACACGCATCACGACGTACCTCGTGCTTGGTGTTATAATAGTTCCTCTTCTTCCTTTTCTCGGAGTCTGCTTTCCTAGGATTGGACCGTACACAGCGTGTCCATGAGCCATGTGTGGTTGTATTCTCAGCTGTTCTTACGTCCGTGTTCACACGCAGGGTTTACCACGACGGAACCTTATTCTCTACCGGTCCGAAACTCCTTCTAGACCCAGTACAGCTTGCCCACGCTGGAAGCTGGTTATGTGAAGCGGCCAACGCCTATGGCTATACGAGGCACCTGTTCAACGTGACTATTGTTCCCCGTGCAGTGGGTAAGAGGCAGTGTTTCCTGTAGTAGGGGGCTTCTATATGTCGAAGTGTATGTGTAAAATGTTATACTATGATCGCAAGGCAGAACTGTTTCAGTCTTGTTACATCTTGATTTCTGTTTCGATTGCTCGACTTACAGGGAACAATAGCAGCTCACTGGGACCGCAAAATACCTCTAGCACACTGCCGCCTCCTTCTGACAGTGTAACGAGCAAGGCAGGTATTTCCCAAACAATGGCTAGACCAAGTGCATCGATGCCATCACGATCCTCTCCCTTCTCGACCTTCTACGCTCGAACAGTCGAATGGGGTCTTCCAACATCACCCAGCAGCACAGACATCGGCCTATGCTGTGGGGCATTGGTACAAAGAGTATCAGCAATCAGCGCACCTTTGTTGATACTTGCGATCATACTTACTCTGCTGCTAGTGTATTTCCGACGCGCACAACTCCGGCGACGTACGTATGATGTATCAGATGAAAGTGTGAAGGGAACCAGACGCTCAGCAGAGCCCTCTACGTCCTCCCTTCCCTCTGCAATGCAACGTTTCCCTGATGATAATGCTGCCGAGTTCACTGTGGCAGCAGGGGAAGTCCAACATGCTCAACTGGACCAGCTGAAATCACGTGACTCCTGCAGTAGTTCAATTAATGTTGACGGTTGCAACACATCTATTACCCATTCTCCGGAGATGGATAATCCAGGAGCAGTATACCCGGACAGTGTGGTAGAAGACAGCACAGCACTGGATCTCAACTTAAAATCACCTCCTGATGAGGGAGCACCAATCAGTGACAGTGGAGAAAGATCAGATGTCAGCCACGATGACACTGCAGTGGAAACGAAATCCCAGCATGTATCCCGCGTGAACAGTGACGCCCGCGGGCGGTCAACTCTTCCACTGTTGCCTGGACGACGCGTGTCCAATGGGAGTTGCACGGGTGCCGCGAGCGTCGTCACCAAAGGCAGATTTTCAGGTAAAAGTACTGCCGTGTGACGGCGCAGGATGAAGATCTATGGAGTAATACTATCGCAGATATTCTGTGTAGAATGTGGAACTTTGCTAGCGAGCCAATATTTGACATGATGAATGAGGAAAGAATATAAGTGAATACTGCTGATACCCCGTTGTGTTGCATTGTTGGCTCGCTACATCACATACCCGCGTGTTGTCATTTATGAAGCATGGGTATTTTATAATTATTATGGTTGCATAATGCTTTTGGTGTATTCTAGATACACCCTTCGTAGGGTGTAATTCGTCCCTTTACAGGGACTTAATCCGACTGATTAGTCGGACTCTTTTTAATAGCATTTGCCTATGTAGTATTTGGGTATACATAAAAGATACCTACTAAGCTGCTCCATACTATGTATATCAATACAGATATGCACATATAGATTGAGCAAAGATTGAATATTTAGATGTACTACAAGATAACTACCATGTGCTTGTCATCTATTATGCTCTACTTCTATCAAACAGCCAAGCTGGTAGCATAGCTTTTCTTCCCTACGCTAAAGGGACATTTTCTCAAGGGAGGCATTCTTTTCTTTCGGACCCTCGGTATAAAGTGACAGAGTCGCTGTCCAGTGGTGTAACTGGGTATTACAATTATTTTTGTTTACCTGTATTGACCGTGTGTGGTAGAAACGCGGTGTTTGCAGTGTAACTTAGTAAGAGCATGTCTAATTGGAACAATCATTATTATCCTTTTTCCCTTTACTTTTTATAACGTTCCTTTCTGCAAAACTGTTCTGCTGAGGTTCAGCGCAACTGTTATTTCCAAATTCCTTTCTGCAACTTGTACATTTCACCTCGGCCTCTTTTCAGCATTGGTTTGTTTTCAAAATTATTCGACAATATCAAAAATTGTACTCAGATGGAGAGCCAATAGTCCTAGGGCCCATTTGAAATTTCTCACTTTTACTTGGCACATGTTTGCTAACATGGATTTTATGATCATTCCTGGATGGTTTTTGCCTCCTGAACACAATGGCATAGGTTTCGATTGCCGAATTGTGTCCGAACATGGTGAAAAACATCAAAATAGAAAAAGGCCGTTATTACCATGGCAACCTAACTAGAATTGCTCCTATATCCATTTTTACTGACATGTATATGGCCAAGTAGCACCTCATTTTGCTCAGAATAAGCAGTAGATACAGTACGGCGACAAGTACTGTACTTTTACAGTGTCAAAACAAAATTTCCAAAGTGCAGTGAAACTTGGCTATTGGACATGTACATGTATATTACATGTCGCGTCGAATGTTAGCATTGAGGTACGTGTACATGCATGTGCGGCTAGCAGGTACATGAGACTATTTACAGGCATGCATTATTATCAGACTGCAAACACGAGAGAAGCGCCAGACGGTTCGGCGTTACACTTCAACTGAGAGAATAGGTATTGTAACCCACTGAGTACTAACAGAAGAAGAAAAAGGTGGTAGGAAACTGTCAGAGTCTAAGGAAAGAAGTGCTTAGGACAGTTTCAACCTGAACTAATTTACTCGAAGTACGTGTAGATAATACGATAGATCTCGCAGCAATGTAAGAAGGGCAACACTATTTGTATGCGATGGCAGTGCTGTAACGAAAAATGATGAAAATGAAAATACCAAAATCCTTTGCATACTAGTAGATATTAAACAGTCCAAACACTGGCTAGCTTGTCACTATACTTAAATGCTTTGAAAAGACTTCAAGGCTGCAGTTGGACAACGCTCACAGGTGAATAGGTGCAGTTTAAAAAGCTGATCCATCCCAACATTGTGATGCGAATACTTTCACTTCCATGTGTTTCACTTTAACTGAAGTTGTTCTTCCGTCTGAGCTTTGGAAACTCTACGCCGTACAGCTGAGCCCATCTCTACTCCGCCACCTACACCATCACTATTGGCTCTGCTGTCAGGGACAATTCTTTAGCCACTAGTACATGAGGTATTATATCACAAAATTTTTCGTACCATATAAAATCTATCACCCATAAGTTTCGCAGTCGTGTTTTTCTGTTGCGCCATATGGCCCATTTCCTTTCTGCTTCAACCGTGAATTTGCTCTACAAGTGTTACGTGCGACCACTGTTAGAATACGCAGTCCCTGTCTGGTCATTCGCCGTATCCCATTCAGATTCGCTTACGTTAGACCGACTGCAAGCCGTTGCTGCTCGTTCATATCTGCTTTGTAAGACCCGGCACCCTCCTGAGTGGGAAACCCCGAAGCAGATTCTTAATCGTACTTGTGACTGGTCATCCCTGAAGTGGCGTCGTCAGATTCTGTCCTTGCTGTATTTTCATCATGTCTTTTACCAGTTTCCGTCTTTGCTAATTCGTTTCAAATTCAATGTATCCCTTAGTTGTCGTCACCCGTCCTCTATAGTTTCACCTCGTTCTGGCGCCCATTTCCTTAAATCCCCTCTCTTCAGTTTATCTGTGGAATGGAACAAACTTCCAGAACACATCCGCTGCGTTCAGTCCTCTGTCAATTTTCGCATTGCTCTAAAGGCTCATTACTCTCAGCATAGATATTCTCTTACTGGAATTCCGAACTTTTCCGTTTGAGAATTTTTTTTCCTTGAAATTAATCCTTGCTGGGTTTTTTTCATCTAAATGTCCCGCTATTATCTGCAGAGGTGATTTCTTCCCTCGTCGATTTCTTTCCTGCTTTTATACCTCGATATTTAGGTACTTGTTTCCCTTCTTCCCATGCTTCACCTTCCACTCTCCTCTCCCCATTTCCCCATTTTTCTTGCGATATTTATGTGGGAGACTTCCGTGATAAGCATCCATTTGCTTTTGGAGAATCCTTTTAAATAAATACAATACAATATGAACATGTTTTCCCTCTTCACCGCCGCTCTTGAATCGCATCAACTACGTGCCGTGATCAGTTCAGGAGAGACAAGCCATGACATTGGACATCGGACTATTTCTTGCAGTTAGTGTTTTATAAGTATAACTGTAGTTTCACACTGCCTAGGCCCAGCCATCAAATTCTGTGACAAAGAAATTATTCTTCTACTGCTGGTGTTGCATATTGGGATAGGTTACCTCCAGGTACTCGGATTTCGTTTTTGTAACACTCCACACCACATACCCCCTTCGCTTTCATATAACTGGGCCAGGAACCCGTTTGAACTTGCGAAGTAAAATAAAATCAATCAATCAATCTCTCACTGCAGCATGGCACTCCTAAGGCAGTTGTCCTAGAGCTGTTGAGCTGGTAAATAGGCTTTTTTGTGTGCAAATGGTAGCTGATCACCATGGTCGGTGTGTTCAAATCATGGTACTAACACTAGCCGCTCTTGTAGATTCGAATCAAATGCTTGTCCACTGTAACACCTCCTGTGCAGCAGTACTCACAAAGTAAATGCCTTCATTCCAGCCCGATGAAGTTAGCCAGGTCTGAAACTTTCCACGGTTGTAGATTAGTCCTATGAATATTTACAACTGGCTTGGCAAGCTATGATGACTTTCCCCTGCTTTCCACACATAATTGTTGTGCTGCTCCTTGTTGGAATCGTGCTTACTTTTCCGGGGAGCCAAGATGACATTGTAATGAAGGTTCTGCTGAATTTAGCATCGATCCATTCGTGGACGTTCCGACAGCAAAAGCGCCAGCGAGTCAATGCAAAACTTACTTTGAAGAAAGTGTCCAAACGAGGTAACACATTTCTGGTATGTCACAACTACACTACTTACTTGATGCTCATCTTTCCAACTCTCGCACAAAATCAGTGTACGCGTCGGTTCGCATCCTGTGTATGTACGGTGTTACTATAGCTCCTGGCACATAAAAGGGTAAAAACTCCCAGGTCCAGTCAATATAGTACCGAGAAAGTCTTGAAAATGCTTGAATATAGCCGATGAGAACTTAGTTTTTTCGGCAATTTTGTATTCCTATCGAGGGTGATTTCGGGACCTTTGGACGCGATTGGACACGCCATACTGGGCCAAGATACTCTTGAAGACATTATCTATCAAATAACACCGAAAAATCCTTGTTAGCCAACATGTGTCAAGGCATGTATTTTAGAGGTCGATTTTTTGAATTGGCCCCAGTACTACAAGGTTTAATTTATACAAAAAGAGAAAGACCAAGGAACTACAAGTTACGCTTTACTGTCCACTAACACCACCAGTTGCTAAACAATCAGCTCCTGCGATAACATTGCACGACACTGACCGACGGTACTGACGTTCTACAACTAACTGCCTAACAGCTCTAGCACATCTTGGATGCGCACTCCAACAGCCTTCCAACTTGGAAGGTTCTAAGTTATAGAAATAACATAAGGAGGGGAAACGGCGAAACGATCGTCGTGTGAAACTGCTGCTTGTTACCGCTGCTTATTGTCCATCTAAATAATTGTCATAGTCGAAGTACAGCGCTGTTTTACTGAGGCGTTCGGTTTTTCATGATTCTTGTTCGCATAGCTTCCCCTTTTATTGATCTCTTGAGCCACACAAGTTGTGTGGAATGTTGCTTTGCGTTCTGGAATCGTGGTTTGACCGTATTGTCCAATGGTCTTGCCAGTATCGTCATCGACATGCATGAACATCCGCCAACGTCCTTCACAGCTTAGACTTTCATCTCGTGCTTATCTTGGTTGCGCTCACCTTCCCCTCCTTATATTATTTCTATAACTTAGAACCTTCCAAGTTGGAAGGCTGTTGGAGTGCGCATCCAAGATGTGCTAGAGCTGTTAGGCAGTTAGTTGTAGAACGTCAGTACCGTCGGTCAGTGTCGGGCAATGTTATCGCATGAGCTGATTGTTTAGTAACTGGTGGTGTTAGTGGACAGTATAGCGTAACTTGTTATTCCTTGGTCTTTCTCTTTTGTATATATGAAAAATTATTCGACAATATCAAAAAATATTCTGGACAATATCAATAATTACTCGACAATATCAAAACAATTAGATCAGAGCACTAGTCCTCTTGGCTGGTTGCAATCGGGGTCTGGAGAACATTCTATTGATACACCGGGCGTGGACCAGGCACGGGTACATCACAGACCTTGGACTCAGATTATCGGGATACCAAAACAATATTTTTAAAGCCTCTTATACGGGCAATCACCGAACATGATTTCACTGGCCTGACGCAACAACTACAAAGCAAAACAAAATAAAAAACTTAGATAAAAGAAAATGAAACTTTACAATCTGCACACAATGACAACTCCACTTTTAAGATGGTCTCTGTTGATCAGTCGGTATCCATTACCCGTATTAGCTAGTTGCCAACAAGGCGGGCTTCGGCAACAGGAACATGAACATACCAAAAATACTTAGTGGGTAACGTTTACGTGCAATGCCAAGTTCACATCTGCAGGGACATGTCCACATACAATGTACTCTCGACATCGAGGATTTTCGCTTTAAATTATACGTAGCGTACGAGTCAATGTTCAGTTGGAGGTCTTGCCTGAAAGCCCCAAGCTGGCTCGCCTCAATTACAATAGATTCAACAATAGAATCGTAGTGAATCTTGAATCGCAGTGAAGAGACCGTTTTGGAGTTGAGAAGTGAAGTTTAAATGTGTACGTGGCTGCATTGGAGTTTGCGGACAAATAGAAAAGATTTGGTTCGTATTACAGTACGCAGAGAGAAGAAAAACAACTCAAAACAGGAGTTGCGACTTGCATAGGAAGAAAATAACGGAAAGAGCAGTGCATACAGCATTTTGTAAAAAGGCTTATTTATCTGGTAAGCAAAAAGGCAAGAGCCATTGACTTAAAGCGATTGCGTTTTCTTTCTTGCCTGACCGCAGCGGAGAGGTGGTTCCATAAGATGGTCCCAGCATAGGTAACACGTTTGGCAAGATATGCAGCTGGGCTGGCTGGGACAATCAGTAAATTGCTGTGCCCGCCACGAGTTTGAGTGGAATTACTGCGGCTGACAAAGTTAGCGAACAACATGCTGATGTTAGAGGAGTCATGGAGACAACGCCAGATAAAAACCAGAAGGTGCATGTTGGCGTATGTGGT